TTTCTACTAAGGAGTTTATAAATATCTCTAAGCTCTATTAACTATATATTAAAATAATAGTCTTTTATATTAAATATTTAAAAACCTTATTAAACCTCTAAACTATTATAAAAGAGGCTCTTAATAGTTCTACTACTACTCATGCCACACACCCACAGAGTGCTCTAACCTATTACAAATATACCTAAAACAAAATATATTTACTACCAATATATAACTTTCTTAAAAGTAGATAGCTCACCTAATCTTACTCACTTTTCTTAGATATTAGAAGGGTAATAGAGAGGGTATATTTCTATATAGAAATAAATATTAGATATTTCTTAATAACTTATATCACTATAGTGCTCTAAAAGTACTATAATTTACTCTAAAAGATAGTTTTATTATATAACTTATTATAGAAAATAGTTATTAGTAAAAGGTCTTTTCTTTCTATTAAGCAATTTGATCTACTATTTTATTAAATTTTAAAAAGATTTATATTAGAAGGTGCTTTTAGTCTTTTTAAGATTAAAAGTTTATTTAAACTCAAGCACCTTACCCTAGCCCATCATGCTCTCGTATTATTAGTAATAAATGTAAACTAATATTATTAAATAGAGCTAAAAATCTATAATATTTCTAAAGTATTACCTATTTAAATATATTTTCTGTTTATAATAATATATTAGTTCTTATTTTATAAGTTTAGTTTTATTTTAGGGTATAGCACCCCCTGCAGGGGGTATGTGGTATGAGTAGTAAATTATGTTAAATCTTTTAAGCTTACTTATAAATTATTAGTTTATTATACTTTATATATATATATTATCCTCTTTCTTTTATAATCCCCTAATTAAATAACTTTATTAATTTTCCCTACTTTACTTTTTTATATATATACTTTATATATATCTTATATATATTAATTATATTATCCCCTTTTTTACTCTCCTCCTCTTATTTTAATTAAATATTACTTTTATCTCTATTATTACTATTCTTTTTATCTTCTCTCTCCCTCTATCTTTTAACTAATATAACTATATTATCTATTGGAACTTATAAAGATATCTTTTTACTAATATCTAATATATTATATATTTTATATCTTTTTATAATTATAATTAAAATTTAAAATATATAGATTAAAGCTTTTATTTTAAAAGTTATTTAAAAATTATAATATTTATATTAGAAGATAATATATATTATTATATTTTTATCTTTTTTATAATTATAATATAAAATTATTATTATAAGAACTCTTTATTAAAATAAAAGGCTCTAAATTTAAACCTTTTAGTTTAGACTTAGATAAATATTATATTTTTATATTTTTAAAATCTATTATAATATTAAAAAGCTATCTTCTTTATCCTCTTTTTATAATTATATAGCTATTTTCTTACCTTTTCTTTTATATTTCTTATATATAAACTTCTTACTTTTTTATATAATTTTTATAATTTTTAATAATATTTATTATTTAATTATACCTTTATTATAATTATTACTTTTCTAATATCTATCTTTTTAATTTTATCTTCTTCTTTTTATAGTTTAATATCTTCTAAGCTCTCTATTACTTTTCCTTTTATATATAGTTAAAGTTTATAAAAAGTAATTAAAATTACTAAAACTTAATAATATAATATTACTTATATATAGCTCTTTTATTATCTAAGTTAAGTTAATTATAAAATCTTACTTTTTATTATTTAATTTTTATAATAGTCTTATTAATTATATATAAAGTTAGATCTTATTTTATTACCTAATCTTTTACGTTTTTTACTAAATAGTTTTCTTTCTTATATTAATTTTATTAAAAATAATAAATATTAAAATCTTTAATTATTATTATATTTTTATAAAAAAGGGTTTTATTAAATATTTTTAGTAAAGTTACCTTTATTATTTAATATTATAAGATATATATCTTTATTATAGTTAATAAACTTCTTTTAAGTTTTTTTAAAATATTATTTTAACTTAATTATAATTTTTATAATAATTTTTATTTATATAGGTTATTATTTTACTATTATATTAGATTTTCTTATATTACCCTTTTTAATATATTTTCTTCCTTTATCTTTTATCTTATTAAAACTTTTATAAATATAATAATATTATATTTAGCTTTTCTTTTTAATATTATTATATATCTATATTTTATTAGTTATAGTTATTAAATTCCTAGATATTAATTAGGTTTTATCTTATCTTAATTTTTATTTTTAATAGATAATCTCTAAGGTAATCTTATTTATATATTATTTTTATATTATATTATATTATTAATACTAATATTCTATATATTTAATCTATATTATTTATTAAATCTCTATTAGCTTATCTTCTATTTTAATAATCTTTTATTAATATTTTAAAAGTTAAATAATAATAGTAATATTAGATTAAGTCTATTTTATCTTAAAGATATCTTAATATTATAACCTTATATAAGTTATAATATTCTATTAGATATAAAAGAGGGTAGCTAAATCTTTAAACTATTAAACTACTTTTAAGATATAATAGATAAAAGTCTTATAATCCTCCTCCTTCCTCTTCTCTAGGCTAGTTTATTAAGGCTAAAGTTATAATTATTATTAGAGCTTAGGGGTACCTATTATTACTTCCTCTTACCTTTATTTTAAAATAATATTAGAAAAATAGTAAAAGCTCTAGTTATATTTATCTAGCTATTATTCTAAAATCTAAGTTTAATAACTAATAATAAATATATTATTATTATTTCTAAAAGTTCTTTTATTAATATCTTAGTTTTATATTAGATAATATAGATAAAGTTTTCTTTAATTATATTAATATATTATATTTTTAATAAAAACTCTTTTAATATATATTTAATAACTATAATTATATATATAATAAAGATCTCTATAATATCCTCTTTTAATAGATCTTATTAATTACCTCTTTTATAATATATTATTATATATTAATAATCTTATTTATATATCCTTTTTTCTAGATAATATCTTTAATATTATTTAATATCTAGATCTTAAGATAATAATAGAGAGAAGACTTTTTTACTTTTAGTTATTATATAGTTATTAATAGTTAGGTTAATATCTATTAGAGAATATAAGCTTATTATATATTAGAAGTTAAGGCTTTCTTTCTTATAAAGATATATATAAGGATTTTTCTAAGTTAGCTTTTATTAATAGAATTTTTTTAAGGTTATATTAGTTTATATTTATATTTTAGATATATATATTATTTTCCTCTTTATAAAACTTAAAGAGCTTTTTAATATAATATATAGTAATCTTAGATTTTTAGATATATTAGTAGGCTATAGTTTAAAGCTAGTTAGGGGTTTAGAGATATAATATATTATTATCTATTTATTAGTAGAATAAATATATTCTTTATAGAAACTTTACTAAAAATAGGTTTTTATAGAAAAGTTATAAAAAGGATATTAATTTATTTTAGTAATTATATTTACTCTCTTTTAAGCTAAATAAATATCTAGTTTTATAAGAATAAATATTACTTATATAGAATTTAATATTAAATAATAAAACTTTAGTTTAAAATATATATTTATTATAATATTATTTATATATTTTTATTTTATCTTTAATCTAATTTTATTTTATAATATTAATAAACTTTCTAAGACCTATATAGTCATCCAAGATATTTCATAAATTCACTTTATTAAAAATAATCTACTATTATTTCTATTATATTAATAAATACTTACTAGGTAGTAAATATTAGCTAGGTTAGTAAAGCTCTATAATAGTAAGAGATCACTACTTTAGTAAGTAATCCCTAATAAAAGATAATAGTAAGTGATTATTACTATAACTAGTAGCCTATAGAAGTGATTACTATTTATATCTAGTAAATAGTAACTAGGTAATAGGAAATATAAAAGGATAGTAATTCCTTAGATAGTTAAGATAAAAACTTACCTTTATTTACTTTATACTCTTATAATATATATAAGTATTATATATAATGAACTAAGTTACTAGTGATAACCCTAAAGAGATAGATAGGGGTACTATAAGGGTAGGTAGATAATAGGGGATAGGGGTTTTAGTACCTTAGAGGTTTTTTACCTTATCACTATAAAAAGGAGGAAGGACTATATACTATATAAAAATTTAGCTAGCTATAAGTAAATAGTGTGACATTTATTGTAATAAGCTAGATAGATCTAGAATAGAAACTAGTAGTAAAATAACTTAACTTTTATCCCTATTTTTAAAGATAGTTACTATTTTAAGTAAAAGCTATATATTTTTCTAATTAACTATCTATTAGATAGCTATTTCTATATATATAGATCTTATAATATTATTATATAGTCTAGTAGGTATTCTTTAGCTGATCTTATTATATCTAGGTTACTATAGCTAGCTAGATATATTAGCCTAATATTAGCTAAATAAATATTAAAATATTATTTTTAAAATTTAAATATAAATAAGTAATACCTAAAAACTTATCTTAAAGATAATATAACTCTACTATATATAATATATTTATAATAACATTTAGTTACTATATTTTTTATAATTTAATATTTAGAAAATCCGATCTTTTATCTTTGCCTTAGTTCACTATATAGTGGAGTGATATCTCGGCATATTTCGCATCCTCCTATTGTCATATTCCCTCCAGATAGACATCTATGCCTCAGCTACCCCTCCTGATCAATTTTGGCCATATATTTCAAAGCAGCGTCTGTCGCTTGCGGCCTTCTACATGGACCACCCATACTTAGTCGGTGGGCATCCCGGGTCTGTGGTGCTCATCGTGAAGCCCAGACCCCGAATGCCCAAAAGCAAGACCGAGCTCTGGACCGGGTAAATCCCCTTTCGCGCCCTCAGTATGCTCCCTAACCGCGGGTATAGGATTTGATTTTCTCAGTCTTAGAGTCAGCGAATAAACGAGACGCAAAAAGCTATTTCCGCAAATATGTCGGTCACCTGGACGCGGGTACCAAGCCTATACGCTCAATGATAGATCTTCCTCAGACCATTCGAGATCAGCCTTTCTTTATCCAGGGCCGGAAAGCTACAGTAGCAAACGCTGTCTCCCACTCCGCACTCCATATTGCCATCATCAAGATATGTTACCCTCAGGCCGTGGATGATGCAACCCTGAGCGGCGTAGCGCAGACCTTGTCCCAGCTTCGAACCCTTGGCCTTCTTAGCATTATTGTCCTCGACTGTGGCCAGAAATCTACTCTACAATCCAGCAGCGAACAAGCAAATCGCTTAGCGATCCTCTTGGGAGCCTTTGAGAACCAGAATGCAGTTGTGTTAGAAAGCGATACTCTATTAGATCCTGCTTGTGGCTTGTTCCTGAACTTCTCAAAACAGGATCAATACCCATCGTGGGGGATTTTCTCTACTCTCAGGATATCGGTCTCGTCGGAAAAACGGACACTGAGCGGACCGTTGTGGCTCTGATCAAACTTCTCAGTCCATCTTGCGTCGCTGACGGCCATGTCAAGCTCGAAGAACCATGCCATCTTGCGATAATTGAATCGGTAATTGTTCTCGATCCCATCGGTGCCATTCCGAGGGAGGGGGAGATTTCGGTGCCCCACCGTTTTGTGAATCTTCATCAGGAATACGAGTCAATCATTGCGAGCCTCCGCATTCCGACAAATATACCTAAACAAGGTCCGAATTTTGGGCGTGACATTTTTAAAGCTCATCGCGATAACTTGTCATTGGTCAACGAGGCCCTAGCCCTTCTACCAGCAACTGCGTCCGCTCTGATAGCATCTCCATACCTCGCCGCGATCACCGCTCGTCCCGAAGCGGTCACTCAAGAAGCAGGCTCAAATCACCAACAGCACGCCGGATTCGCGACAGTGAAGACCCGACCATCTAAGAATCCATTGATACATAATCTGCTGACTGATAAACCCGTCTATTCAGCGTCCTTGCCTGTGGATAAACTTACCCGGAAAGACCTGGAAGGGAGATCTGAAATAAGGAATGAGATTGCAACGCTAGTGAAGCGTGGGATGCCCGTCAACGTGCTCCGATCGGCCGTCACGAGTGTCGGGGAGCCCCCAGCACCAGGCATGGACCGCCTGCGGCTCACCGACACCAGCGTGGACCGCGATAAACTCCTCTTTTTGATTGAGGATTCTTTCAACCGTAAATTAAATTTTGACAACTACATTAAGCGCGTGAACGATAAACTTGCAGCCCTCGTCATCGCGGGTGATTATGAGGGGGTCGCTATTCTTACTTGGGAAGTGCCAAACGGCCTCAGCGAGGAAGAAGCATATCAGCGAGACCGACTGGTTCCGTACTTGGATAAATTTGCGGTCTTAAAACACCGGCAAGGAAGTGGAGGAGTGGCAGATATAGTCTTCAACGCAATGGTTCAAGACTGTTTCCCGTCGGGTGTCTGTTGGCGGAGTCGTGCCAATAACCCGGTGAATAAATGGTACTTTGAGCGGTCAAGTGGCACAAAGAAGCTGAGGGGCACGGAATGGGTCATGTTTTGGACGACTGACCAACTTGGGGTACATTCACCAAGGCTAGATGATTATGAGAGTGTTTGTCGACAGATCCAACCATCCTGGTTGATGTAATCTATCACTTTACTATTCATTTCAACTGTGCACTTTTTTTTTTTAATGAATTAGGCTCGATACTAGAGTTGCCACCTAGAGCATATGATCGAGCTCCAACTTCCAACGAGACAGTTTCTAATCACTGGGAGGTCCCCTACCGAATTCAACACCTCTTGGTGAACAATAAAGGTAGCCCTTAAAGATCATTGTCGCGGCTTTGGCGATAAGTCGTCTATCATTCCAGAGCGCTATAGTTAATATCTCATATTGCTATCTGCGGAAAGGATTGGGCGCACCTCTTGTTCCACTTGAAGGCTGTCAATGATGGGGACTAGCTCGTTTAGGATTTCAAAGGCCTTCTTATGGAATTCGGCCTGAGCTGTCACAAGCTCCGCTAGATTTCGGAGAGGCTCAGGTGTATCAAGGACCTAAATGGGATCGAGATGGTGAGTTCATGGCTGAATGGCGCCGTGCCCAATGCGAATCTCGTGTCGGCGCTAAGACCTTAGGAGGGGTACATACGTTTTTCATCACCCCGAGTGCCTCTTCTGTCTGGGTTACAAACTCGTCTTCTGCTTTCTCAATCTCCTCCTGAGCTTCAGAACTCAATTCATAATCGCCGAGCTGGTCAGTTCGAGAAGATGCCGCTGTGTGTATCTTCCACGTGTTTCCCTTTACTCGAGCCTTGGTTGTGTCAAGCGAAAGTCTTGATTTTTCAACATTTTTCCTGGCCCGAATCGCGAACATCAGATTCGTATTGAGGGTAGTATTCCATCCAGCAAGAAAATGGCTCTGTATCTCAGCATCTTGCGCAAGACGTGCCTCACCAACCCTCTCCATTGCCAGTGCGTACTTTTCAAGGGCAGTGGCAAGGAATCTTCTCCGGCGCCAGCGTGATTCTGATGAAGAAGTTGGCTACTGGAGATTGACGCGCGAGCAATGGCATGATTGAATGTCTTAGGTTGTGGCTTGGCGGATGGTGGTGCTACAAGAGCCGCCTGTGCTTCCGCTGGAGAAGTAGCCGCTGACAATAAAGACACCTTTTCTGAAACGGTGCGACCTAGGTCTTGAAAGGTCTCCTTGATATTTGGCGGATAGTCGTATGCTTCATTGGAGTAGTGAGAGCTATGCGGTGAATTAGACACTTCAATCAGACGTTATTGCTGTTCCCCTCAGCTTACGTGACGGCCAGCATCTTTTGGTGGGCCTGCTTCAGTGCATCAACTCGCTTTTCGAGTTCAATGTAGTCTGGAGGAAGTTGCGTCTGTCCCCGAATTCCGTTAGTGTTTGAAATAGCCGGTAAGAGATAATCATCGACTGGCGTGCCACGAGATACCTTGTCATCTACTTGGCCGAGTTGTTCTTTGTGTACTGTAGGGTCCGCGTAGCAAAAGGGGTAATCTGGGCCCCGAAAGACCTGCGGTGTCATAAAATGGCTAGGGTTAGAAGCTTATAATAGGATACCAAAGCTAGCGATCTCTCCATGATTAACATACGCCAGCCCTTTCCCAATATCTTTGAAGTCCATGCTGACAGGCAGGGCACGCGCGAGGCCAGGTCCTGCGAGGTAACGCTTTGTGCGGACTGGATCACGCTAGGTGATGATTTCGATATCCGTGAAGGGGAAATGATGCGCCGGGAGCTGTGGTGCCAATATCGCGTGTTGCAAGTTGCTTTATTTGATGGCAAATAGTACCGAGATAGAATGTCGTTGTGTACCGTACCTGTTTGCCTGTCAAGAGAGGATGGCAGGTATTAACCTGATGTCCCTTGCATTCCCACGCACTGATTGGCTTGCTTGGGCGGTGTCCTTTCGCAACGTTTATGCTTAGTAAACTTGCAACCTCCCTTTCTGACTTTCCTTTCTCACTTTGCGATTTTTACCAAGATACTCTGAATCGGCCATAACCATCGCGCCATAATGCATCACACTTCTCGCCTTCTCGCACGCTATCTTGAGCCAGGGGTTTCCACAGGTCTAACAGGCCTGCGGACCCATGCGGCTCCGAGATCAGCTCTACTTTCTATTTACACGACCATTCTGGCGAAGCTACAACGATTCCCCGAGTCCTCACTTTACCGCCAGTCCATTGAGTCGTTAACACAGCACAGGCTATCTCTTGTTCAAAGGATTGTACCAGCTGGATATGAAGAATGGACCATCAAAATGCGACAGGTTGTCTCGGAGAACCCAGGCTATATTTTGCCGCCCGATCAAGCCTCTAAGAACCGCCGAACCTTCTTCCTTGGAGGCCAAACCTACACCATTCCCAAGAGACGAGCTGAGAAGGATATAAGGGAGGAAGAATGGAATGGAGAATCTGACACTAGCCCCTCTCCGAGGGGCAACGGGCCGCAGATGAGAAAATCGACCTGGTCTCAAAAGGGACGAAGACACGCTCCCTCCTACCTTGCAAGCCCAGCTGAGTACTGAGCCACAGTTAACTGCTGTTCAGTGAGCGACATCCCTCTACCTAACTCGATCCTAACTGGGTACTAACGTTTTCAAGGATCGCCGAACTCGAGGACTCAATTGGCGCAGGCCTCCTTGAAGAAGTTATTCAGGTTGCGGAAGGCGAGCTGAAACTATTAGACGTTATGTATGAAGCTAAAGTGTAAGTCTCCGTTTTATTAATGAAGACCATCTCATCGCATTGCTAATTAGTGCCGAGGAAGATGGGAACCTCTCTGTGAGAAAGCTGCTCCAGGCCAATGGTCATATTTCGATAGGAGCTCAAAGTAACAGCTGTGGGATCTATATATAGCCTAAAACTCATCAAATTTGTATACTCGGACTGTTGCACTGTAATATACACCAAGTTGAAGAATAAAGGACATGCTTCTCACCTCAAGTGCTATGGTACAAAAGTTAAATGCCAATTTCTAGGTGCTTCTAGGTGGCCGGCGGGTTAAAAACAATAGCCCGTTAGGTATGCACCAAAACAATTTGAAACCCGAGCATTACATATATATGGACTAGTGATGTGTTGTAATTTTCCTTCCACTGCTTAAAGCATTGTAAGACCAGCTAATGTTCTTCCATCCGCGACTTCCAGATAGTTTATCCTTTCGACCATCTCTGTAAAATAAGTGCCACATTTGAACTTCCTACGACCACGCACCACTCTCCGCCTGGGCTCCACCCGACCTGCCGTCCGACAAAACTGGACATACCAAAAGCCTCTACTTTGTGGGCCTTTAAGGGCTTGTAGGGTGAGTCAACATTATACCTAGACTCCCAGGCCAAGACCGTCTCTGAAGTGTATGGTTTCAACGTCGAAGGTGTACTGTTACTGGGTGGCTCATCTCCACTGGGTGTTGCGGCGGGAAGATCGTTGCAATCACGGACAGGGCCCGGATGCCTTTTCGAGTTGTGAGAGGGTCCGGTACGTCGTGGGTGCGAAAGCTGAAGCCAGGCTGGCCGCACGGTCACCGTAGGCCCCCATTGTCAAATTTGACAGCAGGATTGGTGAAATCGTGATATGCTTTCAGTCTATCGAGATCCCAGAAAAATACTTTGCCATTCGCATTGCAGAAAGCAAGAACATGGTTTTGGTCTGGTACGCAGTGAAGACGAAAGCGCATGAAAAACTGGGGTCCGCACCCAGGTGTGTCAAATTCAAGGATTCTCGTGTAAAGAACTGGACTGGACTGAGATGTTGACGCGCTAAATGCTGACCTTGTCAGCCGACTGGGGTCGTAGGCCGTCGGTGCCGCGGATTGTGGGGGTTGATCTTTGGAAGAAAACCCTTCAATGCTCCAGAGGACGATAACTTCATCATGGCAAGCCCTTGAAAGGATCTTATCCCCATAAAAGGCAACACTACAGTTCCTTCCAATTAGTTTAGATCTCTCTTGGGGATCAGCACAAAATCTCCTACCAGTCAACCAAGGCGCTGTGAATCTCGGAGGTGGAAAAGTGTGAGTAGTGAAGCTCGAGTGGACGATGTCTTGGTTCAGTAGGGAAATCGGGGAGTGTCCACTGTCAATTCATGAGCTAAAGGCGTCTCGTACAAGGAAAGATCTTGTTACACTAACGAGATTTATTACACCGTCATGTCCGGCAGAAAGAACATATCGGCCGGTATCATGGAAAGCCTGCGCCATCGGACTATGTCAGCGAATATTCACTTAGATACGGTTGTCCATGCGAAGCGAGGTTGCCCTCATACCTACCACGCTGAGCAACGAAGCACAGTGGCCTTCACCCCTAGCAAATATAGGCATGGTTGCCGGGAATGCATGGCATCGAGACACCATATCCTCACCGTCGTATCATCCGATGCTGAGGCGATGACGGAAGGGTTACTTGGGGAGGTCGCCAAATCATTGATTTCCTGTGTAATAGTTCGAATCGCCATCAATATACCATGTAAGGCTTCTAGAACGTACCCCGCCATGCCCTACCAGGCACTGTTCATCAAGTATTGTTAGCGAGGGGCCCGATAAAGGACAAGGTTGAACTGAACGTACGTTGCTTACGTCCCCGTTGGCAAGATCGTATATCTTGATCTTGCAATCCCTGCCAGCCACGCAAAGGATCGGGCTCCCACTCTGCTTGTCTTTAGACCATGTGCAACAGCAGTTCAAGGCATCATCCTAGCTGTCAATGTTAGTACCGGAAAATGTAGTGAACCGGGTGAAGCAATGTGCTCATGAAATGAAGATTGTGGCTTACGTCGTTGTCCCGGATTATGTTGATGATTTCGCAAGGGCTCGGGTCGTCCTTCGCCCGGGAAAGTTTACATATGATGACCTGTTTCTTGCATTAAGAGCGTTGCACTGAGACGAGACATACGTGGTGCACCTACATGCTTTTTGCTCACTGCTGCGAAGACCGGGCTTTGATCAAGAGGTTGGTAGGGACAAAACTTTACATCGAAGAATTCTAGGTTGGCGGTGAGTAGGCCTCCTAGGTGCTGGAAGCTTGAGGACAGTTACCGGCAACAGAATCCCCACGGGCCTTGAGATAGCGTGTGTCGGTCTGGCCGCGTTAGTTTTGCGTGGAGTCTTGCTATGCCCGAAGCATCACTGACCTCAAGTCCAAACGACACGCGGAGTTTGGGAAGGTCAAAAACACTACTATCAGTAGTGGCGGCCCTGGCGTTGATGGTAGGCATGGACGTCAAGAGTGATGGATGTGATTAAAGTGTGAAGTCTAATTACACCAGATTCCACAGCTAAAATTTGGTGAGTACTGATGCTGCATTGAAAAAGAAAAGTTTTGGGGTGATGAAAAAGGCGAGGACAGTCACCTTCTTTCATTTGCCTTTATCCTAGCTTGGAGGCGCAGTTTGGAATCATTTCAGCGTAATCTTATGGTTCCGGTAGCTACTATTGGGTAATCTTGAGCACTATGAAGAAGACGCTCGATCAATTGTCATGAAAGAATGTACATAGGCAGACAACGCGCTATTATCTCTGGGGAGAATCCCAGATCATCAATTTAACAATACTAGATTTTCTGTAATAAGCAGGGGGACGCTCTTAACCTTCAAAGCTAACCCATTAATGATCTTTTTGAGAACATGGCTAGAGTTGAACACTACATGTCGAGTGTCGAGTCGCCCAACTCAGCATTTCTCATGAGCAATAGCCTGGCCATTGATCTATTCAATGTTGACTCTTGTCCTATTTTCTATCCATCCAGATATATGGATGTTTTGTCCTCGATGAACCTTCAAGGCTTCTCGCACCAATTTCAAGCAGCATGAGTGCATTGAGAGGATACATGTATATGGTTACGTGTAATATACCGGAGCCTGTGACTGTGCTCGAGGCCACCTCGATACCAATTCTTCGTGTACTCATGAGATTTAAATAGAACGCCGACCGAATTAACAATGTTGTACTTTGCTCACTTCCAACCATATTCCTGCATCATGCCGCCGCGCCACACCGGTCTAACTTCCTCATCTCATTTTCATTAGTTCAGATATTCCATCCGATCTAGCCTGAACATTGGCATTGTGATCACAACGTATTGACATGATTTGATATCCACCTCTAAAGTCCCAAGCTAGTGGTTTCTTGATAGTCTTCCGTATCGTCCGCCGCCTCAGCGTCATCCTTCGAGATCAGTTATCTTTGTCTGCATCGCGTAGCACAAAGCCTTGACAAGTATTCTTGGATCGAAGCGCAATAACTAACTGATGACTCGCTTCTGATCTCGCAGATACAACTTTTATGCATTCGCTCGAATTTTGAAGCAATCTGTCACGGAGCGTCTCAAGCTCTAAGCCTTCGAGTTCTTCGTAGTCTACCCGACTCTCGAGGTAGCTCTTCTGTTGTGGGATAGTGGGGTTAAGTAGTGGCCACCTCCCTCTGGCGACTAACCTTCTCCATGGACCATACATTCATAACTATCCATAGTAAGTGCTATTATTATACGAGGAGAAAAGGTGATAGGTGGGCTGTCTACCTTAAGCGTTTGTCTTCGTTGAGTAATGCTAACTGCCTTTTATCTTTCATATAGACCTGTCTCAGGACGCTATCATCCTCTTTGCGTCTGCCTCTGTAGCTGACATCCTAGGCTACTCCGCGGAAGAAATCGAGAACAAGTCATGCTTCGAATTTTTCATCCAGACGAAATCCCATTCGCTCGCTCAGTCCACAGCCGTGGGGTTCTTCTCGACAAGGCTGCCGTTCTACATTATTGTCGAATACGAGCGCGTGATGGGAGGTGGATAAGTTGCGAGTGCTGCTTCACGGTGGTTCACGACGTCCTCGTGGCTTGCACAAGCATCTATCGAAGGGGAGAGGAGTGAAAGTAGGTTCTTGGCCCACTGTCGGCTGGCTGGTTCATAATACCTGCGAGCCGAAGGGTCCTCCAACACAATTCCCCATTACGATTTGGAAGACTACACTAACCAAACCAGGACGTGCGATTGAGGCCCCTCAAATACGCCGTCTCTTCTCCTGTTCTCCGCGAGACCCTCGATACCATATGCTGGAACACCTTTCACCTAAATTCAAGATGCCCCCAATGGAAAGGGAGCCGAGAGCGGCTTTGATCCTGAATCGATTTACGAGAACCCACACAATCATGTTTGCAACCAATGCCGTGTCAACAATCCTCGGTGTGGAACCTGAGCACATGAAGGATAAGAGTTTTTATGAATGCATTCAGGAGAACTGCTTAGCAGATGCTGTTCGGTGTCTAGAGAGTGCAAAGGCCAACGATTCTATAGCCTACCTTCGCTTTTGGTATCGAGATCCTCGAAGAGCGGAGGATTTTATGATTGATCAAGTCGATGACGTGCTAAATAGCGACGATGTTGTCGGCAGCAGTCGGGCGACGCTATTAGGTTACCGAAGCCTCGACTTTGCGCAGCGGCCCTGGGTGGGTGTCAGCTCTTCTTCTTTAAGGCAACAGTCCACCCCTGAAAATCATTACGTCCTACCAGCCTACCCTACAGTGCCTGAGCAACAAAATTCTCGCTTCCCTCCATCTAGGGAGAGCATTTGGTATACCAGCCGCCACTTACATTTGAATTAGAAGCCGTTGTTTCCTGCACCTCGGATGGCCTCGTGGTGGTTTTACGGAAGGCGCGTCCGCCGATTCCTGTTGCACACCCACCCCTCTTGCCATTTGACTTTGAGAATGGTCTTTTTGCGGCGCCTTGGGGCCAACAGTCCATAACCCCGTTATTCCCACCTGATATTCTTCATAGTTTCCAACCGCCTCTTCTTCCACAATATATGCCGCTTAGGGAAAATGTTAAGGCGGCTGGCGGCCCCCTTGGACCAACTTATGCGGTCGATTAGGGATGTGGCGGTGTTTGCTTGGGCTTTGGTGGGAATCAACGAGAATCTTGCAGCTTATGGAAGAGGCTTGCCGACGGGGATATCGCAATTGCCTGGCCGTCATGAAGATATGGAGCTCATTCGGGAAATGATACCATGTCGCCCCCCTATCCGCTTCCCAACTGTGCCCGGCCGCCCGATTGCGCAAGTGGCGCGGACAACAATCAACATAGTCTTGGTACGGAAGAATCGGGATCCTTGACCCATATATGCGAATCTGTTTGGCCATATGCGGATAACTCATCGGATTCTCTCCTTTCACACAGGCAGCACGATCGAGAGTTTCGCCCCGCCCCGGACACTCTTGGAAACCATCCATTCCCCTCAGCGCATGAAGCGAGTGGGCATAGGGCCCCTCCACAGCACCCTTCAAATACCTAACCCGCGAAGTACACCACGGAAATGGCTGAAGTCGCAAAAAAATCTTATCTTGAATGTGGTGAATATATGGATATCAGTAATATATATATTATAATTCAATCTCACCAGGTTGCGCAAGCGCCCTAGTCTCAGCACGCTCGCTGGTGGTTCCCTCTTTCGCATATTGCAATAACCCGAATTTATTACGGCATCTTATGTTGTTATCGGGGCTCACCGCTCACATGCTAGAACGGACACTCTGTCACGCGTCTTGCTCTTGAGCCTCCTGATAACATACCAAGCAACAAGCCGACCTCGAAATTCGAAATAATACCGCCACACTGGCTGGAGCCAGACTAACCTCGCTCCTCCCGGTCTAGCAATTGACAATGGCCTCTTCAAGTAGAGTTGAGCGCGAGGCGCCAAACTCCTTACCCTATGACCTGATAGACCCAGATGATGGTATGTGCATTGCTCAATCACTTAGCTTTGTTCTGTGAGCTTAACCCATCGTATAGCCGACTTGGATGATCTGGATGATCCTCTCTCCCGTCAGCCTATCGCAGGATCAATTTCGCACCAGTCTATTGACCAACATTATCTCACATCACGTATCGTCGGTGAGGATCGTCGCGCACCACAAAACACCATTGACGAATCCGTCTGGGCCACCCTCCACCGTGATTTAATTGCTGTATGGCAAAAGATGCGTGAGGTTCTTTATCCGCGGCATTTGCTCATGGGAACTATGTTCGAAAACGGTGAAGTGTTTCGAGGCGCGTATCAAAACTTACGGACTGGTGGAATTTCTGGGGCTCGGAGTGAACTAGCAGGGTTTGCTGGCCGAGTCATGGACACCGAGGCGCTTCTACAGCAGGGAAATATGCCTTCGGGTCTCAAAGATTGGGATCTTTGGGGTCCTCTTATATTTTGTCTGCTCCTAAGCGTGCTTCTCAGTTTCAACGCCCGATCTGATCAGCGAGATCTTGTGTTCAGCGGGGTCTTCGCTCTTGTGTGGATCGGAGAGGCTGTGGTAACCCTACAGATCAGGCTTCTGGGTGGGAATATGTAAGTGTCTTTCCAGTCGGAGCCGACCATCATCGCGACCTAACACTTGTGTCCCTTTCTAGTTCGTTTGCGCAAAGTGTGTGTGTCATCGGCTATACCCTGTTTCCCCTTGTGATAGCTTCCTTCTTTTCGGCCTTCCGTCTAATTTGGGTAGCACGGATACCTATCTACACGTTTCTCGTGGCATGGTCTCTCGCTGCAGGTGTCAGCATTCTTAGCGGTAGTGGCGTTGTCCAAAACCGGGTCGGATTGGCGGTTTATCCGCTCTTTGTATTTTACTCCGGAATCGGCTGTCTCTGCTTCATCAGTTGATAAGCTAATACAAAGGGAACACTCAGTGTTGTGCTAGAAATTATGAGGGCGCTGCTGTGGCCAATCGCACCCCGGGTTGGCTCTCTGCAAAGAGAGTAACCTGCACATCTCTTCTATATAGAAGTCTCACATCGGAAAAGTGTGCATCCTTGTTTATCATCTATTGTTTTTCCAAGAACTTGCTTGCGGATACTATTAAACAGCGACTCAATGGCTTATCATCAGGACCTAGGCCTCTCTGATGAGGCCTTATCACGCCGGTTCACCAAGCGAACACACCCTATTTAGATCTGTTTACGATGCTAACTAGCCCAGGTGTGCCTGAAGAGCTTAGCCGGCCTGACCGCAACATAGTTGGCAAGTGTCTTAACTATTATGCGCCTCTAAGCTCGCGTTGAATGATGCCCACCTCGTTCATAAAAGACTTCGCATTTCCAGCACTCATCTATATAAGTGATTAGATTACTACCTTCTAAGTAGATCCATTCCGACTTACCTTCATATTTACGCTGAAAGGGCGGGGTTGGTCACCTGTCCCTGATTCAAAGGCCGTGAACGTGACATTCACAGCCTTCAGCGAGGCCTTTTCTTGGAAGACCATCGCAGGAAGGAGCATAGTATTGAGAATAAGGCGGTGAGTTTGGTCTTGTCGCATGATGAGTCTTACCCCCTTGAAAGTATCATTGCCAGCTTGCGTCGTTGCCTCTTTTTCGTCGAGTAATGATGCATCGAAGGTCCCAGGGCGAGGATTGCCACCATCGTCAAAATCCACGCATGCTTCTGGAACATTGATCTTAAGGATGCCTGCACCTCGTTCCTTCCAGCCGGTTGCTTTGTTATCATTATCGATATAATACATCTTCGCGCGAACTTGCACTGTAGAAACCTCTCCAGATTCGCCGTCATCCACAGCAACTAATGTGGTCTCCTATGTTAGAGGGAAAGATCTTGAAATCAAGGGGTTGGTGGGATTCGGAAGGAAAAAGGCTAAGCTCACCGCGCTGAAGCCTTAGTCGCTTCCGGTCATCCATAACTGTTTTGGCTTCTATCTTGTCTGGTGTGGCGTGCCGACCTTTTTCTTTGTCAACAGGCACGGTACCGTCATCTGAAGCCTCACTACTAGATACCTCTACGTCGCTCTCAGGTGCCCCGAATGGTCTTGTTTTTCACTGCCCTTTAGAGACTCGCTAGAGGCCGCGAATGAGGTAAGTTGTTTAGGTTCACCAATTGCGAAGGATGAGCGAAACGAGGCACCCTTTGTGCCGGGATTCGTGGAGGCGAGGGTCATGAAAGGTGAAGAATTACTGGACTGGGAGAAGTTCAAGCTCGGCTTCGCGGTACCGACACTGGAAAATGACACCTTTGAGGAAGCGCCACCAAACGAAGAGCCTTGTAGAGAAGCACCTAGGGCCCCAAAGGGTGATGCAACCGAAGTCAGCTTTGAGAAGCCGGAGCTTGCGAAGGCGGATGGCCTTGTATGCTCTCCCGTTTCGTCGCTGTCCCTTGTGCCCAAGGGGATTGAAAGTTCGATGGGTGTGGGCGTGTTAAACTCTTTCAAACGTTGCACATCAGTCATTAGAATGGGAGGACGGGGTACTCAAAGGATAACATACATGCGGCAGTGCCTCTTGGTTATCGTTTGTACCGTCGCCAATGCTGCTACGAGGTGATTGCTCATCTCTATGGCGCTTTTTCTCTGGACCAGATACGGAATCCTAGATCCTCACTCATTGTATCAGCATTCCGGTGTGCATTCACCATGTACAAATGTGATCGACGTATGCTATCACACCATGAGAATTTACCTCCTTGTAGCTAAAATTATTTACCTCCTTATTTCCAGATGAATCGGAAGTATCCAATTGGTCATGACCTCTTTTTTCTTTGGGGAAGGTAGTTGATCTCTTGAGTTCGGTGGGTGCTCCTCGCGGTTTGGTGCGTCGGAACGACGCCCATCTTTATCGGGTTCCGAAATGCGTGTATTACGAAGTTCTTCCCTTGCCGCAGAAGTTTCTGCGTCCTCTTTGATGGCGGATTGGGGTCACCCCGCTTGGTTTCGGACTGGGCGACCCTGAGTCGGAAGCCATCGCTTCGGAGAGACGATTAATGTCGTCAACTGAATTGATTCGGTTAGCGCTGCAGGATTGAGTGAGGCCTGTTAGAGCACATATGACCGTGGCGTCTTACTCAAAGAGGTATACAAAAATCCGGATTCCCCAATCTGTTTGAAGAAGAGGCCTGGAAGCGGTCTCGGGATTTTGTAGAGAGCGCCGAGGTGACGAGGTGCGAGGTGCGAAGAGTAGAGTCGTCACAGCGCCGTGAAAAAGATGGGGTGTGGGGACCACCGTGTGCCTAGTACTGGCAGCTTTTGATGGTGAACTTGACAAGTTGGCGCTCTCAGCCAAACACTCAAAGCACCGGAAAAACAAGCCGTCAAGCACCTATCGTTCGCTTAGAGAATGCGCAAATATCGAGATAGGGAGATATGGAGAAGTAGGCCATGATCTCTCATAAACCCAAAGTGACGGCGTGTGAAAACAGTTAAGTGATCACGTGACCTGGCGCATTGCTGGTGTCAACCAGAGCATTGGGTCGCGATCAACCTGATCCATCATAATCCTTTCAAGTCAGTGCTTGCATCCCTCACCAACCCGATGAACCTCTAAAGCCCAGCATGTATGGCAAGAGGAAATTTGAGTCAGACGGCTCTGTAACGCAGCCGGAATTTATTCACAAAACCGATACTAATGATTCTTCCCAGATCTTGAACATATCAGGGTTTCATGACTTTAAACTGAGCCCAGCCATCAACGGATCATCAGTGGGCTGCAATGGCCCAGGAATTGAGTCATTGCACGACATAGAAAAGATCCATAGTGCCCTAAACCTCGTATTCACATTTTGCTGCTCCCGTCAGCACTTGAGTCCCAGCTTCAATAGCATCAAAACCGCCGTCGAAAGCCACATTGGCCGGACACTCGCCATCAAGGAGGTAGCCGCAGTTGTGGCAGTTCGTCCGGACGCTGTTAAATTTTTTTACGTTGACGAAACCACACTCCAGATGGGTATCAGTGCCCCTGAACGATACACTAATACCGTCGAATATGGCTCCGCTAAACCTCACGCAATATCAAAGGCACCAATCAATATATGTTCGCCAGATACTCGAAAGGAGGTTCTCTTTTTCGAGTTTATTGATGGAGATCCAAGACCAAGTGGGAAAATGAAAAAGATCCGCGGTGACCGAGGTTTTCAAGCGCCAGCTTTCTCTCCTGAAGCACTAAGACGCTTAATTGATCAGCGCAACCAAAAATTCAGGGATGCTTTAAACCTGTTCGTAAATCAATGCCTTGCACAAAATATTGATCCCATATCATCCCTTGAGGAGCGGGCCTCTCTCTACATACCGGCGCCCTCAAGATATTTTACGGACAGCCTGCCGGTATCAGCAACATTACCATTAAACCGGAAAAGTATGCGAGATATCACGATAGAATTGAAGAAATCCCCTTGGTATTCGGGACAGATCCCCCACGGCCATCTCGTTTTCGAGCCCCGTGAAAGCACCTATGGCGACCTAGACTTTTTACTCAGCCAAAGTTTAGTCAATGCCCTCTACAATGCTCATGGCATTGCCCGGTTCTACTCACATCAGGCCGAGGCTTTGAATTCACTGCATTCCGGGTGCCATGTCGTTGTCTCTACCCCCACCTGTTCTGGTAAATCCTTGATATATCAGCTCCCGATCCTTCATTCCCTAGAGCAAGACGCTCTCTCGCGCGCTATCTTTATCTTTCCTACGAAGGCTCTCGCCCAAGATCAAAAACGAAGCCTTAGGGAGACTCTCAGCTACCTACCGAATCTCAGGAGCATTCAGGTTGAGACCTTTGATGGGGACACGCCTTTCTTAGCCAGAGCCTCAATCAGGGACAATGCTAGTGTAATCTTCACTAATCCAGATATGCTTCATCTCAGTATCTTGCCAAACGAGCAGCAGTGGAGGAGCCTTTTCCAACACCTGAAGTATGTTGTGGGTATGTCTGAAATCCAACGCCACCATTCTAATATGTACTGCTTAGAACTAACAATGCTTTTAGTGGATGAGCTGCACTTTTATAACGGTCAACTTGGCGCCCACGTTTCATTTATAATTAGAAGATTACGCCGGTTATGTGACGCTCTCGGGAACCGAAGTGTACTTTTTATATCATGCTCAGCGACGATGGGTAACGCTAGAAGCCATTTCAAGACTATATTTGGGGTTGAAAATGTAAAGCTGGTTGCTTTTGATGGATCCCCAGCTGGTAAGTTGTTGGCCGACTCTGGTTTATCTTCTCGCCATACTAAGCTCCATCTAGGACATAAGGAGTTTATATGTTGGAATCCCCCATTCAAAGATCCAAAAGACCCCACCAGTGGCCGAGAAAGTTCATTACTGGAATGCTCACGCCTCTTACGCGAACTCATCATTCGTGGTGTTCGCACTCTGGTTTTCTGTAAAACCCGGGGTCGCTGCGAATCTTTAGCTAACACTGTCAGGCGAGAACTTGAACAGACGGGGTATGCAAGCGCATCTACGAGAGTGCTCGCGTACCGTGGGGTTACACTGCTCATGATCGTCGCAAAATCGAACGCGATATGTTCGAGGGGTCTCTCCTTGGCATCATAGCTACGACGGCCCTAGAATTAGGCATCGACATCGGAAGCCTGGACTGTGTCCTAATATGGGGTTCCCCTACACTGTTTCACACCTGCGGCAACAAAGCGGCAGAGCCGGACGGCGAAATGGAGATGCGATCTCGATATTATTGGGTGATTCGACCCCCTAGACCAGTATTATATGCAAAACCCGACCCAGTTATTTTTGAAGCCGGATGCAGACCCTCAGATAGATCTCCAAAACATTCCATTACGAGAAGGTCACCTTCAATGCGCCGCGAAAGAACTTCCAATCCAACCGGAAAAGGATGCTGTTTATTTCGGCCCCGACCTTGAACAGATCTGTAAAAGTTACTTATCCCGGGGTGATCATGGATATTTCCATTGCCATAGTCGCTACCGGCCCTCGCCGGCAACCTTCATGTCCATCCGTGGCTTAGAGGAGGAGCACATCACTATTATCGATACAACAAATGGCACGAACACTATTTTAGAGGATCTAGAAGCCTCTAGAGCTACGTTCACTATCTACGAAGGGGGTATTTATCTTCATCAAGGAGAAAAATACTTAGTCTACAACTTTCAACCCGATGCTCAGCAGGCCTTAGTGGCGAGGGTCCATGTCAACTGGACAACGCGGCCGAGGGAGTCCGCCGCTATAGATCCAATCGAAACGGAAGCGGTTCAGCAATTAGCGGGGGCAATTTCTCATGCATTCTATGGTACCGTCCGTGTAACAAGAAAGGTTTTCGGGTTTTTTCGCATTGACCCCCGTGGGCATACCCTTGAAGCCATCCCAGTTGACAATCCTCCTGTAATTCGATATGCAAAAGGTGTATGGTTAGATGTTCCAAAAGCAGCACTTGAGTTACTTAGGGCTCACAAACTAGATCCGGTCGACGCAATACATGCCACTCAGCATATCTTAATGAAGATAGTGCCCACATTGGTTGCAACTCTTCCCGGCGACATTAAGGCAGCCTGTGGGACTGCAAAGAAGGGGCACGCCAGAGAGGGGACAACGAGGAAAAGGCATGACCGGTTAACCATCTACGATGCCAGTGAGGTAAAGGGTAACTCTGGCGCAAGTTTCAAGGTGTTCAGCCATATTGATAACCTCCTAACAAAGGCTCTTCAAACGGTACAGGAATGTACTTGTGTCGATGATGGATGTTCAAAATGTGTGGTCCTACATCTTTGCTCTGAAGGCAATGAAGCCGTCTCAAGGGTTGGTGCGGAAGTAGTGCTGGGGGCACTCCTGAATAGAGATGTCGTTGCTCACAAGGTGCCAATGGCGGATGGCAATGGTATTAACGCGAATGTTGCAGGGGGTCCTTTACTTACTATAGAAGTGGCTGCCAAACGACTAGGGAGTGGAAAGTTAGAATGAAATATATGTAGAGACAAGTATTATGTATTTCCCTCGACAGAGACCCCTTCGCCGAGGCCTCGTGAAAGTGTCTAATATAATGTCCCCGGAAGCCCTGGAGGTATTCTTCACACTTTCTTTCTTTTCAAGTTTGCTAGTATTGATGCTTCAATGGGTCGCCTATGCGAGAATGTGTATTTGGCCAAACCCCTAGCAAATTTCTTCACAGATTCACTCCCTTCTGTTTCACGTATTAAATTAAAATTCGATGAACAAAACACGACATTACACCAATAGTCGCTTCGATATGGGAAGAGTATGATGGCATTTGCCTACGTACAGTAAGGATTTTGAGAAAACTATTTTTTTCTTGCTGTTAGTATATTACTAATCTACACTGCTGAGCCTAGGTATCTGTTATGCTCTTCATATCTTGCTCGCTTCGAATTCCATAACCTCAACGTGCTGTCTATCCGAGAACGGCCATAGGCAAGAGCAATCTGTGGTTTCTAGATTTCCGATCAGTGCGATATCTGTCACGATGGACCCCATCAGGCGACGTCTGTCACTCTACGATGTTTCATATTCTCTACGAGTGGTTATCTAACTTCTTTTAGGCCAGCTTCGGATTTTAAATAATCGAGCTTGGAGTGGAGAGGCAAGTATGTGGACAACGATGTGAGGTGCGCCTTGCTCCGTCCCATTTGCTAATGTCGCACCAGATGTATTTCCAACCAGCTCTTCTTTAGACACGTCACTCAAGAAAAATACGGCATTGATCAAACGGCTACGTACGGCTGTGTCGTCAGCGACTCTCAACACATTTTTACAGGATATCAAGTCTCTTAGTCTACACAAATACCTGTCTGAAGTCATCTCCGCCTGCTACGATGGTCTTTGCAAGCTAAAGTCTCCTCTCGAAGTTGAAGCCGGTGTTGAGATTGTGAGTGCGTTTCATCAGAGATTTGGCCCAGACGAGTTCACCAGACAAATCGGTTGGCTATTAGGAAAAGGGCTTGCCACGCCTGATAGGAACGCACTTAAATCCCTTACGCAGGATATGCGTGAAAAGGAAGAAAAGGATCGCGTGGCTCGCCAACGCGTTCTTCTCCGCGTTGTCACGGAGCTGTGGCTGGTTGGTGTTTTGAAGACCGTGGACGACACCTCTCGGCCTGATGAGGGAACTAAGACGGTAGGCATCAAACCTACCGAATCGAAACAAAGAGGCACAATCAATAAACTGGGGGAAACTGAGCCTTTCCCGCTTGAGGTCTTGAAGGACCTTCTTGGCCATGACCGGGAACATGCTAATTTACCCCTGCTTGTGAGCTTCGTCAAAACCTTCAGCTGGGACATCCTAGGAGTTCAGCCACTTAGTATCGAAGGGCGTAGAGTGATGGAAGACGATGGGAATTCCAGGGACGGTTCTGCGACGTCGGAAGTCCCCAATGCACAAAATGTTGAGCCTGGGACCCTCGATGAGCCTTTCGCTTCTGCTGAGATCCGTGATGCCTTCAAGTCTGTCCTGGTCCGTTACTTCGAGGATGTCAAGCGGCATATGACTCATAATCATCAGTTGCTCCAGGACCAAGCAAAGAAAAATGCAGAGGCTTACGTTAAATCAGGGGAAGTATTTGAGGATCGTCAAGCCGCCTACGAGAAACACGTGAAGGCGCAAGAGCGCTTAATCTCTAATTCTCAGATCATTGCAGATGCCGTCGGCTGCGACATGCCGGACCTCAAAGATAGGGAGGAGAGCAGTCAGACGGTTACAGGTAGCATTGGGTTGGTCAAGGCTGGCGAATACCTTCGTTCTCTTGGCGACGGTGCTGGAATATGGTATGACGAAGACGAGCGCCGCTTCTATGAAAACCTTGTCGATCTCAAGGGGAAAGTTCCGGCCATCCTACTCGAAGACGGCAGAAAGCGACGCGCCGAGATTGAGGATCTGCCAGGCAAGAAGTCTGAACAACCTGAGAGCGTCGCGGCGGGGAAGATCGGCGAAAGCTTGGATGATCTATCCATCTCCATAGGAAATAGAACGATCGGTGCTCAAGTCGATGTGCTATTGACTCGCCTTCCAGATCTAATCAGCAAAGATTCTGTCGACCAATCAGCCATAGACTTCTGCTTCTTAAACTCGAAGGCCTCTCGGAACCGTCTTGTCAAAGCTTTGACAGAAGTACCAAAGGGCCGAAACGATCTCCTTCCGTGCTGGTCAAGGCTGATCGCTACACTTGGCCAATATATGCCGGACATTCCGAAGGGCGTCGTGGATTACTTAGATGCCGAGTTTCGAAGTCTTCAACGACGCAAGGAGAAGGACTTCCTAGGCCAAGTTCGACTAAACAACATCAGGTACTTGGCAGAACTCACAAAATTTAGTATCGTGCCTGAGCACGTAATCTTTCACTGCCTAAAAGTGAGTCTCGATGATTTTTCTCGAATGAACATCGAGATCATGTGCAATCTTCTTGAGCACTGCGGTAGATATCTTTTTCTCAATAGCAACACAGCGCCACGGATGACTAGCTTCCTCGAAACACTTCAGCGAAAGAAATCAGTTCAGCATCTTGGCCAGCCTGAACGTATGCTCATTGAAAACGCAATGTACCATGTCAACCCGCCCGTCCGACCAGCCATTGAACAAAAGGAGAGGACTCCCATGGAACTTTTCATCCGAAAATTGATTTATGTTGAAATGAATCGAAGGAACTACACGAAGATCCTCAAACAAATCAGACGACTCCATTGGGAAGAACCCGAGGTACGTGTGAATTGAGTACGAGTTGGTAACCTTGCCTAATCTTGCGAATTCAAGGTTGTCCGAATGCTTGACAAGGTGTTCTCCAAGCCAGGAAAAATAAAGTATGGAAATATCCATTTACTCGCAATACTTTTAAGCGCTCTTTATCGCTACCACCCCTCGTTTGTTGTTGGCGTTGTCAATCGGGTGCTAGAGTCTATCTCGTTTGGACTTGAGCAGAACGACTTCAAATTCTACCAGAGGCGGATCGCCGATGTTCGTTTCTTAGGTGAACTTTACAACTATCGTATGCTAGAACATCCAGTTATCTTCGACACTATGTACAGGATTTTGACCTTCGGCTACGGTGAGTGAATTACCTTCGGAAGACCGTGCAGTCTTCAATAGTCCGATTTATCCCTGACAAGCCTTTTCTATGTTGAAGGCGGTATCCCTTCCCTGGGAAAGAGTAACCCTCACGACCCCCAGCAGATTTCTTCCGCGTTCGATTGATCACAACCTTACTCGAAACTTGTGGAATGTTTTTCAACCGTGGCGCTGCTGGGAAGAGACTAGATGTTTTCCTCTCCTTTTTCCAGGTCTGTTATAACCGCTTCAGGGTTGCGTTCCCGTGATAGCTAACGAACGAGACAGTATTACATTTACGTCAAAGATGTTATGCCCATGGAAATTGAATTCATGGTCCGTGATGTGTTTGCGCTAACCCGCCCCCAATGGCTATTAGCTTCCAATATAGAAGAGGCGATGGTTGCTCTTCAGTCTGCCCTAGCTGAGCAGCAAACGACGCTAGCTAATGACCGAGCTACCGAGATAGAAGAGAGGAGTTCAACCGATGACTCTGATGATGATAATGTTGACGCAGAATTGCCGGACGTCGACGGTGACTTGTACCCTTCATTCAGCGAAGGCGAAGATCTCGAGGTGAGAGGCTCTCTGACTAGCATTTCAGTATGAGTACCACTAATAACTCTCTATTAGAACCCCCAGGAAGCATTTAACTCATCCACGGAATCCGACTTCGAAGAGGAAGCAATTGTTGTCACTCGCCAGGAGGAGGAGGTAGATCCGGAAGATGCCGCTGAGTTTGAACGCGAGTTCGGCCGGGTGATGACTGAAAGCCTAGAATCCCGAAAGTTCGAACGCAAACCCCAGTTTGATGTACCAGTTCCAATCCGTGCGAGATACAGGGATTCAAACCAGAAACATGAGGATGGAACAGGGGCTCCATCTAGTATAACGCCCAGCACCATGGCATTCTCACTTCTAACAAAGAAGGGAAAGAGCCAGCAGGTAAATTAGCGGGTTTCTTTTCCTGCAACTGAACTGACTAAACTAATATGGTCTTAAAATCAGACCCGTACAGTCGAACTTCCCTCTGATTCTGGTTTTGCGGTTGCTATGAGGAACCAGCAACAAGCAGAAAGAGAAGAACAACAGCGGATCAAGAATCTTGTTTTGAATTATGAGATTAGGGAAAATGAAGATCAGGATTGTATGTGATTGTGCTGCCCTTCATATTTCTTACAGTTGCTGATACTACCTAGCTCTTGATGACAAGCCAACTCTATATTCAATGGCAAGGAGGCAAAGTAAGGAAAAGGCTAGTCAGAGAACTAGAAAGCTCCAACTTAGTGATGTGGAGTGGTAAGGAGGCTCTCTAACCTAACTATACCCTGGCCATTACCTATACACCTCTTCAGTAGCCACATATTGCTCTTTACCTTCTTTGATTCTATCCTGGTATTGTATCCCACTAAATAAAGTAAAGGTACCCTGGTCCTGGTACGCTCACCTCCTCTCTCTCCTTCTACTTCTATCCCCCTTATTGTTAGCCTTACCATGGTAGCCTTATCACTCAACATGTATATACCCAGTGTTCAAAGCTAAAAATACATCTAGACTAGGTATTCTCATTAAAAGATGCATATGTAGTTAGACTTCCTCGGTCTGTAATTTTTATGTGATAATATCACACCTCTATCCTAATCCACCACATATTATTCAAACCACAACCGCTATGAATGGCACATTAGTCCGTCTCTAGATGTACCTAGCGCATTTTGTCAAGTGCCATCAAGAATGGCGCAAGTAGCAAGTCCTCCTATTTACGTCAGCGAAGGGAAGCTCGAATTATCGGCCGACCGTAGGTAAGTCGCCCGGAATATTATCGCCGCGACAGCTGATGGATTTATTCGTATATATTCTCAAAAGCCTTGTCGGTGGGGTGAGTGGAAAAGTAGTAGCCTCATCCGCTTCTTCAGCTCGTTGCCATGTGTGCCGGGCGATCCATGCATGGAAGGCAAAATAAAGACTGGATATTCTGTCCTTGAGTCTACCTAGCATTATTGCAACTAGATGCACGGGTTTTTAATTTAGGGGGTCAAAGCCTAACTGTCTCTTCCCTTCCCCTTTCTCCTGATTTATTTATGACAAAATTGCAAGCTTGCGGTCAATGGCCAGTATGGGCAACCTTGCGGTAGAAGATGACGGAGGAACTCGCTGCTAATTCTGGAGTCGTGGTGGGAATCGCCTTCAATAGGCTGGCTTTTAAAGCAACAGGCTGATGGTAGAAGTTGCTAGAATCATCTTGAATCTTTCATTCTTCTCAAAGCGTATTCAAAATTTTCATGTTTTTATTAGTTCTGTTTTAGGCATTTACTTCCTGTCAAAACGCAGACTTGTATAGACTATGTCACACAGCAGCCATGCTGAACGGTCCCTTGCGGCTCACACGTTTCCAAACGCTCAAGCTAAGACGGAGCGTTTCCCTTAGCGTTTCGAGGAAGCTCTCAGTCGTCAACCGCATAACCCCGCTGCCCCGCTAGCCAAGCCCATTTTTTCCCTGTCCATTATAACTTGCCAGTCGCCAGTCCAACAGGATATTCTCCTCTCCCTCTCAACCCCAGAGCTTCTCCTACCCGAACTTAAAAACTGAAAAAAAGAGATTTAACGAAACCTCACGGCGGTTTAGAAGGAATACAAATCGATGTGGGTTTTTCACTTATGCGCTCATATCTGTGCGCTTTCCTCTAAGCCTCCGATCTAACTGACTATTCCTTCAGATTATCTTGTCCTCACGTTTACTTCAGCTCGAGGCTCCAAAATGAGTGTCGTAGGTATGTAAAACTCACCATATACCCTGTGGTCTAAGTGTATTTCTCTATACACATGCTGATAATACTAGGTATTGACTTCGGTACCTTGAAGACCGTTATCGCGGTGGCTAGGAATCGCGGTGTTGATGTGGTAAGTTGACCTAGCCTGCTCGCCTATTCTCTAACTAATTCTGTCGATTGTAGATAGCCAACGAGGTCTCAAATCGCGCAACCCCGTAAGTCTTATCCTAGAGTCTTTCTCTGGCTCAGATCAATAATCTTGGGGTTTTTTTCCCCTGGATCTTGGTGAATCCCCTTGATCGCAAAGCTACAAGCTGGATTTGCTAGTCAAAATATTTTGCCATACATCCTTAACTAACATGATCTCCTATCCCTAGTTCCCTCGTTGCCTTCGGTCCCAAGTCCCGTTTCCTCGGAGAGGCGGCTAAAACTCAAGAAATCACCAACCTGAAGAATACAGTTGGTTGTCTGAAGCGTCTTGCTGGTCGGTCTGCGAAGGACCCTGATGTTGAGGTTGAGCAGCAATTTATCACGCCTGCTATCATCGATGTCAACGGGCAAGCCGGTGTTGAGGTGACATATTGCGGTGAGAAGGAAAAGTTCAGCGCTACTCAACTCATTGCCATGTTCCTTGGCAAGATCAAGCAGACCGCAGCGGCAGAATTGAAGCTTCCAGTTTCAGATGTCGTAATGAGTGTACCAGCCTGGTTCACTGATATCCAGCGACGAAGCCTAATTGACGCGGCCGAGATTTCTGGCCTGAAGTTGCTTCGGCTGATCAACGACACAACGGCCGCAGCCCTAGGCTACGGTATTACAAAACTTGACCTTCCAACAGCAGAGGAAAGGCCCAGGCGTGTTGCTTTTGTGGATGTTGGAGACAGCACATACACTTGTTCTATTGTTGAATTTCGAAAAGGTGAATTATCTGTGAAATCAACAGCCTATGACCGTCATTTTGGTGGACGAGACTTCGACAAGGCCCTGGTCGATCACCTCGCCAAAGAGTTTAATGGCAAGTACAAGCTGGATATTTTCAGCAATCCTCGTGCTACCGCTAGAGTCCTTGCGGCTGCAGAGAAAACGAAGAAGATACTCTCTGCGAACCAATCTGCGCCCGTTAACATCGAGTCATTGATGAATGATATCGACGTATCTGCGGTAATTAGTCGGCAGGAGTTTGAAGCAATGGTGGTGTACCTTCTTGACAGGGTCCAAGCTCCTCTCGAACAGGCCCTCGCCGACGCTAAACTTAAGAAGGAGGATATCGATTATATCGAGATGCTGGGTGGGGGTAGTCGGGTCCCGGCCTTGAAGGAGAAGATTCAGGAATTCTTTGGAAAGCCTCTCTCCTTCACCTTGAACCAGGATGAAGCCGTTGCCCGCGGCTGCGCGTTCAATTGCGCTATTCTTTCTCCTGTGTTTCGCGTTCGCGACTTTGCCGTCCAGGATATCGTCAATTATCCTATCGAATTTGCATGGGAGAAGGCCCCAGATATCCCGGACGAAGACACAAGCCTCACAGTCTTCGGAAAGGGCAATGTGTTGCCCTCCACGAAGATTTTAACCTTCTATAGGAAGCAGCCCTTTGACCTAGAGGCGCGCTATGCGAAACCAGACGAACTTCCAGGCAAAACAGCGCCATGGATTGGCCGGTTTTCCGTCAAGGGCGTGAAAGCCGATGAGAAAGACGACTTCATGATTTGCAAGCTTAAGGCGCGAGTTAACATCCACGGTGTCCTCAACGTGGAAAGTGGTTACTACGTGGAAGACCAGGAGGTGGAGGAAGAAATTAAGGATGAGGAAAAGAAAGATGATGCTGACAAAAGGACCCGGACGTAAGTATTGTCTCGATGCCCCAGAACCCCAAGCTCCCTTATCAGCCAAGTATTAACCATGTATGAAGGCTATGGAAACCGACGCACCCAAAGAAGACCAGCCGAAGAGGACTCGGAAAGTAAAGAAGCAGGTTCGCAAGGGCGATTTGCCCATTGTTAGTGGCACAAACTCATTAGACTCGAGTCTCAAATCTGCATTCGAGGAAAAGGAGGCACAGATGTTGGCAGAAGACAAATTGGTTGCTGTAACTGAAGAAAAGAAAAACGAGCTCGAGGCATACATCTACGAGCTACGCAACAAGCTGGACGACCAGTATGCTGATTTCGCGAGCGACGATGAGAAGTCAAAGATACGTGCTAAGCTTGACACAACAGAGGTAAGTGGATTTAAGCTACCCGCTTTTTCTGTCCACTCGGTATCTAAATTCTAAATTCGATCTTCTCAGGATTGGCTCTATGACGAGGGCGATGATACGACCAAGGGTGTGTATATCGCCAAAATTGACGAACTACGAGCCCTAGCCGGACCCATAGTTCAGCGTCATTTTGAAAAGGTCGAGGCGGAGAGAGTTGCTGAACAGGAACGGATTGAGGCCAAACGTTTGGTTGAAGAAGAGGCACGGAAAGCTGCGGAAGCTGAGCGAGCGGCCAACCTCAAAGATGAGGAAATGACAGATGCAGAAGCTCCCAGGCCCGATGCCGACGAAGAGCCTAGCTCAAAGTAGGACTTGGGTGCGTTAACACGGAAACCTAGATTAGTTTCATTTGAGATGCAAGAACAGCGGTCCTCTCACCAGCACTACTCTCAATGTTTTCACCTCACACTTGACTAGGAAATAGGGTGGCAGTACTCTTGGGCAGAGGCAAAACTTGATCCCGCCTTGCAAGCTTAGTTAACCAACGTCGCAGGTAAAACAAACAGCCACATTGTACTTAGAGGTATAGATCCAATTGCAGCTAAAGTTCTTTAAAAATACATGAATTTGTGCATGCCTATTATGATCGGGCCATTAATGCTACTGTACATCAAAGACGGGCTTCAACTTGATGATCAGCTGCCATTCATCCGGAGATACCTCCTTGCGATAGAAGTCTTTAAGACAATTTATACTAGCGCGAGAAATTGCACTGTACAACGTATCCTTTTCCTCAAGTTGGCGGCCGTAAGACGGCTGGTGACCCCCATTTCGATTTTGACAGCGACCGAGGGCTGTCCTTTTTTACAAACAGGTATCTGCTTATGATCGCGCTCTATCGACGTCCTGCAATGCTGGGTAAGTTTATGCCTAGGATGCGGAAAGGGGGTGGGGGCTTACACTCGTCCAATCTGGATTATTTCTTTAGTGTTTGTCGTAGGGTTGGTTTTCACTACCGCAATGGGTGTGTTGAGACGTAGCTGGCCTTCAACGACGTCGACACCGACAACAATCGGAGTGGTTTTGTTGAAGATAGCCACTGGATTCAAAACACAAGGGAAAACCGCCAATAACTTGGATTCCTCCTTCTTCTTTTCCAGTAGTTCATCCATGTGTTTTGTGAATGCATCAAACAAGTGATAGATGATATCAGCGGTAAATATCTTGATTCCGTTGTCTTCCGCATACGCCTGCGCTTCCTTATCAACTTTGACGTCGAAGCAAAGCATAACCGCATAGTCCGGGGCACGCTCCAGCATGATGCCACATTGCATGACATCGCGCTTGTACACTGGGCCAATACCAACGTTAGCAACGGGAATTTTGCAAGATTTCAAAAAGTCAAGCAGAGCCTCGAGGGAGCCTAGGGTGGATGCCTGTACGCTGACGCCCTTTCCGTTCTTCTCGACACGGCTAAAAAGAAGCGCTAAGTCTGATTCAACCTCATCTTCCAGATCAGACTCATCGTCATCTGGCCCAACGACAAGGAGGCGCGATCCCGCAATGGCTCCTTCGAGGCCGGAGGCACTAATCTTAATCCCCATAGCTGCTTTGACCTCCTTATTATGAATGTAGGCAGATTTTAGACGAAGCTCTCGCATAGGGGCCGGTGTAAGGAGGGCGCGGATGTTGGTCTTTATGACTCCCTCTACGCCGCAGATAATTATACGGTCGCCTTCCCTGAGAATGCCATTGGTCAAGATAACGTCGATCGTCATTCCAAAGCCTTCGATTGCTTTTACCTCAAGGACAGTGGCTTGAACCTCGGAAAGGTACATAAGAGAGCCAACCATCCGTTCCTGGGTAAGTTCGACAATGAGTTTCAAGAGATCCGGGACACCCTCGCCAGTGTGGGCAGACGTTGGAATGAGTGAGACATTTTTAGCCATGGATTTATTTTCGTAATAGAGCTCGGCGTTAAATCCTTGTTCCGCGAAGGCAAGTTTGGTCTCTTGTAGGCGGTTTTTGAACTCATTCTGAACACCCCTGCTTTGCAAGGAGAGGCTTTCCTGAAATCCGTTGTTGTCAACTTTCTTCCAGCCATAGAGTCGGTCAATCTTGTTCAAAGCGACAATGAATGGTGTTTTTCGATCGCGAAGCAGCTTCATGGACTCGAGCGTCTGTGCCTCCAAACCGTGCATGATGTCGACGACGAGGATGGCGATGTTGCAGAGTGATGAACCGCGAGAGCGAAGGTTCGAGAAAGACTCGTGACCAGGGGTATCAATTATCAATAGGCCCGGAACCTTTAACTCGAACGCTCCGTCCTTGTTTACCACAGCGGTCTTCTGTTTGATTGCCTCAGCAGGGAAATATGTGGCGCCTATCTGCTGCGTGATGCCTCCTGCCTCCCCTCTTGGACATTGGTCTGCCGAATCTTATCCAAGAGTTTTGTTTTGCCCGTATCAACGTGGCCAAGAATGCAACAGATTGGAGATCGTAAGTCATCCTTCGATCGAGCGGCAAGGGCAGCTTGGTGTGCCTTTTCGCGTCTCTCACTCGCCTCTTTCTTTCTTTGAAGTTCTGCAAGCTGCTTCTGGGTAGCAGCTTCATCTTCCTCAGAGGAACTAGCCTCTCCGTTGGCCGGCTCTGGGGAAACATTTTCTTCGTCCGTGTCGACATCCCAGCTTTCTTTAATTTCACCATCACTTGCAGCAGCAGCCTCCCAGTCGTCTTCAACATCACTGTCGGCAGTCGCCTTCGCAGCGTCGGCCTCTGCACGCTCCTTGGCGAGTCTTTCTTTGCAGCATTCTCTTCGGCATCTTTTGCAGCTTGCTCAGCCTGCTCTCTGGCTCTTTCAGCTGCTTCTGCCAAGGCCTTCTCTTCATCAATCTAATATCTTGTTAGTACGGAATAGCGAGGACCAATATATAGTAAAGCAGCCAGCTGCGGCAGGACTGACCTTGCTTTCGTTCTTTCTTGCGCCCCGTTTCCTGTTATCGTATACGACTTTCTTTCTTTTTCCTGACCCTCGCCTTCGTCATCCAGTGCGCCTACCTTCACACCAGCCGCTATCATCTGTTGAAGTTTCCTCTCATTGCGTGCCTTCTCCTCCCTCTGAGCTTTTGTCAAGAACTTGCCTTCCTTCTTTAGCTGCTCGATTTTCTCTTTTTCTTTTTGCTTTTTCAGAGCCTTTTGCTCCTCTTTCCGTTTTTGCTCTTCAGCATACTTCAGTTCATCCTCCTCTATTTTAGCCCTCTCTTGGGCTAGGCGTTGAGCCTCCTCCTCTTGCTTGCGTCGAAGTTCCTCTTGTTGCTTTTGAATTAAGGCGAGATGGGCGGGTATCTTCTTTTTCTTCCCAGCTGATAAAGGAGCAGGTGCGGGACTATCGTTGCTCGGTAAGGTGGCCTCAGGCGCGGGTTTTTCTATTGCCACAGTGCTCGTCTGGGTTGGCTGAGAGGGCCCAGTGGTTTTTTCTTGGCAGCCTAGATAGAATATTAGAAGAATGAGCAATATGATTTGAAGTGGAGGGAGGAATTCAAAGATAGAAACTAGTGGTCTGACCTGTTCTTTCTTCCTTTGTTTCTCTCGTTCCTTCTTCAGCTTTTCCTTTTCAGCCTTTGTCAGAATTCGGCCAGCGTCGTCCGCACCATCATCGTCAGCAGCCCTTTCGGCTTGCTTGCCTCTGACTTGGGCTTTGGCCTTTTTGTCAGGCAACGCAAACTCGTCCTCGATCGAAACTTCAGGAGCCTGTCTGCTAGTGATATCGATTTGTAGTGCTTCGCTTTGTTCAACTCCCGACGGGTCTTCACTTGGCACAAAATGATCTTGGATCCCCTTCTTCTTCCTCTTCTCCTTATTCTTCCGCATCAAAGCCATTAAACCTCCAGATCCTGTATTCTCGCCATCTTCTTCACCAATATGGTCGTTAATACCATCTGGGGCGGCGGATTCGTTTATTTCGGTTTCCCATTCCTCGGCGCCCTTTTTGTTTCCTTTCTTCTTCGGAGCCATCCTTATTGAAGCGCGCAAATTCAGTATACTGTTTAACAAATAGATATTAGTAGACGAAGGGGTACAGTATAGAAGAAATAGGACTGGGCCCGGTTAGGGGTTGACGGTGATGTTAGGGCAGCGGCCGAACTGGACACGAGTGGGGGTAGCCGAGTGGCCAAAGTAAAAAATTAGGATGAAAAAGAGGCTCCACCAGGTGTGTATCAGAAAACCAAACCCCTAGAGGAAACTGAGAGTCTCGGGGAAGGATAGAAAGTGGTTGATTACCTTCAAAAGATGCTATCTTTATGAGAACAAATGTGGTAAGTGGTTTGACAGTGTTATGTCGAGGTGGATCTTCTCAGCATCTACCAGGACATCAATGATCAATCAAGTACCGAGGTATAGAGGAGGAAAAAGAGTCTGGTGGGTAACTGAGGATAGGAAGCCCTGGGCCTGGTGTGAGTCAATGATAGAACCCCTATTGAATTAACCCAGGCTAAATCGAAATAGTTCTATAAAAGAATTTGAAGTAACGTTAAAACATGAAAATGCCTACCACTTACTAGACACCAGCCAAGATTTTGTTTCTCTCCTGGTCTCTTGATTTTCTCTTCTTGAAGTGAGAGGATTTGAGAACAGATTTATTTTAGGGCAGAATTATCTTTCGTCTAGGGGTGTAGAGGAAGGGAAAACAATTGATGAATTTCATCATATTATCACCCTTCTTCGTTGGGCTCCTCAAATCTTTTCAGGAGGGGTAAGTCGTGGTGGGGTAAGTGGCTGAAGGAGGGCAGCTCAGTAATTACATCATACAGAATGCTCTTCTTTGATTTACTCAGAACCACAGACAAGGGACAGCCCCACCCGCACAACTCCATCTGCGTGCTCCTCTTAGCCCGCCGGTTTCTGATTTTGACTGACAAGTGCAACAACGGTGACTGATATAGAGACCATACACAGCCGTTCTATTAAGGTGTCTGATGTAGGGATGAATTAGGAGGGTGACGTGTTAGAGCGCAGGACTCATAAAGTAGTCCAATATCTGATAGCCCAAACCTAGATACCTTCCCACTAATCCACACTGGGTCCCGTGGGTTCTGTCATTGGGATCTCGGCTCGGGCTCTTCCTGGAATGGCTATTGCTTGTGGATAGGAGAGGCTCTGCGGTGACTTCTGGGTGGCAGATGCTCGTCGCGCAATCACATTCTGACTGATCAAACCCTTGTGTCCATTCACCTCCATCAAGCTCGTCGAGGTAGCGCATGAAGAGCTGGCTCTCTTTCTGATTTCTGAATAAGGTTTCCAGATTTCTAGATTGGAAGCACCAGTATAGGATATCTCCATTCACATGAAGCTGTAGTTTCGGAACTGGGTTGGGCTCCGAAATTTCCTCTAATTGATCGCTCGAGACCTGTAGTGTAACACGATAATGGGAATCGGCGACGTTTTGAATGAGTTTGAGGAATCTCCACGCCTCCATAGTTAGCAAGGTGAAGTTGTGGATGGAGCCGTCTAAGCATACGCCTAGGACTTCGGCATCCTCGGCTGTACTTGGAATTCTCCCATATCGGGGCTGCCCAAGTTTTGATCTCCACCAAGCTGGTCGGGTGTGCCCTTTTGGAATCGTCTTACGGAAGCGGGGAGCTCTGCTTCCAAGACAACCTCAATGTCACCGTCTTCTCCACCCCTCGGGATCCAGACACCGACGATGCCACACTCGCGATCAGAGATTAGGGTGATAGGCCATGCACCAGATGAGTTGGAGGCGCTCCCGATGTCCGTCATGTGCGTAGTTGGTCGCATGCGCTTCTCAATAAGCCTGTGCCCTGTCGTATAGCTATCCTGGTTCTTGAGCAGGTCAAGATTCACAATCTCAAGTGAATGGGCCTGGGTCAAGGCGTAGAGCCTTCCTGATAGTATCCTCAGTGAAGTCGCTGGCGATACTAGGTCTATCTTTGCATGCTCCTAATTCTGCGCTCCGTAACATCTAAAACTTCCCAGTGTATGGTGGATCCTACGCAGTAGAATATATTATCCGCAACGGCTGAGACAGAGTAAATTGGAAGCCCCGAGCTGGCCTTTTTGTGTCTTGTCCAAAACCGAACCTGACCATCAATCTTTTCGGTAGAGATGATAAGAAGCCGGCCAGAGTGTGTGGTAACGAGGATAAAGGAAAATCTTTTTCCTTCTTTGGTGAAGAGCCATTCATCTAGACAATGAATCCAATCCCCTTCGTGACCAAGCCCGGAAATAAATTCTTGGTCCTCCTTGTTCCGGTCCGTTGGCCATGATAGGTTTTGGCCAGAATCTGGATGCAGAAACATCAATGTCGGACGGTTATTCACGTTCACCGCAACAACCAGGCATTCTAAAACATGGGAATACAACACTCTGGTTGGCATGCCTTTCAAAGGCATTAGTCTCGGAATAACCACTGGCAAGCCCTCAAGCCGTGTAACTAGGAGCCTGGATCCCGTTATCATCAACAGCGAGCGAGGATCTGCGGTGGGTGTTGGAATCTGTGCCACAGATGTCACTACGATAGTCGCTAGATTAGGTGAGCCTCCATCAACGGGGACTATTCGAGTGCGAGATCTGAATCCATTCCCATTTGCCGTGTCGTAGTTATCCAGAAGGGCTACCGAAGGGCCACAACAGAGGAAGACGGGTTGTGCTGAGCTAGGTTCAGAAGAGCCGGGGCTAGATATGATGTCTACCGGGAGGTTCCCGACCTTTTCTAAGCGGTGTATCACTTTGAGGGGCGTAACCGATTGGATCTCAATCTCTAGAATGAAGCCACCTCGTGTCCCACCCACCACAACCACTTTTTCTGGGCTCTCGAGAGTCAGAACAAGGTGTGTCACGGCTTCTACTAGGGTGGCTTCGTAGTCCTTGTTCGTATCAGGCCAATGTGAAATTTTGTAATCATCTTTGCGGCATCTTGTTAGAGGAAAGCGATCAATGGGAATTCCAAACTACGAACCTGCAAGCAGCTCTAGATTTACAAGCGGCGTGAGACTTTCTGTGTCTGCTGCGTAGATTAGAAGGCGTGTGCAGCCAGGCTGCCAAGTTGATGCCAATACGAGATTTTCTCCTTTGATAGTGCAAATTTGTAGGCAAGTGACATCTGAATCGAGCGTGTATCGTCGAAAAATCTCTGTTGGGTCACTAGCCACAACTAAAAATATTTCGAAGGGAGAGCCAGTCTGTCTGGGCGCAATGGAGAAAGCTACTAGGTTGTTTTGGATGCATGCATTTTCTGCCCTTGCATGAGTCCTATTTAGAACGGTCCGCATCGTAAAAGACGATCTGTTTCATTAGCTTGATCATTGTTTGCCAACTGGAAGGGTCGGGACTAACTTTTAGAGGGGCCGAAGAGGCTAATGGATGTTTCGGTTACCTGGCACACCTGTGGACCGGATATCAAAGCCGCCGCCAAGGTCCGAGATGTGGTATCGATGCAAGGATTCGGTAGCTCAGTTTCGCGGACGTCGTTGAGGTCAATGGAGACTTCTGCTAGTAGACTCCTGTTATGGAGACTAAGAAGTACGATGAACCCACCCTGGCCCTGGAACTCGAAGTCGGGGAACACCCAAACGTTTCTTAACGGCGCCCCATATTCAACATCGAGTGTGATAAGTGCGGGAAGGCCATGAACGAGTTCGGTGACCCCCATTCACGCCGCAACCCGAGGTGACGAAGAGACGACCTTGCTGCGGAAATTCGCCTAGAGATTCGTTTCCAGAGCTCATAGTTCTTGGCCCAGTATTCCCTACACCCTGGCTCCAGGCTACAGAGCCACTCGTAGTCTCTAAGTCAAGAACAGGAGACCAGTTTGGTATCACGCCTATCTGTTCCGGGCGCTCCCTCGCAGGAAGCTAGTAAGGCAGTAGGGTGTAAGCGTACAGCAGATGAGCATGGGCCAGAAACAGGGATAGAAGAACTTACAGCCCATATAGAGCCCTCACCACAGCTCCCTCCTAATATAAGGATGTCACTAAAGGTATCAGCAACGGTAGCAAAAGCAGTGGAAATATTTGTGCTGTAGTCCCCTACGTCAAGACTAGATTCGAGTATTTCGTCAGAGTCTATCTCAAAATAAAATATTATACCATCCTCCCGCGCTAGATATATGTTGTCTTTTGATTGATAAAAGGCCTTCCTTCGTAAGGGCCTCGTCCAGGCGGTCCACAACGGTCGTCCTGTGCCGTGGTGGTACATGGTTTTCTCTCGTTCTGTCGTGCTCACTAGTTCGGGGTGGAAAGAGCCGTGCAAAACGTCTCGAAAAACGGCAATTGAGTTCTCCGAAACGGAGAGAAAAGAGGTCTTGACAGTGAGTGGAATCAAGAGTAACGGCATTTTATGTTCTGGGGGCAGTCGGAAGCCAGCCAGCTCCTCAGAAAAAACAAGATTGAGGTCATCACCGTGGACCCATTCGTAAGTAACCACTCTCGCCACCCCACCCCGGATCACTAGAAGGACAAGTATGACGGTCTGCGTGTCCTGCGATCCAGGAAAAAGGAACTCAACTTTGTGGATAACACCTGTCATGGCTCGAGGTCGGTAGGTAATGAGTGGTTTCGTCAGTGAACCGCTAGTCTGATACTGCCTTTCAAGACTCTTGAATGTGTCTAGTTCATAGATGACGCAGAGGCCCTCGCTGCTAGCAGCAGCCATATATCTAGAACTGGGGTCGATGGCGAAGTGGAAGCCGGGGTGGACGGCTAGGCCTTGTCTAGGTGAAGGCACAGCTGAGCTTACAAAGGAGCCCACGCCGTGACTGGTTTGGCGTAAAAACAAGAAGACAAAATCTCCGGTTTCTAACAAGAGAACGAGTAGTTGGGGAGGTAGGCGAAAGCACTCTCTTCGAGAGGCTTGGGCTCGAAGACCCCGCGATGTGTGATCCCTTGGCGCGGTTGTTTCCTGCTCGAAAGTCGTTATTAACGAGAGAATCCTCGTAAAACGAACCCAGGACTTTTGCATTGACGATTCGAGACCCAAAATCTGATTTCCTAGCGATATCGTGCAGCTGGCCATCCCCTTGGAGCTCTTTGATCTGCACGAACCGGTCCTATTCCTCTTGATTAGCCACATTCGTCATGAACAAGTCGGGGCTGCGTTGCCGAAACTATGGACTGTTACATAGGAAACTCCTAGCTAGTAAGAGTGCACTTACTCCGATAAAGGCAACATCATTATTACCGGCTGACCTCAACCGGACAGGGAACATCCACAGAACGACGGGGCTTTCCACAATTGTCCGAGTCAGAAGGCCGCAAGCTGGTGATGCGCTTTTTTCTTTTTTAGCCATGGGTGCCTCTCGCGTGGACAAAAATGTCTGCATATTGACGTTCTCTGTTATCCAGGTACCATTTCTAAGAACATTTGTTTGAAACGCCATCTTCAAGGTTCATGATTTGAAGTTGGGCATCGGCGTGTGCTGTTGAATTAAGCTTTAGCCCCGACGTGACTGATGAATGGTTTTCGAGACGGTACATACCGATGATAGATGTAAGGTGCGGAGAGAGAGGTGGGGTGTTGATGGAACCAAAGGCCATTCCGTTGATCCAAGGATCCATCCATCAGTGCTATCCATACTTTCGGTTCAAGTCAGACAATAATACACCCGAGCACTTCCATAACTAAGAAGAGGACCGAACCACTACGGATTTTCAAGAGTGCAGCACAATGGATTTCTATCCCATTTAAGGTAAATGATTACTGTCCAAGGCCTGAAAATAAAGGTTGTCGCTCTCCCATAGGAAACCACCACCCTAAGGAGTTTCTTTGCATATCTTCAAGACTCCCGCCGCTCAGTCGTCATCAAGAGATCTTCACATCAAAATATGCCTATAGATATAGATCCCTCCCCACCCAGGGCGAAGGTTCGGGGTAGAGGCTTTAGAATACGAGGCGAGTATCGATGAGCCATAACCGCTCGCATTTCTGGTTGTCTGAATTGGTTCTCTTTCTTTTCGGTGTTGCGTGTAATAGTGTAAGGTTGGTTTGATTGTTTGGGAGTCACTCTTTTGGCCGGTTGAGGCTAGTGCCCGTTTTGCTGCTGAAATACGGTGTGTGATTCCAGTATACTTCAAATTAGCACTGTTCAGTTACATTGACAAGTTATCACTTCGCCACATGGAAATGATTTATGCTTTAGAGATAGATCCTCTGACGAAGCCGGTTCGTCCCTGGTTTTCACGCCTGTGCCCCCGCCGCAAAGGCTCATCACCACAGGTCGGGACTAACTCGACAGTTTTTTTCCTTTTTTGTGCTTAGAACAAGAAACCTCTCACTGAATGGGGAACGCTGGCTCTCCAACGCGTGCTGCTATCCATGAGCATCACAGTTGCGACATGCAGGCTTCGAAGGGCAAATCATTCGTTGCGGCCACGCCCGATACTCTCCATGGTCGTCTCTCCTTCTCGCATCTGAAGGAAGGGCAAATTCTGGAAGCATGCTCCAAGGCCGATATCGAGGGTCTGAAGATGCTGGCAGAGTCAAGGGGTGGCTTCCTCAACGATGGCCTCAGACGCAAAGCCTGTAGGTGCTTTGAAATCCACGATCCTACTTGCTATTCCGCTAATATCCAAGATTCTCCGATTCTTAATTAGGGCCCATCCTTCTCGGATATCCTACTGAATACAATGGCGAGGCTTCAGTAGATCCATCAAGCGAAGGCACTGCAAACGAGCCTCCCTGGCGAGAACTTCCCAACACAGGGATGAGGATCAGGTACAGCTTGATGTTCACCGGGCATTTATATATTATCCAAATGGTACTCTTCTCATTGAAATCCTCGAACTACTGTCATAGAAAGGGGGAACCGCCCAGTAATGCTAACATGGAACGTTTGGTAGACTTGTCGGAGGGGAATTACAGATGCGAAAGTCTGAACTTTCAGACCTGATCGTTGAGGTTCTTCGTCGACACCCCTTTTGTGCTACTTTCAAGGCTATCATGACATCTGTCAAGTATTTCTCTTAGTACTTGAAGCTCAGATCCGTGCTCCTCTAGTTGCGCGTCTCTCTCTTCTTCGCATTCGCGATTTCATGCTGCCAACCCTTGCCCCTACTGTCGCCCAACTACGTCTGATTCCAGATATTCTTGACAGCGCAGACCCAGACTTGCGAAAGCACTTAGCTGACACGCAACCCTTTTATGCCCTTTCTGGCACGCTCACTATGTTTGCCCACAATATAGAGGGCTATCATGACATTGCTAGGCTATTTGATGTTCTCATCACAAAAGAACCTGCTTTTAGCATATACCTCTTTGCGCAAATCGTCCTTGGCCGGCGGGAAGAAGTACTGGGAATATCGGCGGAAGATCCATCGATGCTGTACCTCACTCTTTCTAAGGTTCCCCAAGCGCTAAATTTGGAAACCCTGATATCTGACACCATCTCCCTCTTTGAAACCCACCCACCCGAAACCCTGCGTTCTTGGAGTTCCATATCCTCCTCAAGCTGCTTGAAAACCGCTAGATCTTGGGATATCTATGTGAACCAGTTTACGTGCGATGGCTATGTTTATTTCCAAACCCAACTGAGAGCTTCGACGCGCTGAGGCGTGGAACAAACTGACAAAATCAATGTGGAGATATCGTTGGCGGGCGAAGACAGTTGGTTTTGCGCTTCTTGTAGGGCTCGGGGCTATCTATCTACATAGACACCCGACCTACGCGCCGTTCGACCTCCAATGGGCGACTCTTGCTGGCTGGGTTAGAAGGACGGCAGTATATCTAAGTCCATAGATTGTCGCCCTTGATAAAATACTGCGGTCTGCCATCTTGTAAGCTTTGTTGGACATGATGGAATCAGTTTATATATCTAGCTCCAGTTGGTCTTCTTGTGGTGTTCAACATTCTTCTGCGGTAAGATGGCTGGACTGAATATGTTATCCGTCTCCGATATTAGCCGTATTCTTGAGGCTACTTCCAATACTTCCAAATGATCTATTGACGTGACTAGGCTGTATTGCTAAAGGAAAAGACTCATAGGCCTATGAGGTGGCCCGGGAACCATGTCCGCCTATGCCAAAGCCTCAAGGTGAGAATCCCTGAGACGTTCGAAATATTCTTGCTGATCCAATGACATCCTACCGTCAGTGTCGCTTATGATGGTGAGAATTAATGAATAGTTATTGTATAGAAATCGTTGCTGTTTCCGCGTATCGCTATAGTGTTTCGCTTGTTTCGCGAGAAACATATCCATCTCCACTCTCAGCCGGCGTATGCTAGCCATCAACGGCTCATCGTCCCCTGCTTCAGAACAGAGTATGAGAATACCTTGAAGAAATTGTCCGAAGCGTTGGGTCACAACATGTGGCGCAACGGAGAGTTTCGCCTGATCACCTGCCGACCTACCAGTCGAGCGCGAAGAGGCGGAATTCGCCGCTTGGCGCAGTGATTCACAGTGGTGATCAATAACAAGCTGCAGTCTCGGCCACAGGAGCATATTTGTGGCGTTCATATACGTGTCCATAGTAGGCACCTTGCGCCGCTGCAGCTCAAAAGCAAAACGTTGATTGAGGCGAATGCAAAGAAGGAGGCCGAGTCCATCATATGAGTCACTAACCATGGTCTTCGTCAACATCTGGCCTAAGGCAAATGTCGGCTCGAATATATACCCAAAATGCTTGGCGATTTGAGAAAGGGCTAGAGGGGGAGAGAAAAACTCGAGAGGAAGGTGTATTCGGCGGAAACGTTATCGGCTAGGGCGAGATTAAAATTCCGAAAAGGAATCTCAGTGTGATGCGTCGTTTGGTCCTCTTCAGCCAGGTAAGAGGGGAGCGCTGTTTGAGTTTTCATCTTTAGGATGTCCATTCGGCGACCGAGATTGAATGCATCATGTTGCGGACTAAAAGGTTTTGTTGAGGCCAAAAGAGATGCCTTGCGAGGAGCCTCTTCATGCCCGAGGACATCATATTTATCTAATGCCTGGACTTTGATTTTGCCCAGTGCTTTGCAATAGCGGGTGAAATGCGCAAGATAGTACCATCTCATAGTGTTCATATACGCCAAACATATCTCATCACCTAGGATCGAGTGGTGCCGATATAAGAACGCGTAGGCCTCTTTAACATGGAGAAACTTGTGTTGTTGAATGACTTGGGCGTTTATATTCGGCGATCGAAGAGCTTTGATTTGAGAAACTAGATGGTCTCTTATGCGTTCTATCGCCTATCATTCGTTAGAAAAATCATGTCAAGTCGGGCGAAGTGGATTACCTTGAGAACAAGCTTATCTAGCAGCGGACCCAAATCAGTCCAAGCCTTGTTCTGTGCGGAGCTACTCGTATCTCTTCGATAGGCAGTAAGCCTCTTATCAATTTCACCAAGGGCTTTGATCCAGGACTCGTCGATTTGGCCATCCACGAGCTTGGCGACGATCACAGGCGGAACGCTCAAGTCCTCTACAACCGGGCTAAGGGATTTCTCAATAGCTTTCCTGTTTTCTAGTCGGATATTCAGTGCCGCTGAGCGATGTTGTAGAGATTCAATGTCTGCAGATACTGAAGCGAGCTCGTTTCGAAAACTCGTGAAGTTCGACTCAACCGAGCTTAGAACGCCATCGCATTCTGTAATCGAGGTACGAAGAATCTCAAGATCTGTGCTCTCGAGTTCACCTGAAGGATCAAGGCGTTAGATCTGTTGCTATCGCGTACCGTGAGAAAACTTACATCCTTGAACGATTTGGACGTTGTCTGAGTTCTTTGAAGCGCGCGACACAAATTCATAAAGAGACTGGCCATCGAAGTCAAAGTCGGTATTAAGGTCGTTATTAGTAAGGTCATGAAAGGAGCTGCCATCTTTTGATCTTTGTAGATTGGTGCTCCTAGAAGCTTTTCGAGATCCTCCTCTAAAGGGCGCGAGGGTTCAATTAACGTTTTCGAGCGTGGGCCATCGGGGCCCTTGACGAGTCCTAAGAGGGAGTGGGTGGGAGTGCTCGAAGGCAGTAAGGTCGTTGATAAGCCCCGCTGGGTATAACTCCCTCTTTGCGACGTAACGTAGGGATTGAAATTTGCCGAAGCTCGTTGGGGATGGGGAGAATAAGAACGTGGGCTCTGGGGTGAAGCACCAGGGGGCCTGTTTGAGTTAACCTGTCGAGCCACATTTTGCCAAGTACTTGTTTAAGGGGAAGATTTCACTGCTGGCAGTTACGCTTCAAGCAGCCGAGATCAAATGAGTATCCCAGTCATGCTTCTCATCATTCTATCCACCAGTGACGGCACAAGGTGAAATGAGAACTAAGGGGAACCAGTATGTTCTTAACAGGAAGCTCCTAGGGAAACTTATTATTTGCTTGGTGTTGGGGTGCTGTTCCTAGCTACTGACTTAGAGCCTTCCCACAGATATTGTTTTTGATCAATTGAAAGGGAAGTTGTCAATTTGCTCACAAACCTTTGGAAGCGTGTTCTAAAGCAACATTTGTAGTGGCCTTTTCTGGTGAGAGATATGTCATTACATAAGCAATATATTTCAGCCTTGGCCAGAATCACGAATTCGTCGACAACTTGAGCTCAACGGGCAGGTGGGGATTGACCACGTGATATTACAGTGACGACGACCTGGGAAAAACGATTGACGCCATCTTGTCTCGGTAGATCATCGGCTATTAAACCCATAGGAACAGGGTGTATTATAATCACATCCATCTCATTGATAATAATAATAAATTGATGTTCAGAATAATTCGGAAACCAACAACAACTCGCTTAGTAACGCTACTACTTGCCCTACCTCCCTAGGGTTACCATAATCTTCCCTGGGATCCCAGCTGCGACAACCGAAATGCATCAACTGCGACTAGACATAGACATCCATCCTTGAATATTAGTGATGTCGCGTCGTTTGACTTGGGCATTCCTTTGATATATTGATCTTCTCAGCTTGATGTTGGCCCTATACTCGTCTATAGGCCATCGGAAACAATGCTTTGTCCGAAACACAGACGAGGGTATACTTGTCAGTTCGTTCATCAATTCTAGAGCGAGTATGCCTCTCAGTTGATTTCTTTCTTTGTTACAAGAAAGGATGGTCGTGGCTGGAACGGCTGGGTATGTCCCCGTCCCTCGTAAGTGATTATTAGTAGTAGTCGAACGCTGGTGTATACAGTGATGAAGAGGGACTACTGAGAGACTCGGCTTTTATTTTCTCCTTCCCCTCTATTTTTGTTCCTGTGTTTTCCCACCCCGCCCCTCCACAAGATAAAACCTTGCCTCCTAAATCAACCTAAGAGAAAGTAATTCTCTCCCCTCCAGTCATATCTTCTTTCCTACCCCTTTTCCCGTCTTCAACTTGATCTTCTGTTTTCAATTTTCCTTCTCTTTCCCTTACACAAAAGTTCAATAATTACCACCTTGTATCATCACCATGGCCGACGACTCGCAGGTAAGACTTTGCCCCTCCTTTTGATTTTGCTCGAAAAAAAATCCGCACCCCGCATCAGTTGTTTTCCCCGCGATCTCAGACTGGCAAAAGCTGAGCTTTCAAGAGAGTTGCTATGCGCCACTGGGATATGTGCCGTGTATTTCGTTAGCATTAGATGCGATGGGCTTCTCCAGGACGCAAAATTAGATGTCAACTAGATGCTAATATACCATGCCCAACAACTACAGCATGAGCACACCTTCGAGTCGGCCGATGCTGGCGCTTCGGCTACCTTCCCCATGCAATGCTCTGCGTTGAGGAAGAATGGGCACGTCGTTATCAAGGGCCGCCCCTGCAAGATTGTGGACATGTCAACCTCCAAAACCGGCAAGCATGGTCATGCTAAAGTTCACCTTGTTGCTCTCGACATCTTTACTGGCAAGAAATATGAAGATCTTTGCCCTTCCACCCACAACATGGATGTCCCCAACGTCACCCGCCGCGAATACCAGCTTGTAAGTATAAATTACACCCATCCCAAGACGAGCTTGGTGCTCGGTTGGTCTGGTTCTCAGTGCTGATACATAGCGTTAGCTTGATATCTCCGACGATGGCTTCCTGTCTCTTATGAGCGAGGATGGCGATACCAAGGATGATGTCCGTATGCCTGATGGCGAAATCGGCGACAAGATTACTAAGCTTTTCAAGACCGATGAGAAGGACACCAGTAAGTGAATCCCCATTTTGATCGCGGTCTTTCATGGCCTAGTTGAAAGTTTATTTTGCTTTCCCCCTTTCTGTATCCTCGAAACACATATATAATACTTATACGGCCTCAATAGATGTTGTCATCCTTACCTCTATGGGTGAGGAAGCCGCCGTTGAAGCCAAAGAGGCACCTCGCGGTTAATCAAATAGAAGTTGCTTCCAGTGCTCTCTCAGTTGAATCATCAAAACTGATCGATATAGCCCGATTTGACCTCGAAATCTCGGTCTCAGCATCCTTCTAATTATCGCTCTTCTGATATTCATGGTGGGCTCCTGGTCGTTGAACCAAGTTCCTGAGAGACTCTTCAGCCCCGAAATTTTCTGCTTTAGGGCAGCTGTTAAGCACAAAGGCAGCCCTGTATTTTTGCCGTACAGGCTATAGCCTCCCCTAAGGTGATCTGGCCTACTTCGTATCTTTCCCTTATCCATGGTGGTACTCACCTGTGAAACTTGTGGTTTTGGATGGCAGTAGGTCATAGTGGGTGTAGTTGTGATAGCAGCATTGCAATACAGACATCGTCTTTAAAGGAAAAAAAAAAAAACCACCTCTTATTAGCATCTTGTCAAATATAAGTATGAGCTCATACCTTCGGCTTTTCTTCGAGAACACCAACAAAGGTGGGTTTTGAACAGCGAATGTAGAAGGTTGCCCTCATTGGTCCAGGGGCTTAGTGATCTGTCAGATGTTTGGTAAGAGCTGAACCCAGCCCCACTACCACATCAATTTCTCAACTAAGTTCTTCTCTTCTCATCCTGCCCCGTTCCAATTTGGGATGGAAAACAGATAATAGAATGGATGATGGCCGGGAATTACACCGGTTTTCACGGGGTGAGCATTGTTCAGATTGCAAGGCCAGAAAATGGTATCTGGAAAATGGCTTTAGGTATTGCCAAAATGGACACCGAGTTCAGTCTTGGGTGGAGTACGACGCCGCGGAGGATGAGGTGAAAGGCCGAGGGCAGGTCTCCCGGCGAAGCCATGGGCTAGGGTCCGTTACGGATGGCCTCAATGCAAAGCAGCGACTGACAGGCGTAGCCGCACGTATTCTTTTTTGGAGTGTTTGCAGATACTACTTCTGAAACAAGTTGCTTGGATGATATTGGTGAAAACCCATCCCCCTGAACTGGAAGCGGTTATTCGGGACCTGTGGGATCTCCGCCTACGACAGCTTATCCAAGATACGGACCCTTCCGAACAGACGCCGTCAGGTTTCCTCCACACCACCCGAGGCGGAGGTATTTTACATGACAGCTTGAATATAACGACTAGCACAGGCGTGTACCGGATGACGGGGTGGCGAGGCCCATGTCCCCTCGATACACTATCTATTTGTTACCTTGGCTGCCTCCTCCTGCGCCTTCCGACTACGGCTGGAGATATAATAGAGTGGACCAACAAGCAGGCCATGCCTTACAAACAAGCAGTATATACACCCCTCTTTTGAAAGTCTGGACCTTGCTGATAGGTTTTAGCATGGCGTCATACCTTCCATAGCACTTTATAAACTGCCGACACAATTTATAGCCAGCCTTGGGAGATTGGGCATCAGGGACATGACCCAGGAAGCGCTTCATCGAGGCGTGTACGACCTAGCTTGTTCATATTATAGCGATTACAAGCTCGTGTTCCCCCGCTGAATCCCGTGTCGAGAGGTTTGGTTTTGGCACGGAAATTTGGTCTTCCAGGTATTTCACTGAACGTCTTTGAAAACTGCTTCTTAACTGACGTGTAGGGCACAGTTGAGGTTCTTCAACTCACTAGTACCTTGCTGGACATAACGAAGATGGAGCTTGCCCTTCCGGTTAAAAAACACAGGCTACGGCTAGTAGACATCCCAGAGGTCTGTCTGGTAACGGCGATGGTTCTGGTAGTTAGGCACTCTGGGTTCCTGTGCTCGGCACACCCGCTCGGGGACCTAAAGGCCCGGATGCCTATTTTCCGGATACCGACTGGAAGCCGTGGCTAAGGCGAGTATATCTGAACGGCAGGCCATCTTTAAAGGATGGTAGTGGATGTGATTCCCTAGACGAAAAGGGTGAAGTTTGTGCTTCCGAAACGCGGGTATTTCAATATCCCTTCATGTCGCCAGGTCGGAAAGACGCCTTTGGCCAGGGCACTTGTGAGTATTGATCTTGACGAGAACTTGGTGGTTTTCCATGAGAAATTGTCTAGTCTTCGCTCTAACCCACTAATGCAGCTGGTGCAGTTCAGGATTCGGAGGGGCAACTCAAGTTTATGCCAAAGCAAGTGGCCACAAGGCAAAACAGTGAACGAGGGCCCGATGCGACGAGGGCATGGCATTCAATCAGTGATTTATCAGACCCAGCAAAACACTTTTACCAACTGGCCGGTATGTCAGCACCTACTTGAGAGCACCCTGAATTATACTGGCTGACGTAATACTAGCTTCCAATGTTGGGTTGACTTTGGATCAGATGGTCAAAGTCGCAGATATGTTTGAAAGGAAGGTCATAGTGAACTGGAAAAGAGAGAGGAATTGATAAAGTCGAGTGGATCCGTTGGTGTTTGACAAGAGTTCTTTATTAGTGGGCCTATTGCATTCAATCATGGCGCGGCGGAACCGGAGGCAGGTCGTACTAAGTAGCTATGGAGAGGAAGAATTATTATCACGTGACCAATTTAGGGCTTCCACTGCCTTGGATCAAGATCATTTCTCTCCAATCGTCTTTTAACCCCGCCAAAGTTTTCAACACCACCTCATACCGCGCATCGGGTCAAGATATAGCTGGCAAGAGTGAGTACGATTTTCTTCATGTTACGAGCGCTGCTGTGGCAAACTAATCAATACTTTGACATGCTGATAATTTTGCAGTGCAGATGTAAGCTTCTCTTCGGATTCTCCTGGTCCCTTCGAACGAATGCTAAAAGAATTGTGATTCAGTTTTGTCAAGACCCTCACGGGTAAGACCATCACCCTTGAGGTTGAATCCTCAGATACCATCGACAATGTGAAGTCGAAGATTCAGGATAAGGAGGGAATCCCACCAGACCAACAACGACTCATCTTCGCGGGAAAGCAGCTTGAGGATGGACGCACACTTTCTGACTACAACATCCAGAAGGTTCGTCTTCACTCGCAGACTCACCTTTATTAAACCCTTCCCACAACCCTGTGGAGACTAGACCCGTGATCGCTGACTGTTCGGCTAGGAATCAACCCTTCATCTTGTTCTCCGCCTTCGTGGTGGCATCATCGAGCCCTCGCTTAAGGCCCTAGCCTCGAAGTATAACTGCGATAAGATGATCTGCCGCAAGTGCTATGTATGTCCCTCTGCGTACCTGGAGGAAACATCTCGGCAAAAGCTAACCACGGACTGCTTGACAGGCTCGCCTCCCTCCCCGAGCAACCAATTGCCGAAAGCGAAAGTGCGGCCACACGAACCAGCTCCGACCGAAGAAGAAGCTTAAGTAAACATTTAGAAGGAGGGTGGCGTCTGGAATTTCCTTTACCCTTTTCCGGCATTCGACGGTGATGCGATGGGGAGGCGATGGGGAGCCATCGACCTCGGGCGATTATAATCCCCCAATCACCTACAACTGAGTCGTAGTGGAACAAGTTCTAGAACTATAAAAACATCTTTATTCGTCCAAAATTTTGTAGGAGACTGCGTCGGCGTTTCTTCCGAGGCAGCTCACACCCATTGATCTCTTGTGTGAAGGCTGTGAGATCATACAGCGATTTTTGGACTTGGGGCTGCTGTTGGTGGTGCCCCACATCGACTCGACCCTTTCACATCTTTCTGGTTCGGAACGGGTTTCCTTCTAGAAATCCTTTCCTTGGATCTACCCATCTCTCCATCGCTGTCAGTGATGCACAGTGCCTGTTTGAGGACCAAAATGTTCGGTCAACTGTAAGCAACCGGTGTCGGTGCATAGTTTTCAACCACCAAAAGCAAACGTGTAAATTTCGGCAAAACTACATTGGAAGAGGCAGAAATAAGCCACGTCCTTGATTCGCATCGGACAATAACCACATTGCGAGTTTGCACTTCTCCTTCGAATTGAACACGATGTCTAGCTCAGGATACGATGTTGTTGTAGATGTCGATGACGAGGTTTGTACTCACCCTTAATCTCGACATCTGCAAGCTGTACCCGGGGAATACTGACTCTTCAAAGGGCGATCTCGGCCGCACCAACCTTGAGGATGACCTGGAATTTCATACATCCACCTTTGCGGAAACGTCCGCGAGCGGGCCTAAAGGCAGAGCATCATCCGGACTTCTGCCTCCTCCGGTTACAGCTTCCTCAAGTGGAGGTGGCAAGCGTCTGATATGGACAATTGGCTTCTATGCTCAATTCTTTGACGTTGATACTTCCGCTGTTCTCGCTCGCTGTTGGGCTACTCTATTCCCTCGCGTCAACTTTTTAGACGTCCTTGAAGGCAACCCTGATCTCTACGGCCCATTCTGGATAGCTACTACCGTTGTTTTAATTCTATTTCTTGGTGGGACCATTAGCGACTACAGATCAACTGAACAGGGAACCCAATTTGCTTACAATTTCAAGTTACTCAGTGGTCTGTCCCCAATGTCCTTGACTTTAACTGGATAAATCTCTCATGCATTTACTAAATAATCTTTCCGCAGGTGCTGCTGGCCTGATATATGGCTACACCCTCTTCGTGCCTATTGGTCTCTATTTCGTTTTACGTTATTTTGGCTCAGAAGCAGCTAACATCTTGGAGTGCTGGGCACTATATGGTTACGCAAATTTAATATGGATACCAGTAGCGCTGATAAGTTGGTCCCCAGTTGACATTTTGAACTGGACCTTTGTTGCAATTGGCTTTGGGATGAGTGTTGCCTTTCTTCTCCGTAATCTCTATCCTGTTTTAAGTGCAACGGAGCGACAGACCAGCAAGGCCCTACTTATCGTCATCGTTGTGCTGCATCTCGCTCTCGCTTTGTCGGTCAAGTTCTTATTTTTCGCCCATAAGAGCCCATTAGGACCTGGGGATACATCTCCGGCTGAAACAAATTAAGGTCTTGCTGAGTATAATAATAGACTTTAGTTTTATCTTTGATAGCAGTGCAAAGAACTCCCTAAGATTAAAGGGGCTTGAGTTACCTATTCGTACGATACAGATATTAGATGCCTAGAAAAAAAGGAAAAACAAGATCAACCTCGGTGACTCTCGCAAGCTCCTCGGTGCCTATTGATTTCTATCACGCTTTGTTTCTAAGCGGATTGCACTATTTATTGCAGCCGTTCCCAAATTTCCCCTTTCCCCTCAAACTCCTCGGCTGGCCCACCCTTGGTAGTCCAGTCTATCCAGCTCCCTGCATAATCTCCTACTTGCAGATATCCAGCATTTCGAGCAAGTTGGGCAGCAGCCCGGCCTCTCACGCCCGCTTTGCAAAGAAAATGAGCTCAGGGGCGTCAGAATCATTGGCCTTCGGCTTCTCGAAACCAAAAGATGGCGGAAGCTTTCCGGAGGAAGGTGGAAGGCGTTTGGATGACTTGTAATCGGGATGTTCAACGATCCTGGAATGGTGCCAGTGGCCTTAAGCTCACTAGGTTCACGAACATCTAAAATTTATAGTCATATATTAAGGGCTGTTGACACTCGCGGAAAGAGAAGGAAATGTTACCTATCAGGAGGTAGTTCTCGCGGGGAGAGTTTGTGATGCACTTGACCTAGAATGTGTGAGTGCCCGTAGAGGAAATCGGAGATGAATGGCATACTGAATCAAAATCCCACTGGCGAGGCTCGTACGAAGCGTTCTCAGGACACTGCGGCTGTTTTCCTAGTCGCCAATAGCTCCCACAGAAATTTCGCGTCGGAATCTTCATACGTGGCCCAGTCGCGGTGTGGGCTGCGAATCTCGAGAGCAAGAGGGTTGAACGGGACTATGATACAGCCGAATGCATTGTTGGACACGGCGCAAGGCTGTCTGCGCTATATAGGACCTCTCCATAATGGCGATTGAACAGACAGAGCATGGAACTTGCGCGTGAAAAAGTTTAGCCGCACTTTATGGGGGTTGTGAGGGTGCTCTAGCAGACTCTGGGATCGCAGCTAATATTTAATCGTGTGCTAATGGGTGTGGTCATGTGTGGGTCCTGACCATTCTTGTTTTGAATGGAGATTCGCCGGATTTTTGAGATGACATGCATGAACTTCATGGCTCACCACCGATTTTACCTCAGTATGGGAGCAAGCAATTGGACAATGAATTTCGACCTATTTAGCTACTCAAAGGTATCCACGACTTATGCAATAGAAACTCCGATACCCGTACATATCCATCGTTGGCCTAACGGAAGATCTAGGCTGATAGAATACACATTTACAGTTGCGCATTGGAGGAGAAGGCTCGGAGCCGAAGTCGCGGGTTTGTACCCGCTATAGTTGGTATTGCTCTCAGCTATCAAAATAACCCTTCGCGTCCATTCCTGAAAGCTTGGGCTCTGGCACATAAAGGCGCGCTCGTAATTTAGGTCCGCCTTTCGCCACGGGCTATTTCCAAATATTAGCCTTCTCATTGTGCAGGTTTGATCTAAAGCTTTAGGTCAACGGATCTGGACGGAATATGGAGATATTATTAATATACATGCCTTCATTTGGGATGAAGGCCGAGGAGTAAATATATAAACATGGATATATACATATTCATATATAAGTGGGCATGTCTGTCGGTGTGTCAAGAAGGAGAAGGACCCAGCTACCAAACAACTTCTCCCACTACGAGGCTTCCACAGCATCACGAACACATTACAGGAGAAAAGATGATTAATAAGAGTTGCTAGCCTAGCCCGCCTATTTTTCAGCGCGTACCAGGCCAACCTGTTTCCCTCATGAGCGAAAGAAGGAGGTGTGGACGCTTATTGCGATGAGGTGCTGATTAACCATTGTGCTAGGTTCTTTCGTGAAAAGTCAAAGGGCAGTCGTCCTTCCTCATGTTAGCTCTTTTCGCGATAGTTGTTGAAGTATGTCAACCTACTTGAGGGAAGATGGTCGCGAACACCTTGATCTCTTCTGATTTGGGAGTGGGATAATGCTTCCAGTCTAGGAGAATAGATGCCTTTCCGACGAAGAGGGCGAGGTTGAGCTGAGCGTACGTTTGCCCAATACAATAATGAGGACCAGTACCAAATACTAAGTAATTCTTGGCACCCTTCAGCTCTGCGTCCCCGGAATAATATCGGTCAGGGTTGAATACATCAGGGTCCTCGTAGACCTCGGGATCCCGTAGTGAAAGGTAGGTAGACGGGATAATCATCGCTCCTGGAACCGGGATTAATAGAACGTCTACGGCGGAAAACTTTTCCGTTATTTTGAGTGTGTAGCGGCTTACCTTTAGGAACTGTATAGGTGTCAGTAATAGGAAATGCCTTCTTCGCAACGTAAGGCACCATTAGTACCGGTGGTCGATAGCGAAGAAGCTCTCTGACAACAGCGCGCGTGTATTTTAGAGATTCAAGCTGATCCATATCAATTTCTGTATGAATGTTTCCCTCACGAACTCGGAGATTTTCCTCTCGCACTCGATCTAGGACATCGGGTCGTTGTGCCATGATTTGGAATAGCCATGTAGCGGCGCTGCTGGTCGCATCTTGAGAGGCGAAGAGGAAGGTAAAGACGGTCTGCGAGATCTCGTAATCATTGAACCACCTCAGCAGCGGTGATGGTTTTTCCATGCCCTCTACCGGTAGTCCTTGTTCTTGTGCTTCTCGCCATCGCTTGGATTCTAGCATTGACTTGATCCAGGCGTCCATGATGCAAGTGACGTCCCCTCCTGCTGCCATACGAACTTTGCTCTTAGCCGCACAAATAGAAAACTCCTTAAGGACCATGTCGGCTGCTTTCTTCCCATACCAGGTTTTCGTGTAGGGGATAATAATAGGAAAGTTCACTAATTCAAGTGCGGCAGTAATAAGGTAGTAGTCGTCCGCGATCTTCTTTACGGCCTCGTCGGAGATGTAATGTCCAACAAAAGTTCGGCATGACACGGCGCACATCAGCTCGCGGAATTCTGGCATGAAGGGAACAGGCTGTCCCCCATTTTCCTTTGTAATTTGGACAAACTTTTTGAAGTATGCTTGGTATACCTCTTCCTGGCCTGGAAGATAGCTTTCAAGTGCCTTCCTAGTGAACAGCCCGTTGAGACCTTTTCGGAAATCCACATGGGGCCGCCCGTCCAAGAAAACCCAGTTGTCGGCTCCTAGGAGCTTGTGCGCGACATCGACGACACAGGGCTTCACGAACCCAGGGAATTGAATATCTTGCGTGACATATCTCGAGTCGAGGCGATCACAACAAATCTACGTTGAAGAATTAGTAAGTTTCGTATACGGCAAGGCGTGCGCTGTCTTCATACTTGTGGAATACAGAGACGCAGCTTAGCGGGCCACTGCACCATTTCGCGTAGTATTCCTCGAACTTCGGATTGACCGATTGTAGAAAGGGGCCCATGAATGGGAGCTTCCAAGAAGGGCCGACAATCGAGCCCTTTCGGACGATATACATGACTGAGCCCACACGCCGTCAGTAACCCTGCTTCCACACTATTTGTCGTGATACACATCTGGGCAATGTGCTTACCTTGATCATAGGCGACCAAAATGGCCAACAGGGTAAACAGGATTGTCCATGGCCCAGAGTTGGCTACGGCTTCGACCACGTAGTCAACTTGAGAAGGCACATATACTCCCGCATACCTAGAGCCCGGGAGTACTGATGTGAAGTTCGAATCCGACTCCATTGCGAAGAGTCCAAGGATTAGGATACTTTCTTTTGTCTTATGCTCGCGATTTAGCTGTTGTTCAACATTGAGGAATTTGATGCTGAGAGCCGTTCTGGAGAGTCGGCTGGTTAATGCAGCATGAATTACGGGCTCGGGGTGGAGTGGAGGAAGAACTTTCTATGGGAAGCATAGAGCACTTGTTTAAGAAATTTAAAATCACATTGGCGCGAACATGATTGAGGGAAATGGTAGTGTGGGTACTCGCGCTTCTAAACTCGGAGATAATGCCTCCCAATTTCGTTGGCTTGTTTTTTTCTTTCTTTTTCCCCCTCCCCTTTCTCTTGGCTCTTCTTCCCCTCCCTTCCGCACATTCATAAAGTTAGTATTTCCCCGTTTCCAAATCAGGGAGGTGGAGCATTTGTTGAGCCTGTCGAAAAGTGGCACCAGTTTGAGATTGCAACATAACCTTGACCAGGCACTTTACACCTCTCACATTTCATCCATGTCTCTCGTGAATCGTTGATCACAGGCTCGACTTCCCTCGCCTCGCCTTGAGCTCAAGGCTTGCTCTGAGCTCCATAAGGGTGATCTTGCAAAGCCTCAGTATGGATGAGAAGTGCCATCATCTGACGAGAAGAGGAAGAGAAGGCAAGGCCCACAGCTGAATCCTCCATTTTGTTTTGCTCTTTGAGAGATGCTATTCTCTTAGCTTGTTGAGTGCAACTCGTGATTCCGGCTAAACAACTCTTTGAGCGATAATTGGTAAAGACCCAATCTTTTGCGGACTTCCAAACCAGGGCCTATCGTGGTACATCGTTGTAATTGATAATTCTTTTTCTTCTTCTTCTCACGAGCCCGCCATTTAATCATAGCCAGGCGCACGAAACGGCCCATGAAGAGACCCCTTTTCAGAAGGCGCTCATTGCAACTTCATAGGATGCCAGTGTCCCCCTATATGAGAGCACAGAACGTTCAGGAGAATGATGGCGAGCCGCATCAATTGGTACATCCATGAATGTATCCGCAACCCCAAGGTCGCTCTCAGTTAATCTGCCTCGCTCCTCCTCTCTAGCTAGATGTCCATTGGTTCATCGCGAGCCAGTGCACAGAGAAAAGACAGCCAGGCGTTGTTGGGAATGTTAATGTTTCGTCGAGTGTTTGTTCTCCTCCCGTGAGGTATTCATCGGGAGGGTCGGATGTAGATGCAGGGTATTAATATGGATTTTCGAAATTACGCTGGCGAAACCCGCTTTCTACTTCAAAACGAATACGAACACGATAACCAATCACAACCGAATAGATTTGAAGGCCCGAGAAGTGTCTGCCACTGTGCAACGAACAATAATGGCTGGTCGCCTATCAGTCAGCTGCTCATGCAGTTTATACTCTCAAAGGAATTCTCCCCTTTTGGGACCTTCTTTATACTTGGCTATACCTCGGTATATTATCCCCCGCTCGTTCCTTTCCCTTTTAACACTACGTTCTTATAGCAAATGACATCCTCTGCTATTACCGTTCAGTCCAGAAGTGAGACTCCAACCTTCTTCAGAGCAGCTACAGCCCATTCTGGGTAGGTTCTTGTCGGATAAAGCCTGGCAAAGAACACCTTGATGTATTCGGGAAACCTATCCGCCAGAATGGCTTCCTGACCTCCTTCATGAGGTTCAATTGGTAGTAAACATTGTGGATGGTAAGAAGATGGGCGGAAACCGTTTCCTTCCCCACATTGTGATGGATAAAGGCCCTGGTGATGCCGAGACCATCCTCGCGGCAGCAAATACAACCACAACCACATTCTATCGGAGCAAAGTCTGTGGCGAAACCTGCTTGTCGCAATTTCAGCATTCCGTCTTTTGTGATCGCATTTCCGAACCGTGCTGTTCGTGTTGGCCATACGCAATCGAACATATCCGCTCCTAATGCGACGCTAACCACCAAATCCTCTGGGTAGCCAATGCCCATCACATAGCGGGGCTTCAACTCAGGTAGCAAAGCGGTGCATGTCTGAACAACTTTGCAATAGTCATCCTTCGCCTCTCCGCCACTTAGCCCCCAATGGCAATGCCTGGCGTATCGCGGGCGAGCATTGCCTCGCAGCATTCTCGCCTCATATCTAGGTCCAACCCTCCCTGTATAATGCAGAAGAGATTTTGCGATGACGAATTCTTGTGGGCTGTAATACAGCGATCAAGCCATCGAACGCTTCGCTCCATAGCCTCCCGCATCCGTGCTCTATCCGGGGATGTCGTGACGATAACATCGTCGAGTTGCATAATTATATCGCTCCCAATAGTGTTCTGTAGGCTTATCGAATGTTCGGGAGTGAGGAGCATGGGGGACCCGTCATGAGGGCTCATGAATTCCACGCCTTCTTCAGTGACAGTGGCAAGCTTCAGCAAGCTGACCATTTGAAATCTAGGAGTTGATCAGTGAAACTCAGTCTGCTTAGAGGATGAGAGGGCGAGAAATGGCGCTTACCCCCACTGTCAGTTAGGATATTGTGCTTCCATGCCTGAAGTTTATGCGCTCCGCCGATGGCTTCCAGGACATCTTGGCCTGGCTTGAGTCCAAGGTGATAGGTGTTATTGAGGCACAGGCGACAGCCCGTCTCCTCAAGCTGCTCTGGCGTCAGCCCTTTCAATGACGCTTGAGTGGCTACAGGCATGAATATTGGCAGCTGAACAGGGCCATGTGGTAAAGTGAGGAGGGAGGCACGGGCCCTCGTTGTCTGTGCCATTTGTCAGCCGGCTGGTAGTTAAGGTGGTGAGATAGGATCATCTCACCGAACAACGCGCAAGAAGCTCAAATGTGAGCGCGCCCGATGAGGCAACGGTTGCTGAGGTAGAGGCCATACGTCGACTCAGTGACATTGCCTTGTCTTATTCAGGCTCGGCGAGACAAAACTGGGGCAGGTTGGGGCTATGATTTTCAAGAGCAAGCTTGTGAGAGAGCATTCGCAGTGGACCCGGGGACACTGTAACAAGCGGAAATTCGAGGCTTGTGACCTACATCTAGGAATACAGCTGATACATAATAAGAGGTTCGTTGGCCGTGGCATTTGAAGCGAAGCAAAATTTGAAAGGTTCCATTATTAGAGGTGCGTTCAAGACTGGTGATTAATCAGCAGTATTCTCCGGTGGTGCTGAATCGTCAATGCGCCAAAATTTTTACGAAACCTTCCAACATTGTCCTCTCTGTATCAATAAAGCAGGCTCCCTGGACAACACCTTACATTCGACGCGAAGATGGCAGCACGGCCTTCGCGGGGCGCCTCTCTTCTGAGGACGTCTCGAATGTTTTCTGTGCCCAAGCCTCTTAAGATTCCCGACTCCGGACTAGGACTGCACAATCACTCTGCCAGCGCGACAACCCCTTTTCCCCTTCACCTTTCGGTCACAACACCGGACACCTCAAAGAACAACGGGGATTGGGGCTTCAAGAGGCCTCTTCCACTTCGACAAACTACCAAGTCGTCAACTCCCGTTGTTCGTGTGAAACAGGTAGACTCGATCGAGGCCATAACGGATTATGCCTCGGCATCAGATCACAGCCTCACTTTGGACAAATTCCACGAGATGAATGTGGCTATCTCAGCCCCCGTTCTCAGGTACGAGAAGCACAAAGAAGGCAAAATATCGGTGTTTGAGGATTCCAGCGATAAAACCACCATGGACCATTCTCTGGATGGTGCACCAAATTCGAGGAAATGGAAATTCGCTGGTCCTTGGCTCGCGAGTATGTCCGAGGAGCAATTTTCGAGCTACATAGATAAGAGAGTGAGATCTCGGAGGTTGGAATTCCGCGATTTCTTACGCCAGCGCCGAGCCGACGATTTGTCACGGATGGCCTCACAAGCAGCTCTCGATTCCGGGGTGACCCCCATCTCGGGCCACAACCTCGGATGTTAGCGATGCCGATCTGGCAGACTATATTCGATCCCTTCGCGCAGACCGTACAGCTCTCTACTGGCTCGTAAGCCGATTTTTAGACCTTGCACCCGTTGCTCCACCACAAACCTCAGCCAATGTGTGGGCCAACAGTTTAAATGGATCGCTTCCTTTGACAAATCCCTACGCTCAAGAAGGCCCCCATCTGTCACCCATCTGCTGGTATCTCTTATCTACGAACTTCATCTTTTCTAGAGAACCACCCCTTTACGGACCTCAGAAACAACACAGTCCTGTTCTGTCGAGAATACTCACCTCAAAGAGGTCCGGAAGGCCCTAAACTAGGCATTGGAGGTTTCGTTACCAATGTGCCTCCTGGAACTACGTCCTTCTTCCATAGGTTCCGAGATTATGATGCCCGCAGCAAAGTCCAAGGACTTTCTGTCTTCGATCCATCAGTTATCGGTGGTGCATCCGTGTACCTGATCCCGCAAGCGGCGCGAGTGCTTTGGAATGGAAGTGTTGTCGTGAAAGTGGATGAGGCGGCGGCTGAAACCCAACTTATCAAAAGGGAGTTTACTGGGAGAGCATCGATTTACACCGAGAAACGTGGGGCGCCCGGTGTTGGCGACTCGTCAAACCGAAAGGACTACCGTGTCCAGCGCTCCCCAGAGTCTAAGCAGCCCACTAAACGGCCATACTTTGGTGATAAAAGCGTTTTAGGCAGCTCAAAAACGTATGGTTTAAGGCACTGAGGCTACTAGAAGACATCTTTTGAATGCTCTGCACTATTAATCCTGATACTGTATTATTACTAGATACTACCGAGGTAGACATACAATGTCTTCTGGCTTGTCCTTTTCATGTCTGCCATTTTGAGCGTGATGCAGTGGCTAGCGTAAAGTCGGGACCCACTCAAACTTGTGCTCTCAGTCCCCACCTTTCTCATTGATTGCCTGCAGCCGGAATCAGCTGGTAATGCTGGCTATCATGTGACGCAAATTCTCCCAGCAGTAGGGCACGCACAACGACTGGATTTTGGTGATAACACTATCACTGCCATCTTCCCCCACAGATTTATCACTTCATCCAGCGACCAACAGCTCCTCAAGTAAAATTCCGTTTACTGCAGTCAAGTAAAACAAACCCGTCGCATTCACAATGGGCCGTGTTCGAACGAAGACCGTTAAGAAGTCCGCTAAGGTAATTATCGAGCGGTACTATCCAAAGCTTACTCTCGATTTCGAGACGAACAAGAGGATTTGCGATGAGATCGCGATCATCTCTTCCAAGCGCCTCCGCAACAAGGTTGGTTCTGTGGGCAATTCCTGCGGCAACTCGACGCATAATAACATTAATATTCGTTAGATTGCCGGGTTCACCACTCACTTGATGAAGCGAATCCAACGTGGTCCCGTTCGTGGCATCTCCTTCAAACTGCAGGAAGAGGAGCGAGAACGCAAAGATCAATATGTTCCCGAGGTCTCCGCCCTTGATTTCACGCAGAACTCTGAGAGCGGCCAACTCGATGTCGATGCTGAGACTAAGGACCTTCTGAAGTCCCTTGGTGTAAGTCCTTCTACCTAGCTTTTGTGCATTTTCTGCTAGTCTAATATTTCTCCCCATAGTTTGACGCTATTCCCGTCAACGTTATTCCCGTCACACAAGCTCAGGCCTCCGATCGTGGTGGCCGTCGATTCAACGACCGACGACGCGATTAAGATGCGAGATACGCATGTGAAGGGACTAGGTTGCTAAGGAACAAAAATAAGGGATTGGGTTATGTTGCACGGCGTCTTTCAGGACGGTAGTGAGTCCACATTGCATTACATCGGAAAATCCATTTTTTCTCCCTTTAGGTGTCGCTGAATCCCGGGCTTACGACCGGCGAGGATGCTTGATTGCCAAGAAAATTCTCCCACATTGTGATGTGTTGCTCACCAACTAGCTGTCGAGTCGTGTATGTCACAAAAGCCAGTGAGATCTTGTTGAGCTGAGTAGGTGTAATGCTTCAGCAAATACCGTCTTTCCATAAACCAGAAACGGTCGAAGTAACGCCTGCCTTCGCGTGACCGGCCGTGGCAGACTATTGTACCCTCATATGAGTCGTTGGTTTATATCCTTCGAGCCTTAGGTGTGCCTCCTCATTGTCTTCCCCACATCATTCATATCCTTCGGTGCCATAGTTACCTCCTTTGGCCTTAAAGTAACGGGGAAAGACGCCCCGTCCTTGCTATTTCCACGCTCGTTTGCCAGTAAAGCTGCACTAATAGCCTTTGGCTCAATTTCTTTCTCCCGCCTATTGTCTTGTCCCGACTCGGATGCATTTCTTGCCTCGCCGAAGAGCTCAATATCGATATCCGGAATGCCCACTCTCTCCCATGCGGCTGTCTCGTTCAGCTGAACCTTGATGTAGAGAGCATGTTTCGCACAGGATTGGGAGCACCACTGCTCGTGTTCTTTACGCCAGACGATATCAACAGCGTTTCCATCCCGGCTGAGAAGCTTCCAAGGGCCTCCTTGAGTAGCCGCCAGTTTCGGCCTTGAACAAAGTACGTATCCGCACAGGCCATTTGCGTTCCTTTCCATTATGAGATCATCGTAGTCGGACGGCTGGAATGGTCGGACAAGCTCTTTAAACTCCGCAACGTCTGGTGCTGCTGGGTTGGAAGGTGAGTGAGGTGGCGTACGGATCCGCGGATAATGGGAGAGCGTGATAATGTTGCCTAGAATTACTGCCTCGAGTTTCTGCCGCTGTTGAATGATTTGTGCGCGCTGAAGCGCAAGCCCTTGGGGATTCCGGCGTATTCCAAGTGCACAGTCTGTGGCGGCGGCTATGGCCTCGGTGGATAGGTCTTCCATCTTGGATGCATGATCGCGAGGGGTCACCATTTTATTGATGAAGTGCATGAGGGGCAAGTTGATAAAACTTCTGGAAACAGCGGTCATATTCGTGTGATTGGACCCTCTGTAAACGGTGGATGAAAACGGACATGAATTATATAATCAACGGCTTCTTAGTCATGCCATTGATGAAATTTATTAACAGTAACTGGGACGGAGACCTGACGGCAATCAGTTGATGATGACGGTCCCTTTTAAAGCTCTCCTCACCTTATTTACCATCAGTAACTTGCTCCATTTTAGAGTTTCCTTCAAAAACGCAGAATAACTTCCCCAAAATCGAATTCGTGAGCAGCCGGGAAGAAGTGAGGGGAAATTCTTACTCTTGACCAAGCCCCATTACAAACAATCCTGCAGGTCGGCTTGCCTCTCCCAAATTTTGCTCACTTTCCACCATCGTTGATAAAGGTATCGTTGGATTCTGCAGTCCTTGGCTCCTTAAACAACGACCGTGGACAACTTACAACTCTTGGCTCCTCTGATCCGCTGACGTCGTTGCCTCGGCTGCAGATCATAACCTCCTCAATGTCGCGATTTGTTTGAGATTCGTGATACTTGAACGTCTCACCGAAGAACGCTCCCCATTGCTGGCTGTCGATTTCTTCCAGGTTACATTTCCGACTACATCGCGTTCATCCAGCCGCTTCACTTGGGCCTTTTGCTGTGTGATCAAATACAGAAGACCCTCGTCATAACACCTCCCGTTTCGTACATGTTCTAGGTCCTCTCTAGGCAGACATTCTCGACAGGTCTACCTACCATAATACTTTGCAAGCTGCTCATTCACAGAGAAAATGTCTAGCGGGCTTTTCTTCGTGAAAGCTCTTTTGAATACTCTTCACCACACGAAGATGATCTACAGTTCAGTGTCGGACAGATCATTTCCGTTACCAACCAGGACGATGAAGAGTGGTATACTGGCGAGTACATAGATGATGCTGGTTCTAAGCAAGAAGGAATATTTCCACGGAATTTTGTTGAAAGACTGGAGCCAGCGGCCCCTCCCAGGCCGGTCAGACGAACGAAGAAAGAAGCGGAATCGCCTCAACCCGAAGGGACGCCCGTCACGTCGGCACGTTCGGACTCAGTGTCTGACGAAAACGAAAGGCCAGCACCCCTTCCACCGTCCGATTTCAGCCGGGGAGAAGTATCAACTCTTCCTGAGCCGCCGCCAACAATATCCGCTACACAGCTGCCTATTTCTGAGCCAGAAACTTCCTTGCCTACCAGTCAAGCTCAGCCAGGCAGTCCGCCTATCATTGCTGAGAAACCGGCCAGCGGTTCAATTAGGGACCGCATCGCTGCATTTAACAAACCCGGAGGAGGTCCAATCACCCCATTCAAACCAAAATCTTTAAACTATGTGAAGAAGCCTTTCGTCGCCCCCCAGCCGGGACTCCTATGTCCCACCGCCACGTGCCGACCCCTCCCACGTTTATACAGTCGTGATGAAGACGCTTCCTCTAAAGCTGGAGACACTGTTGTTAGGGAGCCTGCCGAACATATGTTAGCTACAACAACCCCCAAGACGTCGAGAAAGTTCACGAAGATACACCCAAACATGCAAGCCTTCAGGAGCGTATTGCCCTGCTTCAAAAGCAGCAAGCCGAGGCTGCTCAGCGACACGCAGAGGCACTAACAAAGAAAGAAAAACCAAAGCGTCCCCACAAGAAACGCGTCGAAAGTTCTGAGGTTATTGGAACTGTTGCCACATCGGAGCCAAGTGATGCCAATGCGACCGAAGGCAGCTCATCTTTTGATGAGCCCCGCTCCCTTCCATCAAATAGACGAAGATCTACTAGAGACAGCCACGCCGTGAATCCAAGCGATGGAAATGAAGCAGACATGTCCGGTGCTGGAGACACCACTGAGGGTGCAGAGAGTTTGACAGAGAAGGAAGAGAGTGAAGGCAGGAGCAAAATTATCTCGCATCCCTACAAAGCCACCATGGTAAAGCCGGACGGGAGCAAGCAATCAACTATGCATAGACAAGCGGGGGCAGGACGACAATGATGGAGAGGCTAAGGAAGGGGAAGAGGAAGAGGAGGAGGAGGAAGAAGAGGAAGAGGATGGGGAAATGGAAGGGGAAGAGGCAGAGGAAGAGGAAGATGAGATCGATCCAGAGATCCGTCGAAAGGAGGAACTCCGGGCGAGGATGGCCAAGATGAGTGGAGGCATGGGTATGCCAGGTATGTTTATGCCCATGCATGCACCCACTCTACCAAAGAAGAAGCGGACAACTCCACCAAAAGACAATGTCCGAAATGAAACGATAGAGGAGCCATCGCCCAACGCAAGAGCAGCGCCACCCATTCCCACGTTAATGGCGCTGCCAGGGATGTCTACGAGATCCTCTGTGGAACCACCATTCGAACAGGAGATCGCAGTTCAAACGACCCCTCTCCCGCTTCCAACAAACAGTATGTTAACTAAACCCCACCAGAAGGAACCCGCTAACCCATGGCTACCCTAGCAACCGTACCCTCTCAGCCGCCTTCGGCAGTTGCGCCGTCACCAAGCACGGGCTCGAAATCCGACGATGAACTCTCCGAACACCCTAGCCAGCGTCAAGATCGGCCTACTCTTTTGGCAACTTCAACATCCTCCGTGCGCGCGCCGCCGCCTCCGCCGCCTTCCCTCCCGTCCCCAACGCTACCCACGTCACCCCGCTTCCCTCCAATTTCATCCTCACCAACCGGCCTAGATGATGCCCAGTCGGCAACACCTCCTAGTCCTTCCCACGCCACTTCTGCGAAGAGAAATAGCCGACCCCCGCCCCTATTCCCGGACCCGCTCCTGCCCTTCCCTCACCCCAAACCAGACCTCCCCCACCTTTGCCACCAGCCCTGGGTCAGAATATGATAAGCAATGAGCAGGCCATCTCGTCTTCTCGTGGTCCTTGGCAAGATAATAACAATAAGAGTGACGAAGACGAAGAGATCACAGAGTATGAAGGTGACTATGACACTGATATTGGATCATCAGTACCTCATAAGGATGCCTTAAAGTCAACAGCGCGCGAATCCAGTTTCGAGGAGGACCGTACTCCAATAGGCTCACCAGTCACTGCCAGAGCACCCATTTCGCCCCTCCCATTCCAAGCACTATTGCTCCGAGGACCGTGCCCCCCTATCCCAAGCCAGCCGCTACAACAGACAAGGACATCCGTAGATGCACCGCGATCTGCACCACCACCTCCACCCCCACGGGATTCGGATATCGGCTTACCATTCGTCTCACATTCTCACCCTGAACCAGGACATGCTGACTCACTATCCCCCAATCGCCTATCCCTCGATCGCAAGGCTCCCGTCATCGTGGCACAGCCAGTTCGATCCGGAGCTGGACAATCCTTTGATGGATCACGTGCAGTTGGCAGGCCTTCAGTTGATGCCGGACGGCCGTCTCTTGATACGGGCTTCATAGCTGAAGAATTAGATGTTGCCCTCCAAAGCGGTTGGTGGAAGCAGTCCAATCAAATTCCTCCTCCTCTTCAAGATAGGAAGGATATATATTATGAGAGTGAGGAGTCGACGTCCACAAACCGTGGGGCCAAGACAATCATCACGCGAACAATCCACATCCTCTTTTGGACTACTCTCAAACCGCCCTCATAGTACAATACGACCCCTATAACCCCGCCGACGTCGTCGTCGAGCAACGCCACGAAGGGCCCCCTCGTACATTGCGCCAAGACCAGCTAGAGCAATCACATGAACGTTTCGGACGAGCAATTGCTGATGCGGCCGCATCTAAGAAAGACACCGTCGTGAGCGATGGCACACCTCAAGGGCTCGTTTTAGACGCTCTACGGCCATTCCAGGATGCCCTTCGTCCTGTTGGTACACGAGCATATGGAGCACTAGTCTACGCAAACATGGCCAATGCTTCCACCATTCAAAATGACGAAATTCGACCAGGCGATATCATCTCGTTCCGAAACGCGCGCTTCCAGGGCAAACATGGGCCAATGCATGCGAAATACTCGGCTGAAGTTGGAAAGCCGGACCATGCTGCGATAGTCGCAGAATGGGATGGCACTAAGAAAAAGTGAGAGCTTGGAGCCAGGGACGCGAAAGTAAGAAGGTGAAACTAGAGAGCTTCAAGCTTGACGATTTACGATCAGGCGAGGTCAAAATTTGGAGAACGATGCCAAGGAGTTGGGTGGGTTGGACCTCCTAGTACTACGAGCTTCACAGCAACCTAGATCAAAACCAGTTACTTGCAATAAGTCGTAGGACATGAGGATCCCCGTCACCGACGTAGGGGCTGTTGGTGATTTTACACACACTGCTTCCTAAAGTGTATGGTCTGGGTACATCTTATTTTCGATTGGGGTGCCAAGCACCCATCACATTGCTCTCGACGGAGCAGAGAGCTGTTACCCCTACTAGTCGGTGAAATTTTGCTGGACTAAGAATTAAATATATATATATATATATAAATGCACGTGTGACTGTATCTCGCTTCCAAGTCACGGAGAACAACGATGATAGAATCTGGTGGATGGCATTAAAGTGAGAATTCCAATTCGGCTTGGGAAGGCAAAGGCCAGGAGAGGCAAGGACACCAAGGGCATTGCGTGTATCCTCTAGGCACAAGGCTTTACATGTACCGAGGTAGACTAGGTAGTTTTTTTTGGGGGGCCGGGGGATCCCCACCTGAGGACAACAATCAGCGTGTAGTACAAGTGGATTCGGGTTGGGGTAGGGGCACAATCTACATCCATAGATGTAGGCTAGAAACCTCTCTAGGTTGACGCTCAATATAGTAACTGTGGCTCATCACGTACGTGATAGCCAGCACGAAGACCTTAAAGGGGAGAAAAGACAGGGTCGGCGAACCTAAGCTTTGGATGTCTGAACGGTTTGATAGATGTCAAGTGGTGGAAGCGAAGACTAATCACAAAGCAGCGCTGGGCACGTGTCCTCTTCAAGCCTAATCGAGCAAAGGAGGATGATGGAGGAAACGGTGTAAGCGAATGAGATCGTGACACGGATGGCTACCAGCTAGATGTGAGTGGTCAAGAAGATGCAAAATTCGGATTGGGATGCCACCGCTAGGTAAGTGACCTAAGGTCTCAAATTCTGATAGGTTGGAAAGAGAATCAATCGAGCATTTTCATAACACTCAGGGATAACAAAAAGCGCTCTTTTATGACCAACGGCATCACGATATGTATTGCGCAAGTGAGTCAAGGAGGTTGGACCAGTGGGCCGAGCCGCTTGGTTGGGCATCAGGATCAGGGCAACCAGATTTCCCTGCACCACGCTGCATGAGGGGTACACTTGCTTGACGAGCACAGTTCGCGCCATTAGGCTAGAGGGAACTCCGATGAGGGGGCGTTGCGGATGGGATAGGGCCATCTATTGATGGATCAAGACGAGGCGTGAGCCTCTTGGTGTAGACCAACGTCTGCCTAAATTTTCCAGGGCGCCTTTCTTGCATCAGCATTCCGAGGCAGGCCAGATGGGTGACTGTTTGGCAGGTGCCTCCAACTCCACACATTACACTTCCCAACGTTCCGAGGAAGCTCCCGGCCAAATCCCGATGTTACAAGTGCACAATGTCCACATCGAGCACCATCGGCCGATGCCGGGCTCAACGGCCCAGTCCGCTTGTCAGTCACAGGCCAAATGATGCTGACAGGGCCAGCGAGCGAAAATGCCCGCACTGCTCTCCGCGGTTCTTTGGACGGGCACCAAGCACCAGTGTCAACTACATCTTCGCCAGAGGGGCTTGGAGGCTTCAAGATCATTCTGTAATCGGCAAAACTTGATGAAATCCGGTGCATCGGACAGCCTCCCAGCCGTTCGAACCTGACCCCAATACCCATGCTGATTGCGGCCGAAGGGTGAAGCCGTTGTAGTGATAGCCCCCACACGATAGGCATTTGCTTTATGCATGTTCCCCCTCCTGGCTACGGAAAGGGTCGATCTACACATCACCTACTGGGGTACTACGAAGTAATTGTCTTCCCACTGTCCATATTGGCGAGTGATAAGGCCACAGCCGTTCAGCGATGCTCATCGATTAGGAGCGCGGGAGAGGCTTGTGGAGTTGAGGGAATATAACACACAGCATAACAGCCACCCCCAAACGGCCCAGCCGGGGCGTGCGTTCGACGGGTTTCTTGCTAATAATCATGATTCGGCATCTTGTGAAGCCTTACGTAGACGTCATAATAAATAGTAGAGTTACGCCCTTTCTCAAGTCCCGTTACCTACTTACATCCATTCATCGATTCTCCGGATACAGAGGTTTGGATACACACTGCAAGCTCGATTCATGGCACCAACATCCCAGTCAGCCCATCACTGATATTGATCTCGCCACGCCGGCCGCAACGCGCCCACCCCTTAGTCTCACGCTTCGTTGGGCGTCGATGCCCAAGTACCTGACTTTCATATCCGTCATACATCACACATCCTTGGACGAATCAAGGGGAGTTACATTTTTGGCATACTTCTATCATCCACCCTTTAACCCTAGACTTCGTAGCGTGTTTCTTTCTTAGGTCTCGGCCTGCACTCTTGTCGCGAAAGGTCCCCATCTTTTGCAATCTCAATCCGGGTAGCGAAAGCGAGCGGAGGGCAGCATCGACCTATCCTCTACACTTTCTTCTTTGTCTGAGTCTAAATTCGATCGCTGGAAGCCGGGAGCTTTGGTCTATCTAAGCGCTGGTCTGCCGCTACAGGTGCTTGACAGCGTATCTTCTCCATATCGCGGCTCGGAACGATGGTACCAAGGACCCGAAGTCATGCCCAGGAAGAGTGGGCGAGTAGCTGTAGCTCGGAGGAGACGAGTCGCCGAAACCCGTCGTCTACGGCGCCAGCCACCTCGGCCCATAGCTCTCGAATAAAATCTCAGCTAACCCAACACCTTCCGAAGAGTTCACAAGGGCAACAAGAGCATGAAGGGACTCCTTCCTCCTCGAGCCAGTATCATCGATCCTCCACCGACACCTTCGACTCGTCGCTAGACTCTGATGATGGCGAGTCGCAGGACAGCAACGATGACCATCACAGAATTCCACGTCTTCCTCTGTACCGCAAGGCAGTCATTGGGCCTACTGTCCAGCCTTCCAACTACAAGGTGTTTCCAGAGCTATTTCCATCACTCGATAAAATGTACATACGTCACGACGAGTATACATCGGATGGAAATATGAATCTTCGGGTCGACATCCAGCTCCCTCACCGGCCGCACAGACATGCCCAACTTTTTCACCTGCGCATGTACGACCTGGACGATCGAGTCTTTTCTCTCCGGCGCTATTGCCGGGAATCCGGGAGAGAAGTGTGCCGTACAAAGCGTGAATACACGCCGGCGGCTTCTAGTGGTGGCAGACATTCTTTACAGCGCTCAGTTTCGAGCGTCTTTAGGTCCCTAGGTGCTCGGCCACAGTTTCGTCGTACAAGTTCAAGTAGCTCCCTGTTCCACTTCAAAGCGAGCCCCGGTGGTAAGCGTCCGGACTCAAGTCTTTCCATGCGCAGCGAGATCCTCAGACCTTGCCACGAGCCAGAGCAAAAGTCTAAGTCATCCCCAACGAATTCGATAAAACTGATGTTCACAAACTATGCTACTATCGAACTCATCAGAAAGGGTGGAGGCCCGTCACCTAAGCGTTATGAATTTTCTTGGTGGGGAGCTAGCTATGCCTGGAAAAGAATACAAAACACCAACCTCGGCACCACCTCATTCCACCTAGTCCATGATGGCAAGCCTGATGCATTCCTCGCTAATATCGTCGCCGAGGCTCGTTCGCCAAACGAATTAACATGCGAGGAAACGGACGGAGGCTGGATGCCGCCCTGCACGATGTGGTTTAGTCGCGAACTGGACGCCACAATCGCCGAGTAAGGCCTTTCTCTGTTTTAAAGCTGCTCTCCACTCTTTCCTCCCCCATATTCCACGGATGGGACGAGTGGTTCTCTTTACTCTCTCGTGTATGTTGACTGACCCTATCTCAGGGCTTTTGTAGCCACTGGCCTTGTTGGCCTCGCTGATGACTGTATCCGAGCTCGGTGGAACCTTAAACCGGGAGCCGACACTATGGGCTGCGGGGGTGAGGATATCATTTCCAGTTGTTATTCACGGAGCCATCCTTTGCTTAGCCGGCTTTATTCTCGAATCTCACAGTCGCGCACTGTTTCGAACGAAATGCCGGGGAGATTGTATGATTACATGTCCCAGGCCTCTTCTTGTCATCTCTCACAACACCCTCCCCCTCCCCTCTCCCCCTTCTCTTCTGGACCCCCTTTGCCTGTGTATTATGCGTGTGCGTATGAGCGCAATGGCATTAACGGACATGCGTTCTTTCTTTTGTTTTCTTTTTCTGGCGTAGCATTGTGATACAGTGGTGCGTCAAATTCGCGTCTAATTCGGACCGACACAATCACACGAAGGACCAGAAACCCCCGCCCCCACCCGGGCGGCCTATGGGTGTCAGGGACGGCGAGATGGACTTGCTATTTAGCAATATCAAGGCCTGATAAAAGATGCATCATCGCCTCAAAACTTACCTAAACTATGTGAAAGCGCGACACGCATGCCATGTAAGCTTGAAAGAGAACGGAGAAAGGAGGGCAGCCGGCTAGGGCAGGTTGTTGATCAGCCGTCCTCTCCCACTTTTGGACCATCGATCCAGTGACCAAAGTCTAGTTTCATAAGCAGGTGATTGATGCCCCTAACCTCCGCGGGACAAAAACCGTACCACTCCCTAATAAGGCATCTGGGGACCGGGTGCTATCAAGGCCTGCACCAGTGTCTTCTTCAAGCTCAGCGGCGAAGATCGTATCCATCTCCAATATTCGCAAGGCTGCGATTACGGTAGTTATGGACACCCGAACGCTTCCTTCAATCGTTTTGAGTGCGGGTATAATGGCACGTTCGTCGCGTTCAAGATTAGCAAAAGCGTCAACCACACCAGCATCTGTCTCTAGGTCCATCGCCTCCCATATCGAGTGGAGGCGTCGCATGAGGGCTACAAGCTGATCGATATGGACGAGAAGTTTGTAGAGAGGTTCGGTGTAGGAGGATTGGGTGAGGAGGAGATGTCGGCAGAGGGAACGGAGGTACGTGCGGTGCGCTGTGGCAAGTGACTCGGGATCGTGCTGCTGGGGTGGTGAACGAGCTACATAGTTTGATTTTGACGTTTCAGTCCAGATGTCGGTCTCCTCGTTCTGGTCACTATAGTCCACAGCTGCAGGCTGTGGTTTCACCGCTTTCATTTTAGAAATGGGCCCAGATGATGTCCCGACACCCCTAACAACCAACCGTGAAAATCTTCCCAAAGGCCCGTCAACACCTCTGACTGCATATAGGCCTCCGTCTCTGCAAGAAAAAGACAGCAGCGCTACACGCGACCCAGGCACTTCGCATTATTGATGCCCTCGACGTCTGTCTCTCGCGAAGTAGCACAACCCTTTCGCGGCCACCACGAGTACTTCCTGCAGGAGGTCCTAGGGGAGACGGGTGATGTCGACGGAGCGACGTCATTTTCCACAGGTCAGTGAGGCGAATGTGGGCCCGACGAATTGAGAGCAGGTACGCGTTGATAGCGGTATAAACTTGTACATCTGCTGGCGCCAGGAACATATCCAGAGGTGATGGAATATCCGAGAGTGTTAAGATGACCGGCGTAGAGAACAGAAGGTTACGAAATGGCGTAGCAACTAAGGCCATGGCAGGGGCCTGACCAACCCCAGTGCTAACGGGCAAAGATGTCGTCGGATTGGATTTCTTAACCTGGAGCCGCAGAAGGTCTCGCGCAATCTCCACGCCTTCATCTTCATCCGTATGCAGGCCCTGCATCGAGCCCATGGCGGCCCAAGATTGTGCGAGTACTCTCGTAACTTCACCTTGCTTTACGACAACATTGGAAATTCCATCTCTCTTCTCATGGGCAAGATTATCGGCCCGCCGCCACCGACCCCGACTTTTCTCATCAGCCTCGTGGATCAGAGACATGGCGAATTCCCCTTTGCTAGAAGAAAGTAGTCTCGAAAAGTTGCAGGATTTCCACAACCTTTTCGAGAGGTAAAAGTTTCTGTAGTGTATTTCTCGAAAGCGAGAGCCGGATAGATGAAATGACCCTGGTAAAGCTAGCACCATCCAAGGGAGAAGGGAGGTCTGCAAGTGCCCGTAATTGGCTCATGACATGAGTCTTGAACTCTGGATCAGACTCGAGTGTTGCCTTGACACGAGAGTGATTCAAGGATTTCCCTATGAATAGCATAGATGCCACTGCGGAGGGAAGAGCAAAACTCGGAAGTTGGGAAGGTTCTAAAACGTATTCAGGTACCTGGATAATGAAGTCAGAGACCAGAAGAACGAAAATCAAGGCATCTGGGGACAGTCAGTCATGATTACCCCATTTTGGTCCTTGACCGCCTTGACAAAGAACCCATCTTGGCCCAAACTTGGTAGGCGGCCATAGAGAATCCATGCAGAAGCCTGTTTGAGCCAGGCCGTCTCTGCACTTTTTACTAGGCTGCGCGCTGCGTCCTCGATATTGCTATAACCGCTCTGGAGCTCTTTTCGGAGCCGATTGATGAGCTGTGCCGAGTTACATACTTGCCCACCAACGCCTCCTAGTATGAACTGCATGACATCCAAAAGCCATTCCAGTATCCTCCTCCACGGCGTGAACTCGGCCATGATGGCGGTCAGCGATACAATGCCGTATGCACCGACAGCTTCCGTATCTTCCCTGAGAATCTTACGCTCAACTTCAAGTACTTCACGTTGGAATTCCCCAAGGTGGATGAGCTCAATTGTCGTTGCTACGGCACGGCAAACCATGCTCGGATGGTTTGCACAAGCATCCGAAGCATGCCCTAGGATCTTAGCGTGCAGGCTGCTTAAATGTGCAGCAGAAGCTAGAAGGTCGCGTTCAGCCGGGGTGATTCCACCAACGCCCAAAGTAGCACCAGCCGTGGAGCCATCACCTATAGCGAGAAGGGGCGAGGAACGACCCGAGAGGGAAAGAAAAACCTCGCGGAGCATCGCCTCTCCGTGTCGACCAGCTAAACTAACCAAACGACTCTGTTGGAAGAATGGCAGCGACGTCGGTTTACGGTTGGGCACGTGCGCCCACTTCGTTGTGTGTTGTGTGCTTGTGCGTGTTTTCTTCTTTTCCCCAGCTCCCTTGTTTGTTATGGTCAAAAAGTTCGCGAATATGGCGAAGAAGAAGGATAAGTGAGCCCAGGATTTCTAACCGGCACATAAGAGGAAGGGAAACGACGCTTGAAAGGGTTGGGCAGTCAGCCGCTGGGCTCGGCCGACTGACGCGTCAAGTCACCTTGATCCGAAGATGGTTCAGAGCTTCAGCTGGGCCGGAAAGGCCTCGAAAGCGTCAGGGCTTTTGGGAGGACTCTAGCGGGCGCTTTGAAGCGTATAATGCTGATTTACGAGGTTCTAGGCGTGATGCCGAAGTACAAATCCTAGATCAGTTAAATCAATTGATCCAGATGTGTGTGGGGTGAGCGGATAGCCTTTCTGCTGACGGGACTAAAACCGCCACGGCTCTGATCAATTGGGATTGCCTACCAATGCAGCCCCACGCGACGTCCATTCTTCGAGTCAACCTGGCAGGATGATGCACAGTGACCACGTGACCTAATGGAGGACTACAGTATATCAGGACCACATAGAACCGAAAATGTGGATCAAGACCTCGAGCCGCACGAATATGAACCCACACTACGCATCCAGAGCCAAAGTGGCCAAGCTATTTGACAGAGCTAGAGTAAAAGTGCTTGCAGGATCCTCCCTCAAGGATACTCCAGAACGAACGAAGTGCACTTTCGCCGCAACGTCATCCCCTTGCTTTGGAAGCAGAAGGTGTCGACCCGGCCCTGCTGCCTTGAGGAAGAAGGGAGAAAAAAAAAGAAGAGATAGATACACCATTACCATAACCTTATATTCAGACAAGCTAGCATGTCAAGGGTACTTGTTTGCTTGCTTCTTCCCGTGACCTTCGTAGTAGGATTCCGCGTTGTTTGCAGGGTCTGGAGGCGCATTGGTACCAGCCGGGAGGATGATAGCACCACCATCCCCACCCCTACAATAAGATCGCCTCCCCGTTGGCTACCTTTCCTACAACCATACCCTTGGCGACGCTCTTGAGAACAGCCCTTCTGGAAACTCCCGTTACATCTATATAAACCAAGCCTACATTCTTGAAGCCTGAAGTTAGGTTTCCAGAGACCTCACCTGCCTCGGCTCCCCAGCGATGGCCAACAACAGTGGTTACACTATTTGACGTTCGAATAGAAGATTCCGACCAGCCTGTTCAATACCGTCGGCGACAGTGTTGAAGGCCATCAGGCTCTTATTCAGAACTCCCGGTTTGTACGTCTCGATTGGATTCCCGCTGCTGTCATACCCCGGGAGGCCCATCTTTTTTTTGTGAGACCCGCGCCGACATTTTGGGCAATCTGCCCAATGCGGCCGACAGTAGTGGAGGAAAGGTGAGCGGCCTTGGTAGAAAAGTGATTGATTTTCCGGATGCGGTCGTGGGCGGCTGGTGTGAAGGTGACTGGTTCAGCCACCGGCTTGGTGCTCTTCGTAAATGATTCTGCTTGATTCTGCAAAACCTTGGTGACCATGTCAGAAGTAGATACAATTAGTCGTGATGCCTTGGACGCAGTTGAAACGAGGGATGATTTCTTGTACGACGGGTGCATTTCCATCTCAACGTATTCCTGTGATGCTGGATGGACAGCAATGATCTGTCCACCGTCAAGCGGGAGGGAGAATTCTACAGGTTCTGTTGCAAAGGTTAGCCGCTACCTTTGTGCCGGAAGCGATGTGCTAAAGGTGGCGAGGCTGGTAGCTTACCCTTTGATCCAGGCTTCACAGCGCTATCTTCAACAATTTGATACGCCTCCCCTAGCTCCCCGATAACGCTTCCGTCCTCTTCATCCACCAGCACGATCCTGCCGCCACCGGTATGGGAGCTGCGACTACCCTGGGCGTAGCCTTCCCCGGGGCATAGTTTGCCGGGTTGTATGCAGGCAATCCATCTGCTTCAGGCTCCCGGCCCTTCCCCGAAAAGGCAGCAGCCGCCTTTGTTTGCTTCGGAGGCGGGGCCCGCTCGAGGAACGCGGTGCATTGCGCCAGTATCGTCTCGAAGGTATCAACGTCCTCCTGCAGACCGCTTCTACTACCAGCCGCTGGAAATTCAATGCGTGTAAACGCCCCGCAGTTTGGGCCTAGATCCCACCGAGGGATGAGATAGCTACAAGGAGGCTGGTGGTAAATCTGAGTTGTCGCGGGAAGCGGAAGATCGAGCTCAGGTGGGAGGTGAAGGTGGAGATAGAAGTCATTCTCTGCGGCTCCGATTTGAGATGCGTCTGCAAAGGGAGAAGATGTCGGTACCATGAGAAGGGAAAGGGTCTGAGGCCCCGACGCGGTTAGGGATTCTTCTGATCCATTTACGATGTGGTACGCCCTGACACCTTCAATGGCATACAAAAGCTTGGGGTCCTATTAACCAGGTTAGGGAGGTCCGATGGAGAGAGATTCATTATTTCCTGCAGAAAGGCCTACATGCTGTGTTCCGGCCATAGTGAAAGATGGCGTAATTTTGAGAAACGCGGATGGGACAGCGTGCCGAGCTCAAAAGTATTGCTGAATGGCGGGGTAGAGCCTGAGTAAGAGGGGTTACCAGAATCACAGCACCACAGTACCACAGCTTTTGCGCGAGCGACACGAACGAGATGGAGGGGGCGCGAGGAGGGGGAAAAACAAAAGGCTAGGATAGCACGCTGCAGTAAATAGGTGGCCTAGTTGCTCCGTCGCGTCCTCCGTGTTGAGAGAGTCGAAGATGGTGGGACGATATTGGATGGAGGGAAAATCTAGGGTTTGACAGTTGCGAACTCGTGGTTTCGGAGATGTTTCGATGGCGCCCATTCTTCTATTCTCGAAGACAGCCTGGGAGGCGGGTAGGCGAGCGCTTAGATATGTGAAGACGACTACGGGTTGAAAGCGGGTTGGAACGTCATTGGAGGCCGCCTTTACGTTGGCTCTCCTCTGCGACAAACAGATCTCGGCCCCGCCCTTTGCCTGCGTCTTGAGTCCAAGGCCGACCTTACGTTAACGTACGACATTGAGTGTTGAGAAACCAAACCCTCTTTCCAAGGGGCTCGAAAGACATGGCATCCCATGTCCCTCTGAGTTATCTTGCCGAAAAACCCCCAAAAATTTCAGAGTCGGAGTGTGAATAATAACTGCGAAACCCGAGCTCCTGAGGCCAAATACCGAGCATTTATTAGCGATTTTGCAGAAGTAACTTTTGGACCGCTTTGGGATCAATTGATGCGTCTCTTAGTCTTGGAGCATTAGCTGAATCGAATGGATTTAACGTGTACAATTATGCAGCAAAAATATTGCGGCGGTGGCGCAGACGTGTCAGAGAGTGTCGTGGCCAGCCTCTCTCAGTACATTTCACCAAGGGAAGTGCAAACTTGACTTTCAAAGGGTTCGGGAGTCTCTCAGAGTTATTTCGTTGTGCTACATACCTTCAATGTACCACCTAGGAATACCTCTCGCACGATAAAATGTGATTTCAAATTGCTACAAACATATGCCCAACACGTCTGAACAAGGTCGATGATGAGGCTGTCGAAGGGGGCAAATAATAAGTCGAAATCAAAGTGTCTGGATTAGGATCAGGCGCATCGGCGAAGGTTGATCCCCTTGAACGGCCTTGAAGGACGCCTGCTGCAAGTAGGCGACGTCACGACCAGAGATATGAGGATCTGCCTCTACACATGTTGAGGAGGGGGTACTTCAAGGGAGCTACCTTTTTAGAAAGTGAGATTATCAGTTCTTCGGGAGCAACCCCGTATCACTGCAAGGCACATCGGTCCTCTAGCGTAGGTGAATGAACGTCAAGACACCCTAATATATATTTCAGCATTATCTCAGCTTGACATCAATTGTTGTATCAAGTGGGCTATAGTTGGCATTATTATTTCTCTATTCATTCAGATCACCTTATCAATACTTGTCGCAAGGGATTAGTCTTCAATAGGGGCCTCCGCCAAACTTGGCCAAATATGATTGTTCATTCTTATTGACCTCCACATCAGTCAGCACTCTTTCCCTTGCCAGTGACGACATGAAGGGGATAGACTTGTGAGCTAGCCAATCAAATCCCTCTTCATAGATGCTCAGCTCCTGCACCTGATCAGTTCAAGCATTCCAGTTGAGCTTCCTTTCCTCTTTCTCTTTTCTTTTTAATTTTATTTTCTAATGCCTCACCTGCTTAGAGCAAGAGGTGAAGACAAGAAGACACTGATTAATAGGCAATAAGGGCTGCTATATGGAGGTACCTCATATTCATTGCCTTACTACTCCTTATATCTGTCTATCCGTTAGGGGCTTGGCTTTTTCATATATTTATAAATGCATCTAGTACACTACATCAAAGATTGCACACATATGCAACCATGTTCGCAAGCTATATTGGTTAACAAAGATGGCCTAACAACACACTGTTTTTTCTTACTATAGCATAGAGGTTTAGCATATAACTTTTGTTCATTGTAAAAGTGCAATTTAGTGAGAGGCCCTATCGACTGAGACACCAGTAATGGTTTTGAAGCTATCAGAGCTGTGAAGCTGAACCAGGGTCCTTTCCTGACAAAGGTGCCATTATTGTACATACTACCAAGGTAGATCAAGGAGAATGGCAGAGCAAGGAGTGTTTTCATACCCTTCACTCAGATGGGAACACATAGAAGGATCAGCTTCCAACATGCGAAGCAAGATTGTCGACAGCAACTACGAAGTACGTCGATCAACGCATCCGACCAGGGTGGCGCCAAAGAAGCGAGGTGGGAGCTTACAAGTAAATAGCAAGTGGGTGACAAAAAGAAGAGCCAGCACGGTACCGCAAAACAGCTGCATTGAACCCACTATGGTTGAGGGTACAGGGGGCATTGGGGGTGGGAACTGGGCAAACTTAGGTGGCAAGACACCCGTTCTAGTAGTCAAGGGTATTCTGCGGTGCAGAGCTCTTTTTGTCACCCACTTGCTTAGGTAGCAATTCGAGGCTATCAAACCGATGAGACTAGGAGGACAGAATTGAGAGTGGGGTGGTCTCAAGAATGCTGCAAAATGCCCATGGTAATATGGATCAATTGGATGTGCCTTGTAAACAAATAAATAAATTAAATAAATAAATAAAATAAAAGTGAAAAAGAAAGAAGGAAGGGAAAAAAAAACAAGTTTAGCGAAGAAAGCTACAAGTACTGAGGTAATTGCGACTACCCTTGCCCTTGCGAGCTGAGGCATGCCCATGACAATACCTAACGGAACGGAGGGCGAGCAGCTCCTTCTCCTTCCTCCAAGCCACTCTTTGACATGTTGCTTAGCTTTTCTAGCTCGAAGCCACATTGATGAGCCAGCTGAGTATCTCAGTGGCTCCACCCACTCCTTGGGGTAGCAAGCCAAGCAGGAGGGACCTACAAGTAGAGATCAATTCAAATACTTTGTACACTCTCATTGGGCTGAGACGGGCCTATAATGGAACAATCACTTGATTAACTTAGGGAAATTCATCATTCTACTCCTCGTCCTTTACGTAGTGAGAATCATCGTCGAATACCGAGGTACACTGCAGGCTCATCCGGGTTTTGGGTGTCTTGACACGTTGAACTCGCCTAGACTTCCTCGTTCAGATTGGATCTATTATATAGAAAGCCTATAGACGTTTGGTGCAAAGTACTTAAATACCGTTCCAGCGTTCCAACATGCTGGAACCGTAGGTAGAAGGTTGGGCAACCGTACCAATATGGTTCCTCAAACATGCCCAGCTCTCCTATGTAACATGAAGTCTTTGGTGCAGCACTCCTTCACCCATACCAAGCTAGCAGGGCGGGTATGGTCCCAGTAGCCTTGGGTACCGGCTTAGTGCTGGGTGGGTTGCACAGGCGCTGGGAAGACATTTTCGTGACCCCAATCGACCCTTTCAAATCCTAAAGCCAATCCCCGCGAAACTGCGATCACTTGGGCGGTGCTTTTGATCATTGATGGGGATTGAAGTGCCCTAATAACGGTTGAATATTGCACTTGACATCGATGTCGACTAATTCTGCATGTTTGGCATCAAGCTCCTCAGTGGCGTGTGCCACTCGAAAACGAAACATAATAATAGTATCCAGTCCGCCCTCGGAGCGTAGTTCAACTCTTGCTTCCAGTGTGCCGTTGGCCCTTACTTTTTTTCTTCTTTTTCCTTCTCCCCATGTGTGTGTGGTTGTTTTCCAGCTGAAAGGAGCGTTCCCTGCGTCAGGGATCTGGTAATTGTTCCAAGATTCCTCACTTTGACCAACCACAGCCTTCTCCCCGCCCCCATCAATCCCGTCGGGAAGGATCGATTGATGCTCCATCAACCATAAGTTGGCTCTTGCTGGTGCGCTGGTATCTACATGGATGTACGATTTCCCATCACAGAGGGCCTGCACAATGCGCAGTTTTCCCAAGGCACATGCACTCTCTCAATGTCAAGCCTTGGTACGTAGGGCACATAAACCGTCCCGTTTCCCATCCAGAGGGTTCCCAATTGATAGACGCTTAGCCGGGGTACATCCAGATCCATTGTATGCAGTATTAGGAACAAACGGGCGAGAGGTTGAGCTTTCGTTAGATGCTCCATCCAAATGTAGCATCTCCAGAAGCAGGCAGGGAGCACCACCCCCCTGGTAAATCCCTTTCCTACACATTTAGGAGGCCTTGGAGCTGCGAAGCACTTGACATTCGTCGGCCCTTGGATAAGCATCCCAGCCTCGCTCACTTTCCTCATCCCGCATCAAATCTTTTGGAATCTTTGCATCCTCCGTATCGTTCTCCCTGAACCACCTTCCCTCGGGTTTCGGCTGTCGAGTACATATGTACTGCATTTCAACCTGACTTACCAACAGGTGAAGCCCTGAAAGCCTGGGCCTTCGCGATCAATCCCCGTAGCTTTTTGTTCGTCCTTACCGAAGTCGCGCCGGTTGAATTCTCCCAAGTGAAACGACGCCCGCCTCTCTTTTTTCCCTTGAATCAATGCTGGGCGCATGACTTTTATAACGCCCGACCTAACACTGCACACCAACCTCCATCCTTCCGTAGCTCCCCATCTCGTGGCACAATCGCGTTGCCTCACCGTCGGTATCCCTATTGCCTCGTCTCGTCCTTTCCGCTACCTGGAAATCTCTGGTCATCTAAACAACCAGACACAAACTCTTCCTGTCCTCCCTCGCGCGTTGTATCACCTCGGGTTCTTACCTCAGTATCTACCATTGCCCTCACCAGCAAGAACAAGAATAAGGCGACGGCGAACCGACCTAGCGCAGCCCTGTAAGGGTCTCTTTCGATTGCCCTTTCGCCCCCCTTAACCATCTTTTGTCCCGATTTCTTTCTCTCTCTTATTTTTCTTCTTTATTTCCTTTTTTGTGAGGCTTGTCCCCCACCGCTGTGAGGCTCCCCTGTCCAGTCTCCCGTTCCCACTCATTCCTCGTTCATTGTACACATCCCCCTGCTTTTCCATCTTCCCCTCTTTCCGTCTTTCGCCATTATAATTTCTCGCTTTTCCTCCAGCGCTCTCCCCGCCCACATACCAATCCCCACCCTCACCGCCGTGTGCTACTGCTGCGTAGGTGCCGGAGACGACCAGGTCTATCACCGAATTTCTTTCTCGTAAAAATCGCGATATACCTCACCCTTCCTCGTGAACTCTGCTACGACCCGATCTTGGACAACAGCCTTGTCGAGCTCGCCCAGCCACCAGCCAAGGCCGCTCGAGTTACGATTCACTATTGGACTCTAAATCCACCCGAGTGCTGCCTCCTCCTACTTGCTGTCTCACCCGGACCTCGCGAAGGGTCCAAGCCGGCACAATTACCTCCCAACTCCGTATCCAGTCTATCCTCTCACCCGCTGACCCGTCGGGTGCCGATGAGCCCCACACCGTCAGTACCCCATCCAATATATTGAGTCCATACACCAAGCAAGAGGACCCCTACGAACAACCCCTTCTCAATGCTGCGCCTTCGCAGCTTCCGGTCTTTGAGCAGACTACGGACCACGCGCGTTTTCTGCCTCAATCTCAATGTGACCAGGCTGATATCGTAAACGAGTACGGAGCCTCTGAAGGCCGACCATCTCAGTCTTCGACCCCACGACCTGACTCGAGAAAATTGAGAATGGCAAGGCCCCCCTCAGGTCTAGCATCGCTTGTCTGAGATGTCGAAAGTCTAAGATCAAGTGCGACAATGACGGTGGCACCACTGCATGTGAGACTTGTATCAAAGGGGGCCACCAGTGCCAGTATCCGGATGCAATCGCCTCGCCAGTGAAGAAGCCAGATGCAGCTACCACTACGCAAAGGCAGGAGCGTGAAGGCGGGTCTGAGAGGAAGCGAAGACGGCTGGATGACCCTTCGTGCTGGGTTTCGAAGAGATCTTCCGCATATGCCGAGCAAGTCCTCTCTTACCCTTTTCTGAGGGGCGAATTATGGGATCAGGTGTTTGGTATATACAAACTGCACTTCTCAACTGAGTTGCCATTCCTCCACCTTGCCACGCTCAAGGAGAAGATAGATCTCAGGCAAAGGGCAATCTCAAATCTGAACCGGATGTCAACCTTGTTCTCCTTGGGATTCTTACCTTGACCGCCCGGTTTCATAACGATTTGGTCAAGTATGTTGCGGCCATGGCCCCTTCTTCCGGGAGTGGCCGGTCACGCCAGGGTTCTGTGAAGATTGACCCCAACTCCGCCTCCGAATTTTACGCCTCCTCGCTTACCACCGCTCTGGGCTCCTTGCCGGACGCCATTACTGTCGTAAGCGTCGAGAGGGTGCAGGCTTTTCTCATGTTGGGCTTGTATGAATGGACCCGAAATCGTCCCCAAGGTGGCGTGCGCGCCTGGATGTATGTCGGCGTAGCCATCCGGATGGCTCAAGCTCTTAGGCTTGGGTGCGGGGACGCGGTCGCCCAAAATGGTGATCTGTTGCGCTCGAGAAACAAGAGACCTAGTCAACCTGAAGGGTCTCATTCTGACATAGTGATCGAGAAAGAAATTCGACGGCGAACCATGTTCAGCTGCTTCATCCTCGATAGGTTACTCGCGGTAGGAGATGATCGGGTCTCAATGATTAGCTCCACAGACCTCCACATACAGCTGCCCTGCTCTGAGTTTGCATTTGACCTTGCATCCGAGGTTTATACTGGCTTCCTCAACAATAGCGACGAACTGGCTCAGCAATCTATTCGTCTGCCCCGAGACGATAGCGTCCTCAGCCGATTTGTGAAGTTGGTAGATCTATGGGGAGAAATCACGCGCTATAGTTTCAGTGGTGGCCGCGCGACAGAGGGCGATAAGCGCCCATGGGACTCATCGTCGACATTCATGAGGCTGAGGAAGAGGCTTGATGCCTTTTACAGCAGCTTGCCCGATACCTTTACGCTCTCTCCTAAGAACTTCTACCGCCACGATAACCATCAGGCAACTAGCATGTATGTCTCCCTCCATGTTCTCGGATCCGTCTGCCAAATCATGATACATCGGGAGTACATACCCTTTATCCCCATACGGTGTAGCCAGCCAGCCGGTCCGCTAGACCCGCCTCTAATCCTGGATGACGGCCCTCCGGGCTTTTGGGAGGAGAGTGCAGAGCATGTGTTCAAGTCAGCGCGAGACATTGTTGGTATCATCGAGCTTTCAGGGGACAAGCTTCCGCAATCGTCTTTAGTCCTCTTCGCCATCTGGACGGCTGCCTTTTGCGGACTATATGCTATTCATTTTCCGCAAATGGATACCCGGCACCACATGATCCGCCCAGGGGATATCCAACCTCAGCACGAAGAGATATATGGTCAGAGCAAGGAGAGTGCGACAGGCGTTACATTTCGCACTTTGACGAAGCTGGCACCATACCTCCCGTTAGCCGGCACCTATCTCAAAATCTTCAAGGACTGTGACCGGTATTTTACCCAGGTCACGAACGACTTTTCAAGTTTGAGGGCCGCACGCATGCACCGGAGAGTGCGGGACAGCAAGCGAGTGGAAGAAGTGTTCAGGGTGGTGGGGTCGCGAATGGAAAGCGCACAAGGGAAAAATCACGAGCAACGGGAACATCTTCCCCTACGACGAGCGAAATACTACGTATGAAGGCTCTGACGCATCGCACACACAATCACCGGACCGAGATGCGTCGGCAGGCGTCGAGGGGTACGGACAGGCCATCTCGCTGATGCCTACCCCTTCACTATCATCTGCACCCCTTGAGGACGGGGCCGGTCGGCCAAGGCCTGGACGAACAGAATCAGCAACCTCTTTTACACCGATCAACAGTGTTTCGCAAAGTCAGCAACCTACCCCACAATTACCGACTCCCCAGGTGGCGCCGAGCGATTCAACGACGCCCACGGTCGAAGCCTCGTACCGAGGAGTCCAGCTCCCTCATGACCCGCTCGAGTCGTACTACCCCATCGATACATCTCCAACACTGCAGAGCACCTTTATACCCCAGGACGGAGGCCGGTTTTCCCACGATACTGCCAACCCCCTCTCTTATATTGAGGCGCACCAGAACACGAGGCTCAGCTGTGTCCTTACAGACCTCTCGGCGTTTTCGGGAAGCGGGGACCCCTCACCTTTGCCGCTCTCCAACCGATTCCGTGGGACGCGCAATACTTTGAGGATAAACCGTCACTTATTATGCCAATTGGGCACTCTGTGTAATGCCCGAGGGCAAGACATGAGGCCAAGCAGGATTCCTAATCTATGACGGGAGGGTTCTCTGAGGGGAGAACTGTCGCTAACCCGGGTGCAGTTTCCTATCCTCCTTTCTACTTGTCTGCCCCCTGTCCCTCCTGACTGCTTTTCCTTTTTCTTTCTTTTTTTCTCCCCCGCTTTCTCCCCATGCGGCCTCTTCAAGACCCTCCTCCACACTCTTCCTTTTCTCGAGCCAACTTCTTCCCAAGTCAGTAACCTCGATTAGTTGATTAACCTACAGGGGAGGAAAAGGAGGAGATATAAAAAAAAAAAAAAAAGGCAAGGGCGGCCAACTTTTGTATATAAGCTTGGATCAGTTTCATTCTAGGACATAGGCCGGTTTGCATTTGAGTAGTGATGGTTAGTAGCTATGGAATGCCACGTGCTTTTGGGACCAGCAAGTTATCGTTAACCTACCTTTCCCCCGTTTCACCTCCTCCATGGCCCTCGCAAGGTTTAATCCATTTAATCCATCTGAAAGTGTCTCATTTCGGCAGAAGTTTATCTTCGGGGATCTTCGAGGTTTGTTCTCGTCCTCCTCTCGGGCGGCGCCTTTCTTTCCTTCATCACGACAGGGTAACAGGTCGGGAGAAGATAACGGGCGATGGAATGCGGACAAGTGAAGGGCAAGAGGATGGAAAAAACAAAAAGACAGGGGATGAGGCAAAGGCCGAAACCTAACCGTAGGAGCTTAAAACTTTTGGAAACCCGGGTGTCGGCCAGTAAAGAGCATCAGAATCCATGGGACTAGACGCTTTCCAAGCCGCGCCGAAGGGTCGTAGGCCGCTCGAGGAGATCAGAATACAAGGATGCAATTCCAGTCGTAGTTCCAATCGTTTATCTTGCTAGGATGTCATTCACCACCATCAAGAGTGAGGCAAATGCCCGAGGCAGGTCAAATATGATGAAAGTGCGGGCGAAGAGGAGTCGGGAGCGTGAGAACAGGCGATGCTCACGCATTGGAGGGGACACAGTCCGCTTTGATGAGAACATTCTCCAGGATAGGCAAGGTTAAGGCGTACATATACGGGTGTAGCCATGCTTGATCTAATGGATCCATTTCAACATCTCTTGACGGTGCGGGAGCGGCCGCGCTCGATGAAGCAGTCGAGGTTGTAGCCGCCCTGGAGCAGGGTGTCGATGTAGGTCTGGACGAGGGTAGTGTAGAGGGTGTCGTCGCCAGAGGAGCGTCGGATCCACAACGCGCTGGCGTTTTGTAAGAAGAAGCCGAAGACGGGGAAGTTGAGGTTATCGCCGGCTACACATCGAAACGGTTTTGATGCCCGTAATTCGGATTATTCTCGAGAATAAGCTTTACGGTAAGTGGTGCCGTGCATACTTTGGCCTTTTCTCCTCGTAGCAATTTTTCTTTCTTCCGTTTTCTTCTTCTTTTCTATTCCTTTTGGACACTAACCTATCTCCCTTGACTTCCACAGATCTTTACATCGAGGTCGAATTGTCAGAGAGCTACTGGAGAATAACGATAAGCTTGGCGATGACAATGAGTATGGCGAGTATCTGGACGATAGGCTTCAGAGTGAATCAGTGTAGATATGAGATGTCGCCGGATACCCATTGGATCCATTGTTGAGGCGCGCCGCGCCGGCTGGCCATTGTTTAAGAAATTACATGGGCGAAGTACCAACCCCCTCTCCGCAATGGTTATCTCATCTTTCTATTCCCCGTAATTCTTGCTCATGTTTCTTCTTCTTTTCTTTTCTTTTTTTCCCTCTATTCACGATACATCCCCATAAGCTTGAGCCAACGGCTTTGTGCCCCACGAGTGAAACCTGGCCTCCGCTAATGGATCATGTGGTGGGAAGTAAAGAGGTCAGAGTGCGTCGGACATTGTTGCGAGATGCCCCAAGTTGGGCTAACTCCTGGCCTGAAGGGCGACAGAGGCGATGATTCTTCGTGGGGGCCACCCTCCGAAGGCAAGGCAACAAATCAGAGTAGAGGTACGTAGTGGACGGTAGAACACTGATCAACTCTGTGCGCATCGGTAGAGAGCCGTCAATGTGTGTCTGAGGTGTCTGAGATGGAAGGCTAGAGAGGGACTTCCTCAGGGCGATAGGTAGACCAGACGTAATGGTGATGGCAGGCCTACTAGCCTACGATCCTTTCCTAATCACCCGTAAATCCTTTTCTTTTTTTTTTGTTCTGTTTTCGATTTTTGGCTTTAAACAAAAACCCAAATAGCAGACAACAGGCTTATACACAGATGGCCTCTCAGCACTCGTGATGGGTGACTCGTCTCGAGGTTGCAAGCTTTCAATGTTCTCAAGTGACGTAACTATGGCCGGGCAGAGCGGGTCCGGAACTCCATTCCGGGTAGACACGGCGAGCGGGCTGGCGCGGGGAGTAAGAGAAGGGGCAAGGCACTTGTATGTAAGAGGGTAATCGGGAATCGATGTGGGGCAATCTTGATTTGATGGGATCGATTCCATGCAAGGACTGGAGCGAGTAGCAAGGAGAGGGGCGATCAGCGAGGAAGGACGGGAATGCTTTTCTGCTCTTCGATGCTCACATCGGCAAGTCACTTTACTTGGCTTTTTTTTTTTTTTTTCGTCTTTTGGGAGGGGGATTCTTTTCTTGAATGTGCATACACCCGTAGATGGATTCATCCATGGATGGATGGAGGTGTAGCCTTTTGATTGATTGTTGCGGCGGGGAACCCGGCTGGTGGTTTGTGATCAAGCCTAGCGGCGCGTCAGTGTGAACTTTTGGCTTTGTACTTTGATGGAAGCACCCAAATTTCCCTCTCCCCCTGTTATTCCACGATCTCTCCGTTCCTCGTCATCGCCTTCATTCAAATGCATTGAGCTGATTACCTATCTACCTTGCCATCTACGCTGTCGGGTCATGTGGGATGCAGCATATGTACCAAGCACGGTCTGGGTGGCCGGTGTGGAACATTCAATGTTAGCTATTACAAGGATTCGAGGGGAATGGGTAAGAGGGGCTAGACGAGCCACTAGAACTTTAAAAGCTCACTGGGTCTATCAATAACTTGAACGTTCTCGTTTTCCCCTTTGCCCACCCTTGCCGATTTATTATATCTCTCGATATATATGCTTCGTTCTAATGTGTACCACGAGAAAAAAAGAATCATGAACAGTAATCAGAAATACGAGTAAAGTGAGGTACTGCTGCAGCCCCAGACTCGGACATCGGGGTACAAACAAACGAGGGAAGACCAAGCGAGGGTTGACGTGGGGAAGAGCGTAGCCCTCCCACTTTATCCCTTTCCGGGAGTCTCTGATTCGTCATCGTACAGGATCACCAAGCATTCCCAGCGTCCAACCTTGCCAGCTTGCCCCCAGCTCCGAAGGGACCCAGTGCTAGTTGTAGTCCCTCCCAGTCCCTCCCACCCCCTATTATCCACCTGTCTCACCCGGTGTGTCGTTTTTTCTAGTATGGGACCCTCTATCGAGAGACTCGAGGCAAGGCACCGTCGCAAGTCGTGTCTCCAAATATTGCGCTCATGACAAAATTGTCAACGTCTTTTGTTACTTGGCGTGTTGTGTGGTTCAAACTAGGCACCCCGCACCGCGTTGACTTGCCGTCATTCTAATCGATCTATCCACCTCCTTGCACCTCCATCTTCCAAGTCGGACAAGTGGGGAGCTGGAGCCCGCAGCTCGGAGCTCGTCTGGCGAAGGAGCTCCCCCTCCTTCTGACCATTTTGTTCTTTTGTACATGTACAAATTACATGCCGCCCACGGGAGAAACATCCGCTTTTCCCAGCAACTACATGTCGATCAATGATAGCAGAAGTCTCGAATTTCTCCAAACCGGCCTCCTCTTCTCGGTTGGATGACATACATACCCAAAGAATTAGCGACGCGAAACCCATCCTAATTGGGGGTCGGCAAGTGGTGGATAATAATACATCTATCCTGGATCCATGTAATCATTATTAGAGATCAATCTCCATTGGAACCAAAGCCCGCGGCAGCCACGACAGCCCCACGCCACGCGCCCTTCGGCCAACACAAAATCCACGGCCCTAGCGCCGACTGCACCCCATCACGGCCACTACATGGCATATTGCCCCACGCCTCCCAGTCTCGGCTCGCGTGTACTCGGGAATTTCAAGAGAGAAAGGAGAAGGAGAGACTATGTATGGTTAAGTGGGCGTGCAAGGGTGAGAGCGTAAGCATGTTCACAAGGCACTGGAAAGCAAAACAGGTCTATGGGGGTTATTCTTACTGAAGTTAGGAGAAGAAGAACAAAGAGCACCGAGACGAAAGAATGAGAATCGCCAAAACCTCCTCCTGCGGTACACACCCTTGGGGCCAAGTGATTAGTGATTACGCCCCGTCCTTCCCTTGACCAAAAGATACATCCATGGTGGATGTTTTCTTTCTGCCTCCTCTTCTTGCCTCACGTCGGTCAATCGTCACGGCCGCCAAGGCGGATCCTCTTGGCGCCTCCGGGCTCGATTGAACATACGTGCACACGAGGAAAAGTACGACAGCGATTCATTTTTCTTTCTTTTTTGCTCAGCTGCCGCTCATGGGGCCAAACTAAGCCTTATAGGCAAAGCTTACCAATTGAGCTTGTTGGGGCTGCTTGGCCAAGTATCGCTACTTCGCTACTTTCGCTGTCCTCGAACCACAACAAAGGCCTTGAAGTGGAGTATTCTCCGGCCGAGTCGTCCACGGACCTGGATGCCAAGGTCCAGTTCTCGCCCTCCCGGCCAAGGAGGCTTGTAGCGATGTGAATAGATACTTTGAGCCAGCCACCAGCCCTTCCACTCCGTCTTCAAGCTGTACGTCGGTGGAGCCGTCTCCGCTCAAACCCGGCTCTCCCGCCTCCATCGAGAGCTCAAGCATTTGGCACGTTCTCCCTGGCTCAAGATCACGGTACTTGGGGCAAAGCGGAGGCCAACCTTAGCCAGCGTTTCTAAATCGTTCGTTATGGTACAGGCCCCTCGAGCTGCTCGAGCGACTCGACGACACAATGCTGCTATTTTAGGTTGTCCCTTTCAACCCGGCCTTTCACTGCATCTATGATTATAAATCTGTCAATTTTACTCTTTTGCTTAACTCAAAACTGGTATCCAATCTACGAGTAGCGAGCCGAGTTTAAAACATAGCTTCAACTTCCCCTTCTCCTCCACGCCTCGACCTGTTCACCTCCCAGCTTCCCTTTAGTTTCGTAGATCCTCCTCACGCAACCCTTTTCAGACCCCTCCCCCTTTGTCTTTTTCAAAACTATCAAGCCCACGAGTACAGCCAGGTACGCCTACACATACACGCAAGGTGCAAAGGTAATCGTTGCTCGGATACGACTGGCCCTCCTGTTGATAGCTTGAATTGCTCTTCGCCATGTCCGAATCCGTAGCCGTGGGGATGGCGCCCGCAGCGGTCCTAATGACCGAGCCAAAGGCACCTAGCCCATGCTTAGATTCTTCCAATGGGGCTTCGGGGCCGACTCCAGATATCATTGATATTCGACGGACGCTCGTCGAGATGAATCTAAAGGACGAGATCTTCACCTTGTTTGAGCCTGCCGCCGGCCCGAGAAAACTACCAACACTTCTTCTATACAATGAGAAGGGGTTGCAGCTATTCGAAGAGGTGAATACATCCCCCACCGCCCATTCCCCGTCTATAAGACGAGGACAGGTCAGGACGAGAGTTTCCTCTTATCAAAAAAAAAAAACAGCAACCTTTTTTTCTCCTCCTTTGCTTCCTCTCCTTCTACCTCGTCTTGCTTCTTCCTCTCTAGCTATCAACCATAAAAGTGCTAACGCCGATATAGATCACATACCTCGAAGAGTATTACCTTACCAATTATGAGATCGACGTGCTCAAGCAGTCCGCCCAGGACATTGCCTCAAGGATTCCAAAGGGAGCCATGATCATTGAACTTGGAAGCGGGTGCGTTGAGGTCATTTTTTTCTTTCATCCTAATACCCGTTCATCCTCTCTTGCATCAACTTTGTCCCCCGCAACGTCAAATGTGTCTGCTGACGTTGGCCTGCCCTGTTTTGGGGGAAAATGAAGTTGCCCCGGAATAGAAATCTGCGAAAGGTCTGCTTGCTCTTGCAGGCGCTTGAGGATGCTCAGAAGCATGTCGAGTATTATGCCCTCGACCTCTCTAAACAAGAGCTCGAGAGGACTCTAGCCCAAGTCCCCGATTTCCAATATGTCACTTGCAAGGGTCTTCTCGGCACTTACGACGACGGTCGTGAGTGGCTCAGGAACCCCGAAATAGCCAGTCGATTTAAGTGTATCCTAAGCCTCGGGTCCAGTATTGGTACGAAGACCTCCTTCTCCCCCTCCCAGGATACCGTCAATAAGCTCCATGCTGTTTTCAAGCCTCTCGCTCATTTTTGCGTGAAATAGGAAACTTTGATCGCCGCGAAGCGGCTGATTTCCTGACAAGCTTCTCCTCGACCCTTGGTCCCTCTGACATGATGTTGATTGGCGTGGATTCTTGCGCGGACCCAGCCAAAGTCTAGTACGTCCTGTATTGTACTCCTTCGCCCCTCCAGGCGAGACCACACACACACCCTCAACTTTTGTGATGAGCCTCACCAAAAGAAATACTGACAGGGACACGTGTAGCCATGCGTATAACGGTAAGTCTGAGCGGCCACATAGTTGCCCTCTTCTCTAGACCTAGGGGCTTTTTCCTTTTTTTTTTTTTCTTTTGGCAAGCACGGCTAACTGTTCATCAATGTCCACAGACAGACAAGGTCTGACTCACAGGTAAGGCCGCTCTTAAGAGCCCCTAGACATGCAGCAGGCTTTTAGTCTCGCATTCCAAAGATTCGCTCGCTCCTACTTCTCTTAGTCCTCGATTCATGATCACTGACACCACGCGGCAGGTTCATTCTCAATGGTCTCTCCCAGGCGAACGAAGTCCTTGGGGACCAGATTTTCGACGAGAACGACTGGAAGGTTATTGGAGAATACGTGTATGATGAGCAGGGTGGTGGCCACCGAGCGTTCTACTCGCCCATACGGGACACTGTCGTTCTTGGCAAAGTTGTCCGCAGTTACGAGCGCATCCAGGTCGAGCAGAGCCTCAAGTACTCGGCCGACGAACGGGACCGACTTTGGGCCACGGCTAGACTTACCGAGATTGGCCATTGGTCTAAAGGGGATGAATATGGTAAGTAAGGATCCATCCGTCCCACCAAGGGCAGAGCTATCACCTTGCTAGCAGGTCTCTCTAACATTGTATCCAATAGGACTTCATCTCTTACAAAAGCAGCCTGATATGTCTTTTAGCTTGGTACCCTCCACATACGCACAGACAACACTCCCTTCACTTGAGGACTGGGATTCCCTCTGGTGTGAGTGGGATAAACTCACGAGGGCGATGATCCCTAGTGACGAGCTTTTGGAAAACCCATCAGACTACGCAATGCTTGCATCTTTTATCTCGGCCATATTCCAACCTTCCTCGACATTCAGCTGACCAAGACAAGTGGGGAGGCCGCTACGGAGCCCGGGTATTTCTGGGATATATTTGAGCGCGGTATCGACCCTGATGTGGACAATCCGGAGCTGTGCCATGCCCACTCGAAGATCCCGGATGAGTGGCCCCCGGTAGAGGAGATTATCGCGTACCAGGAGGGCGTGCGGGCACGGCTTCGGAGATTTTACCGTGACGGACCCTCTTCTATCCCACGTGCTGTACAGAGAGGAATCTGGGTGGGATTTGAACATGAAGCAATGCACTTCGAGACCCTGCTCTACATGATGTTGCAGAGTGACAAGACTCAGCCGCCCCCGACGGCTCCTCGACCCGACTTTGAGGGTCTCGCCTATAAGGCGCGTCAGTCTCGAGTTACCAACATGTGGCATGACGTGCCCGAGCAAGTGATTTCGATTGGCATCGACGACCCAGAAGATGGGACTGAAGATGTCCATTTCGGGTGGTGAGCATAGTACCCGCCCTCGCCCCCTTCCCTAACTCCGTGCATTGACGCTACAAATGCCCGTTGTTTGCCAAAAGGTGCGGGAAAAAGAATGCTGACTAGGATTTTTGCAGGGACAACGAGAAGCCATCTAGGCAGCTAAGGGTTCCAGCCTTTCAAGCAAAAGGCCGTCCAATCTCGAATGAGGAGGTAAAGTGTGATGACTATTGAACTTGGCGGTCGTACTCTAGCTAACAGTTGTAGTACGCCACTTACCTCTACGAAAACAACCTTGATGGCGTTCCAGCATCATGGGCGAATCTAGTGCAGAAGACTCCTTCGGAAGGCAGAAGTAGCAGGGACAGTAGCGCGCCGTCTGACTTGATCAAAAATATCGCAGTAAGGACAGTGTACGGGCTGATCCCGCTCGAGTATGCTCTCGACTGGCCAGTCTTTGCCTCCTATGACGAACTCTCCGGATGTGCCGCATGGATGGGTGGGCGGATCCCAACCTTTGAAGAGGCGCGGAGCCTCTACTCCTTTACGGAAAGAAGCGAGACCGAAAAGGCGGAGCAAACACTAGGAAAGACGGTTCCGGCCGTGAACAGGTACGTGCCTCCCATCGTCCACAATAATTAAGATTCACTCCTCGCTTTATTTCTTTTGTCTTCCCCCTTCTGTTCCGCTGTTAGATCTAAAGAGAGAGACACATGGGGTAGGCTAACAAGTGGGTGGCGAGATAGTCATTTAATCAACGACGGAGTTGAAGAAACCCCGCCATCGCCCCCGGCAAGCGAGATCGCAGGCAGCGGGGCCGAGCAGCTGTTTGTTGATCTCCAGGGGGCCAATGTCGGTCTGAAGAACTGGCATCCAACCCCGTCACCGACCGAGGCGACCGCCTCGGCGGCCAGGCCGCGATGGGCGGGGTCTGGGAGTGGACAAGCTCGCCTCTGCGAAAGCACGATGGCTTCGAGCCCATGACACTCTACCCCGCTTACACGGCTGATTTCTTTGACGAGAAACATAACATTGTGCTTGGCGGCTCGTGGGCCACCCACCCGCGGATTGCTGGTCGGAAGTCCTTGTAAGTGCCCACGCTCTTTTTCCAAACACGCGTATTCTCCAAATTCCAACCCTGGCTGGCTCTGTGGTCTATTCGGCCCTCCGGACAGAGCCTCTTTTCTTCCTCGTTCACTTTTTACCCGTCGCGTCTCCCCCTTCCCATCTTTGCATATATCCTCGTCTGTGCCTACCTTTGTCCACCACCTTTGATCTTTTATACTGATGATGACTGGTTTAGTGTCAACTGGTATCAACGTAACTACATGTATGCCTGGGTCGGCGCCCGGTTAGTCCGTGACAAGCCTCAAGTTTGAAAAACAGTATCAGACCACTTCGGTACATGTAGTCATAGTTGGACTTGGGGAGTGGGGACATTTCGAACAGAGGGCAACAAAACAAATCAGAATAACACCGAAAGTATCCGCGGGTAATGAAGGGGGAAACTGAACTGTATGGGCCAGATTGAATAATTGATAGTTTGTCTAAATTCTTTTCTACTTTTCTGCAAATCAAAATCCAACCTTAGTTCCACCCCCGCAAGAAGTTAGGCTCCACGCAAGCGAAGCACCCAAGAGGACGCAGACTTTGTAATCGCACCGAACACGATTCTCTAGAGTGATGTTGCTGTATAATCGAATGACAAAGAGAGGCTATGGAAAAAGCAGCATACACAAAAACCAAGATGGCGTCGAGAAGAAGGTCAATGACGATTAGGTTGGAAGAAAAAAAAAAACAAAAGAACGGAAGCAAAAGGAAACAAAGGAAGAAGCAAAAGAAACCACACAACGCCGTGACATAATGCGACGAAAATCAAACTATATAGACATCCCAAGTAGCCCTACCTGACGCCCTCGTACCGTGGTTGACTTTTATTCTATATTCCCGTCTTCTTTTCCTTTTGGGGGTGGGCGTCCGCCATCTCTTCACCAGTTCGGCGCTTCGCAGTGAGCTCTACTCTTCCAACATACCCTCCTCATCCAAGTCTCTGTGAGCCTTGGTGAGAATACGATCGGGGACCATCGTTCCGTAGGCATCCATGAGCTGGAGGAAAGGGTATTCGGGCTTGTGAATTCCGAACTCTGTGACGAGATTTGTAATCCATTCTGGAGGCTGTTGGAGTGGGGAGAGGGGAGACAAAAACAAAGGTTAGATGCCCGCTCATCTGCAAGACACAAAGATCCGGGGGAAAGGGGAAGATTCACTTACCGTGTAGTCAATTGGGTCTTGAGGGAGCCGGCTAGGGCCGTCGGTGGTGAAATCGAGTAGGCTCTGGGCAAAGCCCAGGTCCTTGTCCTTTTGGCCCGTGGGCAAGGTAGGCATCCTGACAAACTTGTGTTCCTCAGTGGCTACGTAAAAGGGATCTGGGGTTCGTGCGCGTAGGCCAGCTTGGCGATCTGGGCGGTGCCGAGGCGGGAGAAGATGCCGCCGCTCTGGGGCACGGCCTCGGCACCGACAATGACCATGGTGATGCGGCGCTGGAGGCCCATGACGTGGGCAACGGCGGTCTCGGGGATTTCGGCAACGGGGATACTCGCCTTGCGGAGCTCCGCACAGACGCCGTCGCTCTCCTGGGCCCGGTGCTCGTCGCGGACGTAGACGACCTGGAAGGTGACGCGGCCGGAGCGGATGATGCCCTGCTCGGCAGCACGGCAGAGGAGGCCGGAGACGGCGCGCGAGGCGCCCGACGTGAGGACGGTCGATCCGTCCTTGACGAGCTTCCACCCAATGTTGGCGACGCTCTCGCGGGCCTGGATGGCGCGGGTAGCGAAGACGGCCGAGTTGGAGAGGAGGTGGTCGCGGGTAGCCTCGAAGCCGCCACCCCGGCGCGACTCGTCATCCTCACGCTGTCTCAGGGACTGGACGATGAAGCGCTCAAAGAGGTCGGTGCCGGCCATGAGGGGCACAGGGTTCCGGACCGAGGCGTGGAGGACGGCGACCTGGGACTTGATGAGGTCGAGGGTCTCGAACACGGTGGACGTGGGCTGGGCGTTGAGGAGCTCTATGAGGGCCTGGATGGCGGCGACGGGCTGGGTATAGGCGGGGTTCGTCGCGAGCAGGTGGTGGTAGGCGGCGACGATGTCGAAGGAGGACGAGGTCGAGGGCATGGGACGGAGAGGGAGGTTTGTCGAGGTGGGGGCCTGACCGGCGTTTTGGCTGGAGTCCGCCGCCATGGTGTTGGGTGGAAGGGGGCTAGATGACCGGTGCGTTGATGTGGTTTCGGGTAACGTTGCGAGTCGCTCTCTGAGCGGAAGAGACTTTGGGGCAGTCGTGCCCTATTTTCTAGGATATCTTTCGCGCGCTTGTGAGTGAGAAAAAGTAAGGGCGAGGCGGGTGCGGATTCACGTCGCGGGGAAACAAAGAGACAGAGAGAGATATATAAAGAGAGGGACAGAGAGAAAGGCGGAGGGGAGGGAATTGGAAAATGGCGGCTTTGTCGTTTGGTTCCTGGCTCAGTTTCGACAGATCGCGGTACTAATGCTTTCTTGGGGATGCTGATTGTCGTCGTCGTCGTTTCCGGATCAAAGTGAGTCAGTCGCAAACAAAACTCCTCGAATGTGGGGGAGAGAAAAGACGGCGAGAGCTCTCCGTTGGTATTTAGTACTTGGTAAGTGCACGGAAGCAGGCTTCGTTATCGGTACTGGATACATGCATGGATCAACCCACCCCGCGACCCTCCGTCGATTTTGGAGGGGCACCTCGACACTTTTCAAAGCCAATAGATTGATCAGACTTCAAGTTACAGAACGGCTTTAATTGCCCCTCGGCACCGCTCCCTGTTGCCGTGAATAGCCCTATGCAACGGCATACTCCAGCCAGCACCGAATTCGTAGTGAGAGTACTGAGGTAGGCACTGAGAACAAAAAGTTATCAAAGGCCCATCCGTGCATCTGCAGCGTGAGGCAGGGCATGGCAAGAGGATTGGACTGATGGGCGGTTGGCTATTGATATAACGTCTGAAGACTCGAGGGAAGCCCCATGATTAACCCCAGGGTTCCCATGAATACTCTATGTGCACTCTACATCACGACTCCACCACGACAGCAGGCACAGTTGAGCTATAGATCTTTCGTTTCGAACTGCCCCTCCTCTCTGTGGCGGTCTCCTCCCCTGAGGCTTGAGCCCCACCCTCTCCAAAGAGCTACCCCTCAATCCCCTTTCGAGCCATTGATGTTTCCCATCACAAGCAGTGACTACTAGTAACTTCCTTCAACCACACGAGAGAAGGAAAGCCGATCTTCAACCTAATCCCTTTTCCCCCTTCGCCCCCACCCTCAAAACGGCAAACCCTCCACTCCGGAGCCTAAGCGACCCAGCTTTTCTCTCTTCCAGCTCCCAAACTTACCCGCTCGCTCGGAACCGTAGACGGACGTGCGAAACAACCAGAGGAACAAACAAGGCCATTGAATCAAAAAACTATCGCCATTTATATCCCGTCTTCCTCAGTCCACGCCAGAGGTCGTACACAAACGCGCGCAACCCAACATAACAACAGCAGCCGCCATGTCCGTCGATCCAGCAACAGGAACTCCCCTCCCCCAGACGCCCTCCAGCGCGTCCTCTTCGTCGTCCACCCCGTCCACGTCTACAACATTCCCCCTCGCCTCCACCAAGGGCTACTCGGCATCCACCTGGACCGAAGACCCCGCCCGCCACATCTTCACCGCCCGCTGCCGCGTGATTGAGACCTCGTACGAGCAGCAGAGCGCCGCCGGCCAAGCCCAAGAAGTCCTCAAGGCCGACGTCGTCCTCGAGGACCCCAAGACGGGCGAGCTCTTCGCCGCCGCCCCCTACACCGACGAAGCCGCCGTCGAACCCGTCATCGACAGCTCCGCTTCTTCGCCGTGCGAGTCCGCGACCCCAGCGGCCGCAAGGCCGTCCTCGGCATCGGCTTCGAGGACCGCAGCGACGCCTTTGACTTTGGCGTCGCCCTCCAAGAGGTTAGAAAGTCCGTCTTGGCCCCCGGCGCCGACGCCGACTCCGCCTCCGATCCTGCCCGCGCCAAGGAGAAGAAACAGGCCGAGACCCGCGACCTCAGCCTCAAGGAGGGCGAGACCATCACCGTGAGCTTTGGCGGGTCCAAGTTCCAGCGCCGCCACCGCCCCAGGGACGATGACTCCGTGCCCACCGGCGGCGACTTGTCCGCCTTCTCCCTTCCCCGCCCCCAGCGCTGCTTCAAGCTCCTCAGCCTCCATAGGCTCGTTCCTACCCCTCCCCGCTAGCGGGTCCCGTACTAGTAGGGCGCAAAAGAGACTTTCTGCCCAAGACCTCGGCTTTGACGACGGCCAGTTTGGAGAGTTTGCATAGCTTCTTTGTTTCTTGTGGGCTCTCTTTTTCAATTTGTTTCCGCCTTTGCCCCTTTTTGTAGGGGCTCTAGCCTACTTCGTAACGAAGAGTGCAAGGCGTAATTTATTTATTCCCTCTCCGAGGACTAAGGCGTTGGTGGAGAATTCCCTGGATCAATATCTCGAATCAAAGTCTCTTTTCGTGCTTACCTACCCCCTCCCCCATCCTTCTTCCTCTCCGTGTATTCCCTATCTCCTTGTGTTTACGGCAACACTCTTCTTGGAATAACCTACCTAGCCTTGTGTCTGAAGTACAAGAGGATCGACATTTCAACGCTTGCCGTACTTTTCCTGCCCATCAACACCTTAGGCCTCATTACAGACCCGTCACAGCTGTTATATGCATTATTGGTAGAAATGTTAATTCAAAGCCTTTTAGCCTTGAACGTCCCAGTTACTCAGTCTAGAATACGTTAATTTCATCGGTTTCGCAACCATCCATATCATATTGGTCCTCATATTTTACAACGCGCAAGGTAGCCCAAATATATCCACACCTAATCCATGATAGCATTCTCTGCCCCTGGTCACAATCCGGGCCCTACCATGGGCTGAGCTGGCACCTTGTGTTGATAGATGATTGTCCAGCCAGCATTCAACAAGCTGTTGCGTCGCGTAGAGGATACCCGGCGGGGCTGATGGATAAGCGTCCTTGCTACCCATAGGCACAAATATCGGCGACGTAGGACTTAGGGCCGTCGAGGCCGACCCGGGGATCAAAGTAGTTGTAGGTTTTGAAACGAGCGTGGCGGTCAGCAGCGGCGAAGCACCGAGCTCCGATTCGGAAATTTGCTGGAGGTGAAACCGGGCCTGCACCCACCGCTCTCTGCTCTGCATCTCCACGTAGAGCTCTCCGAGGCGTACGATAATGGCCTGTTCCTGCTCCGCGGCGGCTCGAAGCCTAGCCCTGAGAGACGCAATCTGCTTCTTTAGCCTCCGCCGCTGTCTGGGTGGTGGCTTCACCACCCGATCTCGCGGTTACCGCTGGTCAAGGATGCCGCGTCTCGTTCTGCCTCTGATAGGCGGAGGATGAGCTCGTAAGATTGGATTCCTTGCACCGAGAGGGCGCTGACAAGGTAGGATCTCTCCACGAGGAGGTCTTGGACCGAACGGGGCGCGAAGATGGATCCGGAGGGGAAGGCTCCGGCTTGAAAAGTTGGCAATGGCTGGTTGTGGGCCGCGCCTCGCGGCTTCGTCTTACAGCCATGTCGATGATGCGCAAAGGTTCCGGCGGGGGCTGGCAAAGGTGGGAGGCGAGCTACGGAAATAGATGGAGGAAGAGAAGGGTCGCAGATTCGCTCTTTTCCCATTCTGAGGAGGAAGACGGCCCTGTTTTGGAAAGAAAAGAATAGCTCACGTATCGGCGCGGGGGATTAGTGATCCCGCAGTGATCCGGAAAGACTGCGCTCTTTGAACCTTTCTCTAATCCCTCGCTCCTTTTAAACAAGAATTTCTCTTCTCCTATTCGAGGTCACAACTTGGATTTCCTGGAATGTTGACGTGCCAATAGTTTCCAAAAAGGCTCGCTATTATCCCTTTGTTGGTCCCGGGGTAGCAGCTGCAGCGCCCTTTGTTCCCCTGCGAGCATGGTGTCGTGAGACGTGAAAATGGCAAGGTAACTCGACTCTAGTGCAGCTCATGCAAGGATGATAACTTTGAGGAACAGTAACCTGGCTACCCCCTAATCCAACGGTACCTGGGCGGCTACCCTCTGATACGAAGGGCAGCGGCTTAGTCGACAATAAGTAATAGTGGGAGACTGAAGCTTGGGCTTTGCTGGTGATGCAGCTAGATGACAGAATAACGTAAACCTAGATGTTGAAGCCATCGTGCCCTGGCGGATCGCAAAAACGCCAAAGCCCAGCTTTCTCGGCGGCCTCGCGCACGTATGAGACCTCGGCCTTCGTTACCGCGCGGTTGATCTCGGCGTATCGCGCAGAACCCTGCGCAGCCCCTAAATCACCGGACTCTCCGGCGCCGGGTCCTTTCCTGGTACGCGAGGCCTTGCCAACGTGGGCGTCGGGGCGGTACTGTTCCATAATGTTGACAAACACATCCCTAGAGACCTCGGCAGCGAGGAATTGCATTATGCTCTCCGCCTCTCGTTCGTTTTCCGGCATGACGAGGTGCCGAACGAGCACTCCCTTTTCGCTAGGCCGTCCTGGGTAAAGCACAAGTCGCCGACCTGTTTGTGCATGGCCCGGATGCTCTCCCTTGCAGCAGCGGCGTAATCGTCTGCCTTGAGCAGCCTCTTGGAGGTGCTTGGCTCCCACACCTTGAAGTCCGCCAAGTAGATGTCTACTAAGCCTTCCAGGAGCTCTAGCGACTCGAGCGAGTCAAAACTGGACGTATTGTAGACAATAGGGACGCGCAGGCCCAATTGTGCTGCGTGCAGGATGCTCAAAACCACTTGGGGAACCACATGCTCGGGCGTGACGAGATTGATGTTGTGCACGTTCCCCACTTCTTGAAGTTTCATGTACCATTCGCCGAGCTCTTCGGGGGTCAGGTCCATGCCATTGCGTTGATGGGCGATGTCGTGGTTTTGGCAAAAGACGCAGCGCAAATTGCATCCAGAGAAGAACACGGCGCCACTTCCATTGTGACCTTGGATACACGGTTCTACAAAAGAAGCAAGGGCAAGGTCGAAGCAAAAAAGGTCAGATCACTTCTCCCTACACGCCTTTTTTATTAAAAAGAAAAGGGGTTTGGCTTTATTCCCCTACCTTCTCCAAAATGCGGTGCAATCACACTGACCTTCACGTTTTCGCCTATCAAGCACACGCCTGTCTTTTCATACCGATTCACACCACATTTGCGCGGACAGAGGTTGCAATTCCTCAGATGGGCATAGGCCCGCGACCTTTTCTTCGCCGCTTCTACGGAAGGAAGCATCGCATATCGGGGCATGTAGTCGTCGAGTAGGAATGGTGGCGCTAGGTGGAGGTGTCGCCGCCGCGAAACGAAACCTGCGAAGCCAGCTTGAGTAGCGGTACGCAGGCCCGTCATCAGTGGTCGCGAGAAGGCGGCCATCTCAACGGATTGACCGCGACAGGGACAAGGGTGCAAAGGAGGAGGGAAGAAGTGAAAGAATGGACCAACGGAAAATAAGGGTGTTTGCCAAAGGATAGATGATCCATATGTAGAGTTGCACTGCCCGCGACTCTTCACTTGAAAAGGTAGGACAATGAAGTTTGGAAATAGCACCTATGGTGCGAGGATTGGGTGTCATCGCCATTTAGACTGACGCACTGACTAATGACCTCTTGGGTTCTTCTGAATGGATGGACTTCTCGGGTTGTTCCGAGTGCTGCTTTCCCCGGAGCGGAGCGAGCGGGGCAAGCGTGGCCGATGACCCGGAATAGGTCAGAAGGGTACATGTAGGAACAACGAACAGCCCACAAGCCAATCCTTGCATTCCCGGTCAGGATCAATCGTGTATGTATCACGATTCTACCAGGAGTCTGCAAGTGCAAGTCCCTCGGAAGCCTCGTGTACATAGTTGGAGGATAAAATCGAGGGACGCTCGCAAGGGTCTTTTTGCTGAGACTAATATTCATAAACGCGGGAGAGTTCAAGCCTTGAATGAGTGAGGGTGCCCTTTCGGCATTTTCCGGCACTTCATAAGTGAATTTCGCTGGGATGGTGAGGCTAAGATTTTAAACAACAAGTGAGACTTGGATTTGAACGGATATTTAAAGAATGAACTGAACTAAGCATCCCCCTCAGCTATATCCAAAATATAAAGAAACAACAAATCCAAAGCTTCTTAGCAGACACATCGCAATGTCTAACCGGCATGGCATTCTCATATTTCCGTAGTTCATACTAGGGGAGCGAAGTAATTAGAGTGCATCCACGATTCCCCGCTATAAGTCACGTCGTTGTTGCGGGTATCATAGCCAACAATATAGCTCAAACATATTAGACCCCGTAGACGGGGTTTGGGGGAGCCACCCCAACACAAATTCCTCTGTTGGAGGATAACAACCAATATATGCAGAATAGGTAGGATGGCAAGGTCAGGAAAGCCTCAGGATCAAGAATCTTCATCGGATGTGAGAACTTAGTAGATGGGCTTTTCCTCCCAGATCGGGGGTCGGCCAGCAGACTCATCCCAGATCAACTTGTTCTTATCGTCTAGGGTGCATCCCTCATCCGTCATGGGAATGATGCCCTCAGTAGCAGCAATCTCATGCTTCGACAGGCCAGCTTCATCCTGAGGGATCCAGAGTAAAGGTATGGTGTCATTGACAGAGGGCGGGTTGTACGTGTTATTTTCCGTCGCCTCTTCGAGAAGCTCGCGGGGATCGTACTGGTATCGGGGCACAAGTTCGCGCATGTGCATGTATGTGGAGTATTTCCAAGGCTTGAGGAACTTGGAGAAGAAGTTGCCCTTGGGCACAGCAGATGACCCCGTCTTTGCCTTCTCACTCTCGGGCGCGGCACCAGTCGAGCCGTCTAGAACAGCTTCGTTGGCGGCAGCGGGTTCTCCCAATTCCATGAGTCTCTCCTCCTCAACCTCGAGACTGCGCGGGAGGTTGTAAAGAAGTGGATCAAGCGCGTTCTGGAAAGTGATGTGGAACAACACAGTGAAGATGAGGAAGACGATCATTAGAATCATCGGCCAGAACGCCCGAGATACAGCACACATGCCAATCATGCAAATTTCAGCAAGGTAGACACCGACGAGCAACTGCTTCATGGCACGCGGGTAAATGAGGCCCCTAGTGTCAATGCCGGTGTCGGTAACGAAGAGAATATTGTACCGGTAAGCCAGGTAAAAGAGGGCCATTCCGATGGAAGACCAGAAGAGCATGAGAGGCGCGATGACCGAGTAAGTGATGCCTATAGAGCGGCAACGACGGTTAGTGCTTGGTTGGGTAATGGAATAGCCGAGGGACGTCTTGGTTCTCCTCCCTTATCTTTGTCGCTGTGCAACGACTTCTTCTATCGGGGGGGACTTACTAATGACGGCGATATTCGTGTAAATGGGTAGGACGGAGCCCCAAGAGATGGCAGACAGAGACGTCCACTTTGTGTACATGGATCGAGGAGTCTTGGTCAAGAATTTATACGTCAGGCGGAAGATGATGAAGCCCGTAACTTGAGTGAGAACTCCAGAGGCAATGGTGATACCCTGGACGATGAAGAAGCTGATGTAAATGTTTGAGGCTCGGGGAATGGCATCGGAAAGAGTTTGGAAGATGTGGCCGGGATTCTTCGCGATCTCCGCAAGAATGCTGAAGACGGAGCCGGAGACGGTGGTGACGAGGAAGACCTGAATTACTTGGAAAGCAAAGTAGATGGCCTGGGTGAAGAGCTCGACGCGAGCCTCAGTGGGCTCGCCGGCGAATCTGGCACAGAGCCTGATAATCACAGGGACAAGCGACATTAGGATGGAGAGGAGCACGGAGGGCAAAAGTCCAGTAATGAAGCCCATGACGACTTGAGGAACCTTGTCAAGGAAGGACAGCCATTCCCATTTGGCGCGCAAGCTATCCACTTGGGAAATGGAGGCGACAAAGGCAACCGGAATGGCCCAGAAAATGATCATAGCGGTGAGGAAGGCGAGCACAACGTAACGGCGGGCAATCAATTGCCACCAGGAAACCTTGAGGTTTTTCCAGATCACTTCCTGGGGCCGTACACCAATAAACCTAGGGCTCATTTGGAGCGCGCTGTGATGGGCAAGGGACTGGACGGCGTACTGCGCATCAGACTGGGTATGGAACTCAACGAAGACGGCGGGTACCGGCTTGACATCCCCGGCAAGATATTTGGCTTGTGCGGTCTCAACTTCAGGGTGGAGCGTAGCCAGCTTCTCCCTGGCCCATTCAATGGTGTCGACCTTTTTGCCAACTAGACCGAGGAAGCCAAGCCTGTGCGTCGGACGTTTGTTCTTGGGAACCCAACGCGCAACGGCATCGGCGCTCTCCAGCTCCTGGGGCGGTGGCTGGGCCGGTTGGGACGACTTGGTGAGTTTCGAAGGACCCTCGTTTGCCTTGACGCGGTTGCCGTTGGCAAGCTTGAGAAGCTTCACCTCGGCCGTTTCGAGCTTCATTGCGACCTTGGTTCGCTCCTCGACGAGCTTATCGAGCTCTTCCGTATCGCCGGTGATCCAAATGTGCTTGGCAGAGTCCCTGAACATGAGGCGGATCCTATCGACGTTGAGGTAGGTTTTGGGAACTGAAGTAAAGAGGACGGTGCGTGAGGAGATGCGGCGGGCGTACTGCGGCGTGAGGAGGAACGCCTGACGGAGGTTGATGTAGAAGATGCATTCACGCATGATGAGATAGAGCACAAAGCCGTAGAAGATCCACGCAACCAAAACATGGCCGAATAAACGGTTGCGGTTCGCGGCATTTTCGGTGTTGATGTTGCTGATGGACAGGATATCGAGCTGCTTGGAGTTACCACCGCCGGTAGCATTAATAGGGAAGAGAGTTGGCCAAGTCATGCAGAGACCAACAAAGCAAACGGTTGTGCAGATGCGCAGGAAGCGAAGAAACAGGTAGCCATCTAGAGATTGAGTCTTGAGAGCGTGGGAATCGGGTATTTTCCAAAACGACCCTATCCAGTTGAAAATGCCATCGGGCAAAGATGGCGTCCTCTCACTAAAGATTGTGTGCGTTAGGAGATGCGCAGCAAGGGGAAAACGGTCGGTGGCGGAGAAGAGAAGGCGTAACGTACTTTTCAGGAATGGTCCCGAGATAAGTTCTCGGGGCATAATATCTCCTGGAACTCCTGCGAATAAGGAGGAAGATGACGACCATCACAAGGGCGATAGCACCACCAGTGACAAAGGTCGTTACCATGCCTATTGTCATTGATCGTTAGAATCCGATACCTGTTCACTTGCGACTTTGTGGATAGGACCTCCGCCATGGTCATATCCCATGGACTCGTCGCGATATGGGTTGGACACCACCATCGTTTTTCAAACTTACCCTGCAAGGAGGCGGGCTCGGCCGTGCCATCTGAATCACTCATCTTGGTCGGTTGCGAAGGAGCGAGCGCGAGAGTGAGCTGGTGATAATTTCAAAGCCTCAACGGCCCCGACAAGATGGCCGACGATCGAATGCTCTCAAGTTAGAGATAGGCTGCCCGTGTTGAGAAAGGCGTGGATGGAGGGACAGATAATCTGGCGGAGGTATCCTGCGCCAGATACTCGGTATTGGCTAAAGGCTCTTGGCGATCTGCTCGAGACGGATAGAATCGAGGGAAATCAAGGGAGAAAGAGCACCTCGGGCGAGAACGAGGCAGAAGGGGAGCTGGTGGGGTGTAATACATAAAACGAGGAGATATTAGATTTCGGCTATCGTCCGTCAGATACACCAGAAGGACCCGCTGGGATTATTATTATTATTCAAACGGGAAAGGGGGAGACTCAAGCTGAAGGGGAAGGAGTTCATAGGTGAGGTGGGACAAGGGGTCCCTGGGGGCTTGCTTTGATCAAATACTTGTGTGAAAATACCCCAGAGTTGAGCGACGCCTGGAACTGGGACAAAAAAGTGACACTGTATTACAAGTACCACAAGTACTAGGTTGATAACAAGGAGGAGATCAGAAGTGACATCAATCGTCGCAATTGCCCAAGTGTTGGCCAACCTGAAAAGCACCTAGCGACTCTCCACCATGTACGAGCAGGGATCTGGGGGAAAGGTAGACGCGCCCTGGCCCTGTCTATTCCCAACCGAGCTGGAGTGGCGGCAGGCACAATGAACCGTTGTCGATCCTACTTGCAGAGGTTCCGTGTTGGGCCGTTTGGGCCCCGACCGTTGCTCCGAAAGCTAAACGTCACTGCGAATGGAGTCTGCAAAGTTATGTGTCTTCATTGACAGGGACGGCTGAGCCAAGGAGCCAACCGAAGTTTATTAAACTAGGTCAATTTGATCACGGACGAAGCCCGTCGCCCCTCCTCTACAGCCCAAAAATTGGGCGCCACTCCGTGAACTGAACTGGGCTGGATTGAACTTAACAAGGTGGATCAAGTCCCTATCACAGATTCGGAACCTACCGTGACAAGTACGAGATGGAGAGGGGGCGAGGGGACGGTCACCGCGAGAAAAGGGCGGGGGAGGGAAGAGGGAAGGAGAGAAATGGAAAGCTATACGTCGGTATTGATCCATTGATTAGGATGTAGGACATGCATGCATTGTGAGAGTCTCATCTTTTATTACCCTTGATGCAGCGCTATCGCCCTCCTCGCCCGCCCTCGTCCGGGTTTCCTCGTTTCCGCTGCTCTTTCCTTGGGTTGCTTTCTTTTTCTCCTTACCTTCCCTCCCCTTTTGATAAAAAGAAATGTTTCCTTTAATCTTGTGTGACACTTACTACTTACGGATTAAATTTAATTTACTATCGCTTCTTTTCCCAAGGTCTTCGACTTGTCAACGTTGGAATGGCCACATCTTGGACACGGCTCCTTCTCACACTTTCTCAAGCTCATTTTCATCGCACTCCTCCCGCCCGCGGCAAGGGTCACTCCAACAGTCACATGCGACTGTAACATTGACGAGGTTGTCGACTTCATCCCAATAGAACCAGGAAGAATGACGTATTGAATTTTTATTTTGTTTTCCAAGCAGCCATGCACGCGCCACATTACCTTCAATGCATTCAGAACCCTATTAATATTATTGAAACCAATACCGCACCCTCCCAACCCCGTCACCACCCAGGGAAAACTCTCTTCAAGAAACCTCGAGACACCTCCCCTCGCACCCACATTAGCCGCGTTAAAACCCACTACTTTAACAAAGAAACTCTGAGGAGGCCATGTCTTAGGGCAGCTGCGTCGAATCGCGTGTTGGCCAAGGCATCACAAATTGAGTTGATGGGCTCCCTCCCATCAGCCTCAATTGGGTGACGCGACAAGCTGGAACGCATATCGAAGGGTCTCAGGCAAAATCCAGAGGCTGGCACCCGGCCAAGCAATCCTCGTCCAAGCATTCAATAATACTGCCAGAAATTCTTTTTCAAGCCCGTGACGGAGTACATTAAGTCGTCACATGACGTCTCAAAAGCCCAACCCAAAGATTGGTCGCGATGTTTCGCCTTTTTGGTTTGATCAGGCTCTCCAGGTCAAGCATGCGCGCGCCAACGAGAAAGCCACTCCTCCGTTGAAATTGCACCGATTATAGAGAAGTCCAAGTATTACTACAATGGGATATTTTCGTGGTGCGGCCCAGGCCTATCCTAGATCTCCCTACCACAATGGTCCCCGAACTGCGACACCATGCTCGCAGGCAGTGGAACAGCGAACATGTACCATCCCATCAAGAGTTGAGAGCAAGAATGAGGGGATCCATAATAATATGTTCTTCTTTAGCGTCTGCAGCTCATCTCGGGTTTTGGCACTGATCTCCACCGTAGCTAGTCCCTTTTCGGTTGGCCGGAGCTGTCCAGAAAGGATCGCCTAAGACGTGACGTAGCCACCTTCGACCAATTCCATGAGGCCTGACCGGCACTGTCAGTTGTAGCAAACTCGAGATGGGCTCAAATCCCTTGACAGATCCATTACAACGATAGCTCAAGAAGGCCCACCGATACCTTTTGATGCCGTTATCGCCCGCTAACAATCACGTATCGATGATACAAAACTAGGAAAGAAGAAGAAGAACGATAGGAAGAAAAAGAAGGGGAAAAAAAGGCACGCCTCTGGGCCACTTTTCTGACTCAAAGCTTTTCCAAGTGATAATTTGCCGCGAAGTCCTTCTCTTCAGCGATTTCCTATAGAACCTGTTCATCCCCCCTCTTGCCATTTCATCGTTACCCTACAATATAAGAACCTTTTCATCTCAGAGTTCGATGACGACAGAAGGCGGGATCCTCAATAGCAACCACAATGCGTCCGTCGGTGATAACATGAATACTCCTCACCCTCTTTCAACGCTCGCTTGCCGTGCATATATTCTCACCTAGCCCGCTCATACAACGGAAAGCTCACGTTTAGGACAACGGCGATGAAATATCTTGAAACCCTCTCGCAAATTTTCGTATGGGTGTGGACCTACTCAATTGGCAAGAGCCTCCTCCCTGGTTTCCTTGCTGAGATTGATGGGGTCAATGTGTTTAATTGTTGCCTCCGATGTTTTATTGGCCAACCCTCGATCCTAGTGGTTGTATGAATATTGGATATCCACCCCCGTTCCTCTTGACAAGGGAGGGCCAATGCACCTTTCAGCTGGTATGGTAATCACAGACTTGTTTGATTTTTTTTTTTTTCAGTCGTTCTTTTTTTCCCCTAGAATGTAACTCTGGCCACACCTACCCGGCAAACCCCTCGATGGGATGTCACGGCGGGTCCTTGATCGGACCAGCGATCAGAACCGGCCAGGGAATCCCTTCCTCTCGGCCCACACCACATAGCTCAACCTGTCCCCGCAGCCCACATTGGTTTTGAGCCTCGATCCAGAAGTTTGGCTGTGGTCTGTCGCCACCAGTAGGTGTTTGCAAGGCATCATCTTGCAGAATCGAGGCCATTCGCCATCACGCCCTCGAGGGCGGTCGAGGGCAGTGAGTGTGCCACCAAAACCGCTCGTCTGCTCTCTTGTTGTGAGAAATGAACCAGGGAACGCAGATGCACGCGATCAGACTCGCAAAAAATTTGCGCGCGCCATGTCTCGTTGCTAGGAACAACAATAATAGGGTATCAAACGCGTTCAAGACACTGGCGGAAATGAGACCCATTCCTCGCAAACGACGTCTCAGGCCGTATCATGTGGTGGACGCCACGCTCTTGTCCCCTCTCCGAGGAACCATTCAAGCCTTGCTCATCAGTCCCTGTCCAGCGTAGGCCTTGAGGTGCAGCGTCCCAGTCCGGTTAGACTGTTCACGCTGGGTCCACAGCTTCTGTGAGGACGTGGAGGGGCTGTGCACCTGCCACCATCATGGTCCCACTGCCCTGTAGCCAAGCAGCACTGGGAATGCTGAGAAGAGAAAAGTCTATCCAGACTTGACTAGATTCATCGCTTCACTTCATAATAATGACCTTGCCGTTCTCTCTTGTCTGAGCGGGGCTCGGGAAAAAGACACCACTAGCAGACCCACAAAGTGGCACCAGTTGAAATTTTGTAACCAAGACGTCGTCAGTGTGCAACCCGCCACGCAACCACCAAGGACGCGATAGCTATTCTGTGTACGCCGCCCGATATGAGTAAGAGTAATAGTAAAATAATTAGGAGAAGGGGAAAGAAAAAACTTTTTCAAAGGAAGGCTGTGAGTCTAGGATAATGCGGTATTGCCTGTCGAGCATGTGCGATCTAGAGTCAGAGTTTTTGCGGGTGGGCTGGGAACGCGCAACTCTGGGTATCATGCGGGTTCTGGCGATGAGAAAGTTGCCTCCTCCTTGTTTGCGCCTTTACACTCGCATTTGCTTTGGTGAACAGGATATGCTTGTGGCACTCTATATCCTTGAGATCTAAATAATATGGATTAACCTTTACTGAGAAATCAGAGAATGAAGCCACAGCCGGAAAGGGCCAGTCTGGCCAGGACCAGGATCGATGCTTGATTTCTTGTAGGAGGTTTCCTCAAGCTTGGGGCCTTTCTCCCTCTCCTGAGAAAGGGAAGCTAAAAAGAACCAAGAGTAACAAAAGATGTGTGAGAGGAGTAATGTCAAAACATTCAGCGGCGATAACGATCCCTTTCCGGCTCTTGGTCGAGGTGGCTTCTCCATGACGGGATAACAGAGGAACGCGGAAGCTTGGAAAGCGAAGGGGAAGTAGACAGCCCATTCGCCGACAGTAGATTCTTGAGGTGTGTGAAGTGGTGTACTGGGTCATCGTGTAAGTCTGGTCTGGAATGAGAGCTACGACGAGGAGCATTCCAGAGCCATCTCTACCAAAATAGCTTCGCTTAAGAACGAGCGAGATATTAAGATGGCCTATCTTTTCCTTGGATCCTCTCCTTGATCTTAAATTACCCAAACCTGAAGCTTTGTCCATTTGTTGCGCCTCTTGAAAGATATTCTCTAAGCCAGTTCTTGTAATCTCATCTAGTATCACTCGTTTAGGAAGCAGAGCGCGGGTTTGGCGGAGCGCAAAGACGGCGTCAAAAAGTGACCAGCTCTAACACTAGGATTGTCGACACGCAGGTATCCTAAACGCGCACGAGGAGACGACAAGATGACCTCACCCTTGGCAGCTCCATACCCTTGGACGGGGATGACAAGTTCGCTAATATGCCCGGTTACATCCCCGCTACCGACTACGCTAGGCCGTATTACTCCGGGCACCTGCAAAATAACCATCCGGACCTCATCAAGATACTATCGCACCTCAATTGCGACTACTTCTGCCATCCGGGTGGCAGGCCGCCGACCATGCTCGCCCTTAAGCGGCACGCGCAGGCCCTCGCGATCCTGATCCGGGCGCACTGCATTAGCACCAGCGGGGGCGAGATCAACGCGCAGGGCAGCGAACAAGGGGAAGGGGTTTCGTCCCGGGCGAGGCCTTTGACTGGCTCAGCAATCTCAACAAGCTGTACGAGAACACAGATGAGAATCACCAGATCCCCCTTTCTTCGCTCATGAACCACGTGAAGCGGTATTCGGACGTGGCCGGGCCCGAGTTCCATTGCCCGTTCGAGAGTTACAAGCCGCGGGACCCGAGCGAGCGTCCGTCTAAGGTGCGGCCTTACCAGACGCACCACAACCTCTTGATGCATGCAAACGACTGCCTCGAGATCCTGGATAACGAATACGGCGCCACGGGCGGCTTCATGTCCATTCTCCCGTCCGGCGAGAGCGACGAGGCCGAGGAGATGAAGGCGGCCCGCAACTCCCTTGTCGGTCAATGGCTCTTGTTTACCCAGCATCTCGTGGGCCGTATGCACGAGCTCGAAATAAACTACGCGCAATCCCTCGACCTGCTTGCCGGGGACGCCGCCGTGCCACTGCAGGTGGTCGGTAAGACGGGCCCTTCCAAGACCACGGGGAGGGACATTGGATTCCCCCAGGATCGTTGGGTGCTTGCCAACGCGGGCGACGATATCTTTGACCTCCTACACCAGAGAATGGACAAGGAAGAGGACTTGGCCCAGGAGACTGAGGCAATTTGGAAGGCCGGAGGCGTAAGCGGAGAGCGCATGTGGAAAAAAACCCAACAGAGTCAGGATGTGTCCCGCGGCATCGTCGCCATCGACGTCCAGACGCGGTACTACCGGCTCAAGAACGCGGGCAAGAGCACCATTTTCGTTGTGCCGGGGTGGGAGTTCCACCCATCTTGCTCCTACACTAGAATTATCGAACAGCGACCGACCGTCGTCGCGGTGCCTGCGCCGCAGTGGCCGCCTCGTGTCTCGGATTGGGAGGCCAAGGCCAGGGCGAAGCTGGAGGCGGCAGAAGAGTTGGCGCGAGATCACAACCAGCTTCGCGACAACATGAATGAGCAACTCCGCGCTCACAACGCCTTTGTCTCCCACTTGAAGAAGACGACGCTTCTGGCCAAATCCTACGAGGCCGCCTTCGCCAGGGACGCAAATGACCAAATCAAGCGTATGACGGAGGAGCTGCAGCAGTACCGCGATAAGCTAACCCACCTCGCCGAGGTCCTTCCACAGAGCTATCATCATCACCTCGAAATGTCACCCTAATCAGGGGCGGATAAGGGCGCGGTTCGGAAGCCCGGAAGCGGAACGGCGTGAGAGCAGGTCATAGCTAATATTACCCAAACAACAAAAGAAGAAGGGAGGGGAAAAAAAGAGAGAGGCAAGAGGGCGGAAGGGAAAGGGGAAGATAAGACTATGACGGCACCACGAGGGTGGATGGCCCAATCTTTGGTTCACTCGGCACGGCAGGATCCCTCGGAGCTGGGTTCCAGGTTTTTCTTGAGGCTGTGACCAGAGAATAACTTGTCGCAGAAAAGCGCAAGCCCGTCGATGGAATTGTCTTTCGATCCCAGGCAGGTTCCGAGCTATACGGAGGGCTTGGGGGACGTTATTGTAGGAGAGTGGATCAATGGATGGAGACAGACCCAATGGATGTTTTAAATCGGGCGACCGATGGTCTGCGCAAGTGGATATTCAGTTAATATCATTTGATATTGGGGTTCGCGGCCTTCGTCGCTAGCACTTTGGCATTGTCGTGGATTGGCGAGAGTACCGGGGTACTTCATCTTAGTACACTGTCCTATGACTGCGCAAAGTCCTAATGGCGCCCTCAGCACTCTACACTAGTCCCGACCCATGGCCCACTTTTCCCACGAGGTCTTATCCGTTGCCTAGTTAACGAGAACAAGCATAAACAACCCCAACATCTTCATGTGGATTTCCTCAACCCCGCGATGGGAGACTCGTCGAGGATTAGACATGCATAGGTGGGAAAAAAAGAAATATCATCTAGGTATCTCAGTTGATTCTCTTCAAAGCCTTCAATTCCCTGTGCTCCTCCCTTTATCTCGTTGCGATTCGCATTTGATCACGGCTCCATCGCCAGCTCTAGCTTCTTCTTGTGCGTTTTTCCGGCTCCCTGATCTTCAGCCTCCATCACAAGCTGGCACGGGCCGCAAGTAATATCACCCTGCTCGCAATACCGATCGACGCGGGCCAAGGATTCTCGGTCAGGCCCCGGCTCACTCCGCAATAAACACACAGTCGTTGGCCTGTTGTTGTCAAAACGTCTAGCATTGCCACGTACGTTGACGAACATCCTTTCCACCCCTCTCCCAACCCTGGTTCGTTCCACGCTCCCCCATTCTTTTCCCCTCTCACGCTCCCTCCTCGACCACCCCCGCATCCACCTTCCTTGTTTCTTTTTCCCTTTCGGTGCTTTGGAGTGTAGGTTTTTCATCTGCTCTCCACTTCCCTTTTACGTTGCCAGCTCAGCACTGCAGGAAGATCAGATCAAGGGAATCGGATACAGACCTTTCCCTTGTACGAGCGCGCATCTCAAAGACTCTGGCGATCCAGTCATGATCGCTCCCTAAGCGCACGATCCACCCTTGTGGACTGTCAAGCAATCGCAAGCCGCCTGTCACCCCATCGGCGCACGAGAGAATTGCCACCAGCCGACAACACCGACAACAAAGACTGCATACGACCGCCGTCCCCCACTCGACTATCACGGGCTTCCTCATCCCGGCCAAAGCCAACGCGATCCCGAAGATAGCTCCGGGTCATGATCTAGCTGCGACGTCTAGGTCTTATCTTCTAAGCTTGATTTGCTCTATCTGCCTATCCGTCCTGCGTTCCCGCGCACTCCCTATTCCTCAAGCCCGAGGGAGGTGTCGCTTCGTGATCCCCGTGATGTCGCAGGGGATTACACAAAGAGCCCTCACGGCGGGCCAGGATGTAGCCAGCCGAAGCACCTTATTCTCAATGCTCCTTATCTTCTTCACCACATGGGTGCCCGCTGTGCTCGCCGCCGCGCCCTCCAAATTTCCGTACATCCCCGCAACTATCCTTGCCCCTACCTTGACTACCAACAACGAAACCACTACAGCTAGCAAAGCCTATGTGTTTCGGCAGAAAGACGAAAATGTTGAATTTCTCTCCATAGATATTGGTGCAGTTATTGACGGAGAAAATGGGTGGGAAACGCTGGTGGACAAGCTCCCATTTATGGAAGGCAAATCCGAAACAACGATATACTCACCCGTTCTTGCCGAGAACGGCCATTTAATTGTTTATGTCGGGGACTGCGATTCATCCACTGGCTTCGAGGTCTGGACATATACGCCCTCTAACGATGCCGATGATAGTCCGAGTTGGGAGAAGCAAAGTACCTCGGCATCTGACGACGTCTCCAATCCAGCTCCCAACTTCCTAGGCGCTTCCATCAGCTTCTCATCACAGATCCAGCCCACCGTTTCAGATCCTGTCCTCTACACGTTCGGTGGCGTGTGCTCCAAAGCGAGCGACGAGGTCACAAGTTGGCAGTATCTTGGCCGGTACTCTAACCAGATGCGCAAAGTATCCCTAACATCGGATTCCCAATATCGCATTTCCATCGTGCCAAGCAAAGGTCCCGTGCGAGAGGCTGGATTCACGCTCACGGGGTTGTTACCGTCTTTGAATTATCGCGGTGAAACGGTCACTCAGCGATCCAATTATGTGCTTCTAGGAGGTCACACACAGGAGGCGTTTGTGAACATGAGCACAGCCGCCGTGTGGAACCTTCCGGAAGAGTCCTGGTCGTTTGTGAACATAAATGCCCCCAGCGCCCGGTCCGAGGAGCTTCGAGCTGATGCTGTATACGCGTCGCAGCAGTCTGGTACCGTAGCCATTGATAGCCGGTCCGGCCATACCACGATCCTGAGCGAGGATGGAAGTACTCTGGTTATGCTCGGCGGCTGGGTTGGAAATGTCAACCGCGCTGCCCAGCCCCAGTTGGCCATTCTCCGCATGGGTGCCTCCTACGATGATTGGCAGTGGGTGGTACCGGACAATCAGCCTTCAGGAAACGGAATCTACGGGCACGCCGCCGCTCTCCTTCCTGGAAACGTCATGATGATTTACGGCGGCTACGATATCACCCCTCCAGACTGGGCTAAGTCGAAGAGGCAACTGGGCTCCAATGGTCCACAGTTTCTCAATCTCACGACCATGGCCTGGGAAACGGCCTATGCGAACCCTTTCTATACTGGCGAGAAACCCCCACTTCTAGTGGGGGCAGCACTAGTAACAGCGGCAGCGGCAGTAGCTCCGGGGAGGAGGCCGGGAAAGGAGAGAATGACAAGGCGAAGAAGCTCGGGCTTGGCATTGGTCTCGGCATTGGTATCCCTCTCCTCATTGCGATAGCTGCCCTCATATTCTTTTATCGGCGACACTCCAAGCGAAGGAGGACGATGCGCGACGACGCGATCCGCGCACTCGCCCAAGACCGAGCCCTCTTTCTCCAGAATGGGGACATGTCGGGGCGAGACTACGACACCGGATACGACTCTTTCTCATGGAATCCACAGTCATGGTACACAGGTGGTCCGAACGCCTATGATAACGGCGCGAGATCCCTTGGCTACGAAACCCTGCGGGGTGCTCAGAATCGGAATTCCCTACCTATCCACCCTGCCCTCCAGGTGCCGCGCAAGCCAGTCTCCCGGTCATCGCGCGGCATTTACCAGCCCGCTGGCGGGCCCATGGCGTCGGGCATACACCCTATCTACGAGGCGGATGAAGATGCCGAACAGCACGAGAATAAGGCAGACAAACGGACGAGGGGAAATGAAAGTTCTAGCAGCGACTCGGCAAATGAACCACAAACCCCGACATCTCAACCATACTCGGACCCTTTTTCCACCCCCATAGCGCCAGCGGCCCCAGTCCTTTACCCCCAAGGGCGATCAGCAACCACGCCGAGTCCCGAACACTACCAAGTGGACCCTGAAGTTCAAGATTGGATGTCAGATCTCGATGCAGCAGAATGCCTGCTTGCCCGTATGAACCGCCGGCAAAGCGGGAGAACCTCGCCGACAAAAGCCTCGACTCGATCATCTGTTCTGGGCGATGAAGACTCCCGCACAGGAAGCAACCTTTCTGACCGCAGTGCCATAAGTGTGGCTCGATCAGCCTCAGGCCGAACCTACCTACGACCCTTGAGCTTCGGCCTAGGGTTTGGCGCTGGCATTGCCACTGATGGACGCGCCGGAAGCTCTAGCAGCAGCAACCCCTCTTACAATACGGCCAAGTCGAACTTTACGACCCTCCAGACTGAAGGCCCCAACTTGCTCTATAGCAATGGCGGGAACGAACTAGATCACCACGACCGACGACATCCCAACGACCACTACGATGAGCAGGACGAAGACTTTATCCCAGTTCCGGGAAGCCCAAGCAAAATGAAGCCCCGCCAGGGATGGCTCGGCAGTCTTCGCCGCGTCTTCTCGTCTTCTGCCGGGCCTACCCACGAACCTATGCGGGAGCCATCACCGACCCGGCCTTCTATGGAGCGTGTTTCCGCAGACTACGAAGCACGTCCCTTGGGCTTGAGCAGTATTGGCGGCTCCCTCCTGCGGCGGAAGCAGGGAAACACGCTTGGGAATCCGAGATCAGCTCCTCCGGCATCGGTGGAAGCTTGACTGTGCCAGTCGATTCGGAGCCCAGGCGCTCAACCGAGACAGAGTGGGATATTGAGAGAGCCGTCGAGCAGCGCTTAGTGCAGGTCATGTTTACGGTCCCCAAGGAAAAACTGAGGGTAGTCAATGGAGAGTCGGAAGACGATTTGGAAACTAGCATGTCTGGTCTGGGCATGGAGCGATTGGATCTCGGTCCTCCGAGAGATTCCCGGCCATCGCACAACGGCGACATCTTGGACGAAAAGAGGGCGTTTGAGGAGGTGTCAGTCGCGTCCCACCCTCTCAACGAATCGCTTTCCGACCTGGAAGACCCCTTTATCGAGCCGCGGCACGAGCTGGTCTCATCCGAATCCGACGCCGACTTCGAAGATGATGACGACGAGCATTCTATGCATCACCACCATTTCCCCGAAGCTACCGTTAGGCCGCTTTCCGTTTCGAGCTTCCAGCCCCCACCGACGCCCGAGATACCCCAGCGAAGTACCATGAGGGACACCACTTCCCTGCGAGAGTCTGAACTCCTCTACACGGCCGACATGATGAGGTTTGAGAAACCAAAGACCAAGGTTCTGGAAATGGTCGAGTCTATCGAGGGCAGGAGTAGGGAGGGTTCTCCTCGTCGCTCGAGGTGAGAAGGAGAAAGGATCTAGGAGTTTTTCGTTTTCAACACATGCATTTATTTATATTATACGGTATCTCTTTGGGTTTGGTCTTTGCTATTTTATTTCAGGCACAAGACATGTATGTATTTTCGTTTTATTCCCCTTCGTGTTTCTCTCTTGTGGAGAGGGTGAGGGGGAAAGCCCCAGTTGGATATCAAGGGTATCTCTAGACCGCTTCTGTGGTATCATTTGGCTCGGTCTTTGTTTTATATATATCTCGGGACGAAGGCGAGAGCTCGTCGGCTGCTAGTCGTCTCAGGACGGGGACCCCTCTACCTTGTAGAGGTATACCGCGGCAACTTGGTACGATTATGATTTCAAAGATCGACGGATAACGTGTAGGATGACGATAAGATCTGGTGGATTACCTAGGCGGTTTCTGGCTGGTTTTTTCTCTTTTTCTTTTCTGGGATTTATTGTTTCAATTTTCTTTTGGGAGAAGGGGCCCGCTGCCGAGGAACAAATGGCAACTCGAATTTCCTTTCCATCTGTTGGGTAGCTGGCGCAAATATCTTTCTCTTTCTCCTTGGTATCATTGGGTTTCGGACGCTATTGGCACTTTGCACGCTTCAAGAAGATGAGGGAAAAGGGAGGGCTGTCGTCGAGGACTACATAAGTGTACGGGTATTCTTCAACCAGTCTTCAAGGCGCCATTCTTGGCCCCTTCTACCTCCTTGGCCACGCGTGGCAGATTATACCTATTTCTGGATTTTTCACTCTTCCCAAACCATCTCACACGTAATATTAGAACAAGTGATAGTAAGAAAGGCTCCGAGTTGACAGGACCAGGATAGAATTCCTGTACACTACGGTAAAGTGAATGAATTGATGAATATGTTTAATTGTGTGGAAACAGTATGTTCGGTATAGACTTCGATAGTAATGAATCAAACGGATGCCATGTCTCATGAATCCGAAAAAGACTAGACGAGGGTTTGAAAAAAGGAAGTAGGGAAAGTCAAGCCGAGACCCAAACGCCAAGCTAACATGTGTAATCTGTCCATGTGTCGAGGATGATGCATGCAAAGCTCCCAACCAATATAGTTCAAGCAAAGTTATACAGGCACAACCATCTCTTCCCGCACGCCGGGAAACAAAAGCCAGGTTCCTCTCATAAAAGGGAGCCCGGCGCCTCTCACCGACCATCGACAGTCTTCTTCGCCAGGCCCGCATTCCGCTCGATGACGGAATCGACGATGGCTTTGCCGGGGAAATCAACAATGACGATACCCGTGCGACCCGAGCTGCCGGCCTGGTCAAGCCACTCTCCCGTGCGGTCATTCATCCCGAGAATGTCCTTGTCGGAGAGCGGGCCAGCCGCGGCCTCGATGGGCAGGACGCCAAAGGAAGCACTGAGATGGGAGAGGAACAAGACTGAGTTGTCGTCTGGGGTATCGCGAGCAAGGTGCAGGTTAGTCTTAATCGCCGCCCACTTATCCTCGAGGTGTTCGACAGTCGGAATGATCCACAAGTCTTCTAGCTCCATGAGATCCGAGTCCCACAACAGGCCGTAGTGTCGGTCCACGGCGGAAAGTTCTCAAGGAGGAGGATCTTGCCGCGTGCATCTCCCATGGTTGGAAGGTAGGCTGATTGGGGGCCTCGGCAGGGACCTCATAAAGGTATTTTTCAAATCCCGGAGCGGTTTCCGGGTCCTGATGGCGGAAGTTGTTAAAGACCTCCTCAAAGGTCTTGTTCTGCTGCCTGGCGGTATCGCCTATGGGCCGGCCCTCCTCCTTGAGACGCATAACAATCACCTCGGAGGGGTGGTCGTCGAGGAACGCAAACATCTCGAGGAGGACGTCGGTAAAAGTATAGCCCGTGTAGCTATAGGAATGGTAGATGCCTATAGTGTGGTTCACGAGCCTTCCCCGAATATCGAAATAGCGCATGCCGGCATGCAACTGGGTGCTGAGGTTGTAATTCTGGCACTGCAGGCGGATGTTCCTTACCATATCGTACGTCATGGTATCATGAGTACCGGGAATAGAGAGGCTGGTGATATTCACCTCGTCCGGGATGGAAGCCATCCAATCTGGATTGTACGCCTCCTGGAGATTGAAAGAGTACGGAGATTCGTACCCGCGGTAACATTTGCCTCCCCGGCTAAAGATGCAAGTCCCGATGGAGAGTAGTGTCGCAAAGAGAGACATGACTAGAAACGCGCAGAGACTGATGAGCAGTACGGCTGTGATGCCTCGCTTCCTCGGACGCGGCTGGAGCGGGGTGTACTTCATCGTGTCTCCGGGGCGGCACAGAGGCATTGATTCATTGCAAGCTTCCCAAGCCGATTCCTCCTTCTCTGATAAAAGACTTCCTTCAAAGGCCCTTCCCATGACGGGCAAGGCTAGACCAGCGCTAGCCGGATAGGTTCGTGGCAGGTGCGAGGCTGAGGGGATGGTGTTTAAGGTTTATGGGAAGTGGGCGGCTGAGTCGCCAGCAGTGGGGAGGAGTGGAGGGAGCGAACCAGAATACAAGCAATTCCAGACAAGGGAGATATGCGAATCTGGCCGGGAAGTAAGAAGACTTCTATTCTAGAACTTTGGGAAGATAGTTCTTGCAGATCGGGCTGAGGCTCGATGGGAAGAGTCGATACGCATCTGCAGCGGCTTCGGCTTCATCGTCACCAGGGGATTCTCTGGCACATGACTGGGGGCACGGATTGCTGCGGCGACTAGGCAGTCTCGCCAGGGCGACGGTGCGCTGACAATTTCTCCGTAGTTTTGCCCCCGGCTGTCATAGGCCTGTTCCTGGGGGAGTGGGGGCCAGCCTCCAGTGACTATTCTATTGCATTGATGGCAAGCCAGTGTGGGACGATACGTCATCGACTCGAACAGAGCGTTGATCAATTATTGGCAATCTGGTCCCGACCCTGATAACCCCAAATTCTGTGCCGCCGCCGCAATCCACGCATTTACCATCCCCTATTTTGTTTTTCCATCTCATAAAACGGCTCAGAGCAGCTAGGGTTGATGCGGGCACGGTTCCTTCCAATGGCTGGATGCGATCGGGCAATTTGGTTCCTGACGATCGATTAGATCTTTCCAAGGAGAACATTAGATCTGAGGTGGTTTAGAGCATCGGGTGTTATGTTTAGCCCGAAAGCCCCGCGTTCGTCTAGCACAAGTTGAGGAAAGGCTGCTATTCTGGTGGTTTTTTGTTTATTCAGAAACCCTTGCCTAAACCATGTGGGCACTTCTCTTTATAATAAGCTACTACAATTTTCTCCTCGTCGAAACCGCGACTGTCGAGCGATTCCTTTCCTGGTAGACTTGGAGTATCGGGCTATTTGCCGGAAATTATTTGAATGCGATGGAACTTATCAGTATCAGCGTTTGGACCGTTTTGGGCAATATCTTTCGGGTGACCGCTAGCTCTAATTTTACATGAACTATGTTCACTCTTCCAGCGAGCTATCACGGTCTGCTCTCGGCGAGAAACGCCCATTCAGATCAAGAATTAGTAGCAAGATCGGACAATGGGGGCTACGGATAGTGGCCACGGATAACCGTGACCCGGGCAATTCTGGAGGGCGCAGTGTAACCAACAAACTTTAAGGGATACATCAATCCATGGATGTATCGTTGATTGCATGACATCTCGATGACGGAATTTCTCTCTCTGAGAGGAGACCGCCTCAGGGCCGGGCCAGTGGGATCGCCGGCTGCCAGCATTTTCTCTTGGGAGAGGTGGAACTGGCAACACTCGCTAGAGCGGCACTTTTGGCCTCACTGTGCTCAAGAGTCGGGAAAACTTCAATTTGGATTGATCAGTCCGTTGGGCCAATCTGGCTGGGTTAAGATGGGCACTCGTCCATATTTATCCTGCACTTTTGATTGCATCCTGAGCGTGTATCTGGGGCTTTGAAATTCCTTGACGTCCTCTCAATCACCGTTTGCTGCGGGAATTTCACTAGGCAGAAGGGAATTGGCAGACTCGAGAAGAAAAAAAAAGAGAGGAAAAAGAAGGAAAAAAGGGGGAAAACAAATGACAGCCATTGCCATCCATCGGTCGTATGTCTTTGCAGGAGAGAAGCGAAAAGCACGCATAACAGACGAGGGCGCCTTCGCACATTAACACACCCTCAACCCAACACTTGAACCTTTCACACATCAGCAAACTCGTTGCGAGAGCCAGTAACCTCATCGATCTCTTGTGTAAAGCCTGGCCCTTCTGTTGAAACCCAGACTTGCTAGCATGACCTGCCGGATGGAGAAGGCATTTTGCAGCTTATGTCACCAGCTGGACCGCAAACCAGACCCTTCGCGTGACCGGCATATGCAGCAGATGAGTTTGAGGTCATGCTCGTGGCCGTGGAGCTACCCGCATCCTCCCATCGTCGAACCAACATGTCGCAACATATAAATGGCAGGCATATAATCTTTTTCTCTCCCACATCCTGCCGTCCTACATGCACACTATTCGTTCTCTGATGCGCTGGCCAGTGGCGGTTTGGTGGGACGGATGTGGAGAAGCTCGCCATGCACAGCATACAGGCTACTGCTACCTGGCACTGACTTTTAAGTAGTAGTATTGGATGTACGAATTGCTCGCCAGCCTGAGCAGGGTTTGCAGTGGAATATGAGAGGCTACACGCACGCAGGTCTGCTCGGATGAGCGGGGGCTATCGACTCACCTCTCTTTAAACCAGCTTTAATAAAACCCACTTCATTGTTCAAGCCAAAACGGGCTTCTTGGAGTTGGATGTGGAGACCGGAAACAGAAGGGTTTGCCACTCCGAGAAACCGAATCCTTTCCCTCCGTATCCTTCGGGCACGTGAATTTCCACAAGATGTCCTTGTCAAGCCCCCAAAGCAATGTGAAGTGGTGGTGGCATCGTATCAATGGGCTTTCGGTAGATGGTCGATAAGCGATGCGCCCTTGAACCTCTTGGCTTGCTGACGGCTCCCTCGTATGATTTACTTTCTCGCTAGTGCGTTCGTGTACGGAAAAGGCAGAGAGCCAAGGGCGATTCTAGACTATTTTCCCTTGCCTTTTGGGAATTTGCCGGGTTGCACCCACCTGTTGAGAAGTAAAGTCTTGCGGAAGCGGAGTGACAAGTAGGAGACGTCCACACCCCCAAATCTTCCCGTCACTTATCTCTCGAGGAGAAGTCAATTTGTGGTGACCTCGCCCGATTGTGGGTGGCGGGCTGGGCGAGGCCCAGTTCTCCACATATGTTGGCTGTCGTTTAAATTATGATAGACCAAGCCGCTTGCGCAATTACTTGTGTGTTTGACAACACATGTTATGTGGACAGAAAACATTATTTGGCTTGGAAAAGTGATCAGCACCGCGATGATCAGTTTTAACCGTTGTCGTGCGAGGACTTAATGGGGGCACCTCCCACAAAACTTGTTCTCAAAATGGGGGCCTTGTGTGATCTTCAAAGAAGACCTCCGAAAGACCTTCGACCATCTGGGGCTGAAGGTGTCAAGTTGTCGTTTCTTGGCATGGGGAGCGGGACTCAGACCAGCTTCTGGCGCACACACGCAATTGATGGGGTATGATGGTGCATTTTTACATGGGTGACTTGGACAGGCATTGGCGGCACACTGACAGGGGTCGAGGGTCGAGGGGGTCGCCCAAGGAAACAGGGACCCTGATGGGAGATCGACATGGCGGAAATGGGTGTTCCTCCCCTCCTCTCCCCCTCTACTTGTAAAAAGGGCTCGAGGCTCTGGATCTTGAAGGATGGGAACGTTCTCGGGTTGCATGCTCCTTTCAGTCCCTTGATGCTTATGTGGTTCCGCTGTTCTTTTCTCGCCTTCAATATTACCTGGGCTGCAAAGGATATCAAGCAGCTCTGAAAGATCTACTGCATAGAGCACTTGAGGATGGTTTCGTCGTTTGGGTCGGGGATTGGCACTGTCTATACCTTGTCTGGGGATTATTGTACTCAATTGATCCATTGGATTGATGGATGGTTTGGAGAGCATTTGAGGACCCCTTTTCTAGTGGTGGTTTGTGCCCCTGAGTTCCTGGGAATGGAGCGGACTGATCCTTCGAGAAAAGATAACTCCCTTTAGCTCTCAGCCCAGTTCTTGGTTTATGATTTACAATTTCCGAGCCAGTTGGATAGTATTAATGGCGCCTTAGCCTAGGGACGTCGAATTTGAGGCTCCAGTCTTACCAGTTGAACTCATATCCTGCACCTGCGAGACATCCGGAGCATGTCGTGGGTTTGGGTGAAGAGCATTGTTCGTGGAATTTCTCGCGGGCTCGTATACTGACCCGGTAAGCCTGGGCGGTTGGTCAGGTCCATGCAGCAGCCGAGTCTGACCCATGGGTCACGACCATTCGCCCGCTACAGGTACGTCTTACCAGCCTCCAGTACCGTTCTGCCTGTCGTTGGTTTCGGCGAGCTTCCTCGCCCTCTCGTACAAGTAAAGTCATACTATGGATGGATGGATCTGTCTACACTTGACATGTTGACCCGCCTACCGGATGATCTTTGCTTCAATTCGCAGGTGGTCCTTCAATTCCACCGATTAGCCGCCCTTGGGAGCTGTCGAAGGACAGGGACAAGCTGGCGTGGCATCTGCACGAACTTTCTGTAGCGCGAGGTCTATCGACCTAATTACCCTGGTTTGGTGACAGCGAAGGGGGCGGCCCCTCAATCGGCGAATGCGGCCGGGCAAACAAAGGGCTAGCCAGACCATTGTCAGCTGGAATGACCCTGGTCCACTTTTGTCGCCATGGCAAAAGTTATGCCTTCTTCTTGTACTTGCAGACAAGTTGAGCAAGATTAACACTATTTTGACGGTTTTGGTCTGTTGAGGAGATTGAAGCTTGGATGCGTTAAAAATGCTCAGCGAATCCTTTGAGCCATACCGAGGTAGCTCAGGCGACCTTGAAGTTGTCCGAACTGGGACGGCACTGCTTCGAGAACGCTGATCGGTGCGTTGGGGGAACAGCGCCCAATGCACGCCGGATGCTGCTCTCCCTCCCCACAGACTGCATGGTGAATACGAAATAGGGGAACGCTCCAGCTCTCCTAGGAACAGACACGATGGACTCTAACGTGTGATAAGGGTTCGTATTAACCCATGCCACCACCATCACGGCCGTTTGTTTTCTCACGGAAACTTCGTGTTCCTGAACCTGACCGGGCTCTCACTGCTTGGGCAATTGAGGCAAAAGAGGCAAAAGAGAAGAATGGGCGATTGCTTGCAGACGCTTTTCCCCAAAGAACATTGAAGGGGCGGGGACTCGAAGCAGGTGGCCTAAGAATGGGGCAAGTGCGGGCCACCTATTGTTTGCCCTGAGAACTAGCATGGAGCTACGGCGAGCGGGCTCTTCCTTTCTGCTTGTTCATGTACAAGTATTAAAATTTGGCACCATTCTGTTTCGAGGCGCCAACTGTATGTGGTATGGTGCAAGAGATTGGTCAAGAGAGACGGACCAGGTACCTTCAATAATAATACAAGTAGTACGTCCGCCGGGAAGGGATTCTTGCAAAACACCCTCCACCTGTTATGGGTGACAGGAAGCGGAAGAAGAGCGCGAGGTACGTACCTAGCGGTGTATCCACTGGTGCACGAGAAAGTATTACTTGGATTCATGGCGGGACGGACGGCAGCAAGGAGAGCACTTGAGGGGAATCGAGGTAGAGCGACATGCAAGAATAGTGCCTCGGAATGCGTGTGGCCTGGCCCAATTCCAGGTTCGATCTTCAGCACCAATCTACGAACTTCCTTCCAGACTTGGCTCTAATTTTATCGTGGGCCGTGCGGCCTCTCGAACAAATTTTTCCCTCCCTCTTTGTTTCTCGATTTCTCTCTCGATTGTCTCTCCTTGAGATCTGCATCTTCCTTTCTTCAAGCCTGTTCTCTTTTGCTCCAGATCTTGGAATCCTTGGTCCGCTTGAAGCCCTTCATTTTAATGTTCTCGAGCGTGTTTCTTTGAGAAAGAACGGGCCACCCACCCCCTTGGTCTTTGCATTCCCGGGTTCCCATTAACCGTGCTTCCGAGTGGGACTTGGCCATATGTTTTTTCTTCCTCCCTGTTGATCATCTTTTTAAATCCTACGTCACTAAACCAGTGCTTCCATCTCCTGAGCCAACCTCCGAACCCCGGATCAGGCATTTCTCCATTATTCGCATTGCTGCCGGGCCAATCTCTCTTAGTCCGTTTGCCAGGGGAACTTCGACTCGATTGTCGCCCTCTCCTCCTACTTGAACCTTCACTTGCACCTCAATCCCGGGTTGACGAATAGAGACATTTGAGCGAGACTGGTTTCTGTCCCCGACCAATTCAAAACATTCTTTTGGCCAACTCTCGCCAAATCATCTCCGACAATCAACACAAACTGTCCGTCTCCTTCATTGGTAGCACAGGGACCCTGTCCGCCAACAAGATTCACCATCTTATCGGTGTCTCAGGAATACTCTCGGGTTTGACTCAGCTGGTCCGCGTTTGTCGAACCTACGCTGCCGAACAAAACTTCGTGACTTGTTGCTTCGGATAGAACCCTCTCGGCTCGGCTCGGTTGTTTTCTCTCATCTTCTCGTCTTCTCGCCTAGCACACCCGCCAAGCACGGTTGGCACCTCTCGTCTCTGCGAGAATCCCAGGCGTTGAGCGGCTCGTTCACCGCATTTCGATACCAGTGTCCAGTTTCTGGCAGTTCCTGGTATCCCCTCGAGTGGGTTGTCGTCTCGGGCCCTTGATTGAAGGCAGGAGGATCTCTGGGAGCGAGCACGTCGAAAATCATCGAGCCCGGTCATGGCTAGCCAGCTCGATTCGGAAAATAAGTGATACCCGGCAAATTTTGTTTTCGAGCGATTTGCGGTCTTTGGTTTCCAATCTCGACTTGATTTACCGCCTTCTGTGGGAGGAGCTGCGTGCTCAATTCCTTTTTCCGAACTTGTGTTAGGAGCGGGCGATTGGGAGCGCACCTCAACGCCCTGGGTGCGAACGATTGGGGGTCAAGCACATCTATCATGGCGAAAATGGCGACGTTTTCCAGCGCTATCAGCAAAAATTTCCTTATTCTTCAGCTCTGGGCCCTCTGTTGCCTATGCGCGACTCCAGCTAGCTTCTGTGCGAGTTTGAATACGGCTTCTACCAACGCCAGTAAGCCTTGCTAACGTCCTGGTTTCGTATCCATGACTTACTAACGCAATATTTCTTTTTCTTAGACCTTAGCAACTTCCAGAGTCACGGCCTTTGCGGCGACTTCTGCCGCGGAGATTACGCATACGCGGTCGTCAACTATCAGTCTTGTTGGTGCTCCGATTACACACCTGGCGATTCCACTATTGTAGACGACGACAGGTGCAATACCGGCTGTCCCGGCTACTCAGAACTCTGCGGTGGTAAAGGCGTCTACGGTTATCTCGAGCTTGGCAAAAACCCGAAAGGGACAAAAGGCGGCGATGTAAGCAACCTCTTCTTCCCCTCTCTCGCTTGGTTCCCTATTACCCTGCTCTTTGAGCATCTGCAAAATGTGATCATGGTGGCGAGGAAACGCACCAGCTGCATGCCCAACTTCGCTCCTCCATCCCCCTGCTTAGTTTAGCCCCCATATCTTCTGTTCTGGGTTGAGCCATGACTGAGACGGCCCAGAATACAGATACTCGGACCTCTTCTACGAGTTCCAGGCAGTCCTTGACCGGAACGAGTACCCCCTCCTGTATGGATATCGGAGTTCCTAAAACCCCGTTTCCCTTCCTCCCCCTCCCCCTCCTCCCCTCCCCTTTCCCCTCTCTCGGGTTTATCCAAAATTAGCTTCGCCACTGCGTATATCTTGGTCTTTCCCTTGTTATTGGTTATGCGGCTGGTTCATCGATGTTAGACTAAAGATGACGGGAGCTAACTGGTGCTGCAGTCGGACGGTTCGACCGTGGTCTCTACAGTAACCGCGCCCGATGGCGTCCGGACGGTCACGGTGACACCTAGCCAGAATCCGGGAACACACGGAGCGATTCAGGACGACGGCCAAAAGAAGAAGGGCCCGAGCTCAGGGGCAATCGCGGGAATCGTTGTCGGAGTGGTCTTGGCCATCGCGGCGATAATAGCGGGAGCATGTCTCATCCTCCGACGACGGCGACAGGCGAGAAACGGCCAGGAGGGCGCGTTCGAGGCTCGAAGTTCTCACTCATCAGCCTTTGCAGGCTGGGGTTCCGATGCGAAAGAAAAGGACAACCCTGCGGCTCCTGCAGCTGCTGTTGTGGCGGGGTCGGTTGCTGGGAGCAGCAGCCGGAATAGTCGCTTGATGCCCATAGATCCTAGAATGGATCCATTCTCAGCAGGCATATATGCTCGCACCAAGAGCCGAGAAAGCATCAACACATTACACGACGACCAGGACTATTCGCGACGAGTGCATCAGCCGCGCGTGCTTCGAGCGACAAACCCGGATCCTCTCGACGAATGAGACGATGAAGGGCGATGCGATGCGTCGCGCAATACAAGGTTTTGACCATCTAGGTCATAGAATAATAAACCCGTGACATAGGGTTTATGGGCGATTGGATGTTCGATAGATATCCGCATGACTTTGAACGAATCTGCCTGGGCATAAGGGAATAGGTTTCTTTTTCTTGGGGGCATTGTTTGCATTTCTTTATTTCTTTTGCCTTTCTTTTTGTTTTTCATTGAGATACCATGTTGGCATTTGCCTTCCTCTCCTTCTACCGGCCCTTTTACTTTTTTGACCCTACTCCCCATCTTATTGTTTTTCTTCTCTCGGGCTCCTCGGTAAGGTGGTATGAACCTCACCTTGTCGAATTAGCACACTTTCTCTCTCGGTGGCCTTTCCATGGAGCGCGACGGCCAAAAAACAAAACTCTGTAAAGAGTGCTCCTCAAATTGAGCACATACAGTGTATCTTATCGGCGGAGCCACCGTCGTCTCTATGTTTCGTACAGCTTTGTGTTGTTCCCTAGAGCCCTCCTGCTGAAGAAGCTTCAAACCAAAAAAAGAAAAAAATAAACCGACACGCGGGAGGAAAATTGGAACGAAGATGAGGAAGGAGATAGCACGAACTAAACAACGATACCTTTTTCTTCTCGACATGGTGCATGCAGCTGAGATGTTTGATGAGTATGGCCATTCGAAGGTAGAACTTGAGACGGGGACCAGCCGCTTTGAGATGTTACATGCAAACCTACATGTAGCAAGTATGATATTAAGATGACACTCGTTAGGCGTTAGGAATCGCCCAAGCTAATGGGGGCAAGACGAAGCTCTAGAATCCAAGCCCCTTAGTATTTGACTTGAACTTGCCACGAAGGACTGTTGGCCTCGTGCCACTTGTGCGTGTCGTGGTCTGGGGGAAGTGGGGAGGCGGAGGCGGAGGCGGAACTGGCCTCCGAGCTCTCTATTGCGAGGGAAGCATTCGCTCCCAGCTCTGCCAGCTCTCTTGAGCAAAGGCGGTGTTGAGGGAAAAAGCTGGGAGAGCAATATTACACATCTCTAGATGTCTCCACAGCATTGTTAAGAAGGACAGGGTTGCAGGGCCAAGAAAGAGGGATCGACCATTCTTCGGTTCTTCAAGATCCACCAGACGGTACGCTAGATTAATTTTTAAATTCCTTTTTTTTTTCGTTGTAATATCAATACTTGTATGACTTCTTGGAACGTCCTCGCTCACAATCAGCGTCCGACAGAAAATGAATTGGGTGATCGACGAGATGGACGGGAGCCAAGGTTACGCTGGGAGAGGGTCGCAGGGCAGATCTGAAACGACTAAATATTGAAGGGGGTGCGGCTGTGGGGGACAGAGGGGGTGTGGATGGATGGGGCAGGGCGAGAGGGGCTGAGGCAGCCAAGCAGGCTACCCAATAGGGCCCTGGATTGAGAAGGGGGTTGCGTGGGCCCGGAGAGGCTTCAAGTTGGAGCAACCCATCAATCATTGTAATGCTTAAATGCATATAAACATGGGATGCAAGAAGCAGAGATGGGCCGAGGGTTTCACGACCTTGTGAGGCAGGCGGCGCTGGGTCTCGAGAGGCTGAGCTGACAAAGACACACAAACAACATTTACACACACTTGTAAGTCCTAGTATCAGGGAGTGGCCATCTTGTCGGAGGGGCAAAGGGCAAGCGCCTAATGCGTAGACTGAAAGTGAAGGGAAGCAGACCAAAAGGGGAACATTGAAGTTAATCGTGTTGGGGGAGGAGAATCTTTTTGTGGCCTTGAGTTCCACGCGGCAGAAGAGACGATAGCCACTCGGCGCTGACTCCGTTGTTGAAGAGGGGGTGGACGAGTTGTAGTGTACAGCGCACTTCCTGGTCAAGGACAGGATGTGCTGGCCTGGTGTGAGTTGGCGCAGCTGGCGGGAGTGGGAGCTGAGGAGCAGACGATGGATACGAGTGGATGAGAGTGGCCGAGAAGCAAACCTGCCTGAGGTAGCACAGCCTTGCTCTTCAGTGACCTCGTTGGGCGTGCGACATCCGTCGAGACAGCCAGGACTCCTCAGCGCGATTTTTGTCGGTTCCCTTTCCTCACCTACTTTCCCGAGGTTACGCACTCGAGGGGAGGGGGCCGGAACCCCGACGTGGCCCAATTATAGGATGGCTGGTCGAGTTGGGCGGGGGTTGTGTTGGGATTTGATGCTGGAGCGGATCGTCAAGGCGGCATTTGGGCGATCCTGTTTCTTTGCAAAGGATTGAGACAATTGGAGACTCCATTTTTTGAAGAACGAGGGCGAAATGAGGGGGACCTGAAGAAGGGAAGCGAATCTTGGGGGAGAGTGATCCCACTTCATACATGTCGAGTGAAACGTGCTAGATTGCTTGGCCATGTATCCATTGTATTCGGTCGACTGGTGTCTCAACCTGCCTTTCTTTTTCTTCAACCGGACATATTAATTTTGACGTGGAGATATTATCAAGGTGCAAAGCATGAGGCGACTGCATTGATACGTGTCGGCACACGAGACAGCTGAATACCGGACTGTGGGAGAACAGTACGCAATACGAAAAGAGGAAACAAGAAAAAGGAAAAAAAAGCAACGGAATGAGCTTTTGCTGGAGGTATTCTAAACCTACCACGAAGTTGCTGAACTGACAGGAACCAAATATGACTGGTGACAACGGTGCGTTCAGAAGCCGAGTGGAAAGAATCGGGCGCTTTTTCTCTTCAACGCCTCGTTCGAAAAGCATGCCGACTTGGGCAAAGCGCGCTCCTGTCGTTGGCCGGCTTGCCGGGTTATTTTTGGGAAAAGCGCTGCGCCACGGGGATTTAAGGATTGGGCCTGGTCTCGACGTGGTCGATGCCAAGCTGACCGGTTGCCTTTTCCCCACGGAAGCTGTCGAGTAAGCCAACGGCTATCGGCTCCATTCGAGGGGGAGGAGCCGTAAGAGCACTTTGGGGGAAATTGAAAAAGTGATTAATGTTGGTGGATGCAGAAGAATCATCTAAGGGAGTATGGGCACACTGGTGGGATCAAGTGGCATCAATCATTCATCTCTTACACTTGTTGTAGCGAGTGCTGCATACACCAATGGACATAATTTAAAGAAGAAAAAATCCCCATCTCTCTTGATTGTCTGAGAATAGATGACTGTCGCATCATCACGGACATCGCCTTGGGAGGGGAGGGGCCATTAAGTCTTCTCAATTTCAGGTTTTCTTTTTCAAGTCGAGGTCGAGCGGTGATCGGGAGACCGAGATTGAGGGTGTCGCAAATAATAGCAATTGCCTGCAGCGAAGTGGAGATTTCTTAGCCTCTACGACGCAGCAGCCAGCTCCTTCATCTGAGCATGTCTGTCCCACCTGCGAGTCTCGAGCCGAAGAGCAGGTATAACAGCGAGAGCCACCTGGGCATACCGGCAGTACATGCACCAGCAACGCAACACGCAAACTCGCCGTCCCCCACCGGGGATTCCTGGCCTTGGGAGCGAATGGCTTCCGCTTGTGGAGGAGGCGTCGTGCGATGCCTCCAAAAAATGGATGGCGGGGTCCCGTGTTTTGAAGGCTGCGACAGGGCTCAACGTACCTCCCACCTACTGGGAAAGTGGAAGAGGGGAGGGGAGAGACACGATGTAGGGTAGAATGCAAGAGGGGATTCTTCGACCTCGCGGAGACGACACGATACCCGAGCCGTGTCTACGTAAAGAGAAGGGGCGGAGCTCAATAGCAGAGCGGGTTAAGGGTTCAGAGACAAAGAGACAACAAAAAAGGAATGGGCCTGAAAAAGTTCAGATGAGATCCATTGTCAGCGTGGGCAAAAAAAACCCGGGCTAGGTAATGACGGTATATTAAACCCAAGCCCACCCGCAGCCGCGATCAACCATACCTCTTCCCATCTTGGTTCTGCTCTCGCTTCTCTTTTTTATCCCTTTAGTTCAACGTCCGTCCCCCTTTCCCTCCTTTGAGTTGTCATCCCGCTTGTTCGCATCCCCGCCAAGACATTCGCCTCACAGCACACAAGACTCGACCGTCGACCGACAAGGCAAAACGACGAGACACCTAGAATCGTCACGGAGAATTGATTTTCTGCGTCCGTTCGCAGCGAGCTAATAGCACTTGAGGTTTCGCGCTTAAAAGGACAGAGAAGGCTGTGGCTGTGGCAGTGGCAGTGGCAGCGAGGATTCTCTCTTGAAAACTACCGGAGCTAATATCGCTGTATCCGAGTCGGAAGATTGGGCAGGGGCCAGACAACATCACGGTCCATCATCCCCACCCAGCCAGAGCCAGGCTAAGATTTGAGGACAGGGAAGGAACAGGGGTTCTGGAACTTGGGTCTTGGGTCGCAGTAACACACTCGAGTTGCTGCTGCATGTCGCATGAGAGAAGCAGGCGCGGTCATTGCGATTTGCCCCTCCTGCTTTTGGCTCGAAAGGGCTCGTTGGATTTCCCTTGATTAATGCTGCCCATACATCGTCGCCTTCCCCTTCTCGCACCCTCTTTTTCGCTTTTCGTCCCCTGCCATCCGTTCTCTTGAGACTCTAGACGCTCGACTATAATTTATTTCCCTTCGCTCCCCGTCGTCATTCGCTCACCTCGCCTCATTGCTCCCGCCGAGTTCCTGGACGTCAGACGTCAAACGCCAAGGCGCAATAGCCTCTCGAGGATTTTACACCCGTCACTAACTCGCTTCCCGTCGTCGATCCTGTTTCGCCGACCCCCTTCGCTTGGAGCGCAACAGGCCCATTTCAAAAGGCAACCCCGACTCGACACCGAACTTGGCGACGAAGTTTGCCAAAAACTGCTGGCTTCTTCCTAATCATTCTATTTTCTTCGCCCTCGTCTCTCTTTCAATCGCTCTTTTCTTTCATTTTTTTCCTCCTTTTTTACTTGTCGATTACCGGCCTCACTCTTTTGACCCTACCGCCCGACTTTCCCCAAACCGATTACACGCGAGAGCTCGCTCCTCCGAATTAATCGACGTCCACGAACATACCGCCCCAACGAAGACCGATTCCCACTAAACGGTGTAGCCTGCTGCCTCGCATCGTGAGCGCAAGCCGCGCACAAATTACATTAAAAGCCGTGGAAGGAGGGGAAACCCAGTGCATCCTCGAAAATGTTCGATACAACATGCAACTCGACCTTGGAGATGCTCAGGAGTGAGTCTTGAGAAACCGCTTCCCCTGCACATGGCGCTGAAGGGAGGTAATTGTGGACATTGTGTTCTCGTCTAACCTGGGGCCTCCTTTGATCTAGTTGAGCCTGGCACCGAATCTCTAATTCTTGGGCCGTTGACATTTCATGACCTCGCCCTCATCGTGAGTGGTGGCTGTGCCATAATCGCCATTGCTCTCAGCTTCTACCTTGCTTTTATGCACGCGATCAACTATACCAAGCCGAATGAACAGAGACAGTACGGGCCACCCTCACTTGCCGTGAAACCCTTGTTACAATCGCTGAACAGCGCTAATCTGTTTTGTAGCATAATCCGTATCCTCTTCATGGTTCCCGTCTATTCGGTGTCATGTTTCCTCCAGGTCTATTATTACTACCATGCCGTCTATTTCCAGGTCATCTCCGATTGTTACGAGGCTTTCGCCATCGCCTCGTTCTTTGCTCTTATGTGTAGTTATGTCGGCACCGATCTACACGATCAAAAGGAATATTTCCGCAATATGTATCCCATCAAGAGCTGGGTCTGGCCCGTGAACTGGTTTGCCGCCTGCTGCGGGCGTCAGCGGGGCCCGTGGAGGACCCCCAAGAGTGGCTTGACATGGTTCAACATCAACTGGATCGGCATCTACCACTACTGTGTCGTTCGCGTAGCCATGACTGTTATAGCCGTCGTCACTCAGTACTTTGAGCGCTACTGCGAAAGTTCCAATAGTCCCGCCTTTGCGCATATCTGGGTAAGTGATGACTTGATTTGAATAGTGTTCCGAACCCCCCCAAGTTCTAACCGTTTGGGATTGGATTCCGTTTAGGTACTGGCAATCAACTGCGTTGCCGTCTTTATCGCCATGTACTGCGTTATTCAGTGCTACGTCCAGCTTAAGGTGCCCCTCGACGGTCAAAGACTGTTTTTAAAGGTCGTTGCCATTAAGCTCGTTGTCTTCTTCGCCTTTTGGCAGGTTACGGCCATTTCGGTTGCGACGAGCGAGAGATTCAAGATCTTCGAACCAAACTCCATCATCGCGTACCCGGACATCAAAGTCTCCATTCCTGCTACGTTGCTCTGCGTCGAGATGGTCATCTTTTCGATCCTGCATCTTTGGGCCTACCCTTACTCGCCGTATGTGCCCGGCTCCAAGAGGACGTACTATCCCCACCCCGACGAGCGCAAGGCCGATCTGCTCCCCGCCAGGGAGAATCCTCACTGCCCTCCCTCTGGTGGAACGCTGGGATTCTGGGCTTTCGTTGACGCGGCCAATACCTGGGATTACGTCAAGGCCTTTGGCCGTGGTATGCGCTGGCTCTTCTGCGGTGTGAAGAACCGCAAGAACGACCCGAGCTATAACAACAGGAATATGAGCACACTGGGCTTGGACAACCTCGCCGCCAAAAACGAGTTCCCGGCCGCGCGTAGCACGGAACACCTACCCATCGCCGACCAGTTTCGCCGAAGCAAGTTTGGTCTTCCACGAGTGGATGGTGAAGGTGAAAATCAGGCGACGCACGAGGATGAAAACGCCGGCCTCATCTCCCATGCGCAACCCAACCCCACCAGCAGTCGCTATAGCCGCCACTTGGCGTCTCCCATGGCGCCGCCGTCACCTTACCGAGACGGCCCATACACGCCCTCACCAGATAGGGAACGTGGCCTAGCCGCATCACCGCTACCGTCACCTTATAGCCCCGGCGGCAGGTCGCCTGTTGGCGCGTCTCGGGGGCTAGATAGGCAGCAGAGTGATGATTGGGAGCCTATGCACCCCCGGACTCAAAAGCCATCTCCCCTAGCTTTGGACGGGCATATTAGTTTTTCCTTCTCTTTTTCCCTTTACTCATAGCCTCCGATCCTTGCACTTGATTTATGCATCTCTTTTCCTTTGTTTTGAACGAGCGTGTCTCACTCAGGGGAACTTTTACATGGAGCTTGCCTCCTCGACCGGCCCGGCCCGGTCTGGTATGCCGAGGGCATCGCTTCTTGAAGAGTCGCCTCTCTCTATTTCCGTCCCCTCCCCTTTCCCTTCTCCCTGGATTACGGGCACTCGCTCCGTTGGGATGGCCTTGTGCTTCTTAGTCACTTGGCGGCTTTTGATGGCACATTATGGCGTTATGAGTTGTATGTACTTTGGAAGATACCACCAGCACCATGGTCCGTGATACCGTGGATAGCACTAAATGTTTAACAATAAAAATATTCACCCATTTGGTTGATTTGTCCCCTCTTGTGCCTCGGGAAGCCTTGTAGCACTTTGCAAGATGCCATTCTCAGCTGTGTATGCATGTGTTGTGGACTAAAGACAATATCTGTGCCTGACAATAGCTTGGTTAAAAGGTAGAGGGCATCCCCATGAAAAGGAAAGCCACACCAAGATATTGGAGGACGTAGGTATAGTGGCGTTTCGTTCACGCTTGGGGGACACGATAAGGGCTTGGAGTTTCTCTTTGAAGAATCTCGGGAGTTGGAAAAGAATGTATTTCCTCCTTCAAAAGGCTACTAATAAAACAAGAGAACCCCCGCTCCCTTCCCTCCTTCTCCGACAGGAAAGGAAAATGTAAGAAAAAAATGACGACTAGAGGACACACGGTGGAAAAGAGAAGGAATGAAAGCAAAGAAGGAAAATAAGAGCGGTGATGTAGATGCTTGAAGCATGATAAAAATAAAAAATAAAGAAACAAACCATGGTGCGTTGCGTTCCAGTCTTCCCATTTTAGTGCTAGATAAAGAAAAAAAGAAAAAGGAAAAAGGAAAAAGAAGATAAAAAACACACAGGACGCACAGAACGCACGTAAACGCTGCTAGCACGTCCTCTCCCCACCGCCGATTATCGTAGTCTATCCCAACTGTCTCTGATGGCTTCCTTCAATGGGCTTTTCACCTTGTCTTCGTCCGCCACGGGCTTCTCTCATCTCCCTCTCAAGGTCTGAATCGAGCCTCTCCTTTTCCCCTTTCTCCTGGCTTCCGAGCCTGTCTTTCGATCAATAGGGCCCGACCTAGGTGGGAGAAACGTGGCTGCTAATGCTATCGCCTCTGTCGTTTCTCTCGCTCGTTGGACATGGACCCCGCGCCTTCTTCGCTCCGCCTCTTTCGGCCACGATTATCCCTTGGCTCACGGCGGTCGTCCCGCGTTCGCGAGTTCAGATCTCGACCGCCACCGCCGAGGCTCTCCCGATGTCCGCCTCCACCTCGGCCACCGCCCGCATTGTTCCATTCTTCGGCTCTCCCAGGTGGAGGGCCGCCTTCACCGCCCTGGTGGCGTGAATCGCGAGGGCCGCTTCCACCCCGACCCTACCCCCGGTTCCACCACCACCGCCACCGCCACCCGCGTGGTCCCTACCGCCGGGACCCGAAGATGGCGGAGGGTCTCTAACGGATCCTGAAGGACCCATGGGTTCACGGCCCGTAGGCTCGCGACCTGAGCGTCGGGATGACTCGCGCTCGTCTCTTCCACCCCTAGCGGGGGCTGGGTGCCAGACGGCGCTGATCGACGATCGCGGTAATTGCGCGACTCCTTGTCCCTTTCTCGATCAGCGCTGCGGTCCCTCTCGCGATCTCGCTCACGATCTCGGTCTCGGTCTCGGTGAGCATCACGCTCTCGGTCTCGATCCCGATCCCGTTCCCGGCTGCTCCGCCTGGACCGTCCGGACCTCTCGGACCGGTCACGGTCTCGACGACCCCGGTCATCCGGTCGTCCACTGTGGCCATCTCCATTAGCAGATCCTCGATCAGCGCCTGCCTCCAGCCGAATGGCTTGTTCCCCGTCCTTGGTCGGTGTGGATACAGGCGACGCCCCGGTCAGGATCTGGGCGTCCGAGCCAGCCAAATTGGTACGCTGGCTGCTGCGCCGCGAGCGGCTAGAGTCCGACATGTTGGCTTGGGCTTGCTGAAGCATGTTGTTGATTCCGGCAAGCTGTCTCCGGCCTCCGGACCGAAGACGATCGGGGCCGGATGGGCCTATGGGTGTGTTATTGTTGGAGGTGTCTGGCGTATTGGGTCCCGTAAAGTTACCCGACGGGTGTCGCGAACCACCGCCCGAGGGCGTACCGCGGTCCTGGCCTTGGTGCATAGGAGGCCGGCTGTAGCCGCCGTGAGATGCGTTGGCGTTATTTGGCGGGGAGGCGGGGGAGCGATCTGAGAGAGCCTGTCTGGGTGGACGCCAACTTGAGTCGAAGGCGTGCCACCAAAGGACGAGGCGGGAGATGGGCCAGGAGGTCCCTGGCGACCGCGATCTGAGTGCGAGGGCGGCGCCGGCGTCGATGGCCCTGGAGGGTTCATGCCTTGGCTGTTAGCCTCGAACTGACCGCGGCGACCGCGAGAGGACGACGGACCCGTGGGGGTGTCTGTCGGGGCTTTGTCCTCTAGAAGGCGCCGTCTCGTTACCATTGTTGCCAGTAATGCTGTTATTGTTGGGAAACCTCGCGTCCGATCGGCCGCCCGGAGGGTTGTTAGGCGGAGCGCCAGATGCGGAGCGGGCTGCGCCTCGCACACGGCCTCTCGGGCCCGACGGAATATCAGCCACGGAGGGAATGGGATTGAGGCGCCCATAGTTTTGATCCTGGTACGGCCCTGGTCTTCCGCCATGGTCTGCATCTGAGGATCGCGGGGAGCACCGTGGCCGCCGGGAAGAGGGCGATTATCTGGGTGTCTGTTTGATTCGCGGTCATTTCGCTTATCGCCTCGGCTACCGGCAGACTGTGCTGGGTCGGGACGGCTGTCGCGGTTGTCACGGTTGTCGCGGTTGTCACGGCTATCACGATTGTCCCGGCTGTCGCGGGAATCGCGAGGAGGTCCGCCCCGCAGGTCACTTGAAGGAGGCTGGGGGACCGACGCAGGAGGGCCACGGCCGTGGCGGTCGTCGCGCCCTCCGTCCTGAGGAGGCGCTTGGTCTTGCGGGCGGTCCCGTCGCCTCGGCGAATGTGCTCGCGGGCCCCTGTCGCGACCGTCGTCGCGAGGGGGTGGTCGATCTGCGCGTCTGCCTTGCGCTCCTCCGACTCCGCCTCCTCCTACTGCTCCTCCTCCTCCGTCAATCAAGGCAGCGCGGGCAGGGTTAATCATGTCGGCCCGGTCCGGTTCTTGGGGACGAGGGTTTGTGTCGTTGTCCTTTCCGCCTCTCCCGTCGGGTCGGGCGCGGTCCGCGTTATTCAGGAGAGCTGCGCGTTCAGGGTTCATGCCCAAGCTTGGGGCGTCGGTCCGGTTAGAGGATGCGGGTGTGGGGGTAGCAGGCGCCGAATCCCTTGGCCTCGGGCTGTTGTGACCGCGGCCATTGAGCGAAGCAGACGGTCTATCTCTGGGTTGTTGTTGTTGGCGAGATTCCCTATCATGCGGCTCTGTCCTTCGGGCAGAATCGTTTCGACCAGCCCGCTCTGCATCGGAATGACGAGGCGTCTCTCTCGCCTCCTTGGTTTCGCGGGCTTCCCTATTATCCCGGCTATCCCTAGCGTCCCTGTTGTCTCGAGGGGTAGAGTGGTCTGAGGTCCGCCGGTCGGCGTTGGGTAGATCCCTGGGCCGCTCTAATCGAGACGGATCGGGGGTCCTGGTAGCATCGCGGGCTTCCCTTTGGTCCTTTTCTCTAGCATCGCGCGGCTCTCGAGATTCACGTGTATCCCGAGCAGGCCGAGCATCTCTTGTCTCCCTCGTGGGTGTTGTCCATGTCTCCCGAGTCTCCCGATGCTCACCTCGTACTTGCCCAAAACGATCGGAAGGGAAGTATCCTGGCAGACGAACATCTGGTCGAATAGGGAGTCCGTGTGGGGGCGCTCCGGCAGGGCTGCCGGTTTGTCATTTCGCCCACCCGTCGAACTAGCATTGGCCGAGGGAGCTGGTGATTGTCGGGCCAGTTGGGCGGATGCAGGCCGGGGAGACGGCTTATTCGAACCAGGACCTTGAGACTGAAGGCCCGGCTTCGCATCCGGTCGCGGAGGTAGTGTGTCCTTGGAAGTATTGCTGGCTCCCGGTTTGGCCTTGGAGTCTTCCCCGTCCTTGACCTCGCCATCTTCGTCCTCCGCGGCTGCATGTCCCTTGCTAGTAGACGTTCTTTTTGCGAGGTTGATTGGTTAGCACGGGTGTCGAAACTCGCAATGATTGGCGATGGGCGAGAGAAAGTCGAGGGGCAGCATGTACTTACTTTCCAGCACGGCCGGGCTTAAACTCGTTGGCCGTGGGCCGAAGATTGGAATTTTGGGCAATATCTTGACCAGAATCCCCGCTCTAAGACAAAGAAAAGATGAAAAAGTTAGATCATGCACAAGCTGGTTAAGGGATCAGAAAAAAAAGATTGAAGCTCTTACCGTGTTGGGTCGGAATCCTTGCACCATTACCCACTTGGACTTGCGCTTCTGCAACTCCGACAAGGCCGTTTGCGCTGCTACCGAAAGATCGACGCGGTTGCCCGCCTCGGCATGGTCGACGCCGGGCTTGGCGGACTCGCGCTCGGTGATGGCCTTGAGCTGGCGGATAAACTGCTGGGCCATGAAGTCGACGGCCGGGAAAAGTCGAGGACGCACTTGAGGACGGTGATGGCATTGCGGATATGCATCCACTCCATCCCGCCCAGGCACGACTTGAGCGCCGTGTTCAAGTTCCTGTGCCAGCCGTATAGGGTGTCGCGGAACTGGGCGTGCTCGACAAAGGCAGTAGGCTTACCCTCGCCGTCAAACGCGGTCGCGAACCCATGAAGGTTGCGTTCCTTCTGACCCGCCTGGGGCCCCAGGAGAGCGTCCTTTTCGTAGACCGCCTTATCCTTGTGCCAGCGAGACAGGTCGCTGAGGACGCACTTGAGGAAACGGCCAAAGTGCTCCACCTCGCGAACGGTGCAGGTGAAAATGATGGCTCGAAGCCGGTTAGCGTTGAAGAGGCGCTCGTAAAGCGACATCAGGCTGAAATTGGGGCACGCGAAATCGTGGAGGAAGCGAATGACCCGGTGGCAGTACTCGGCGTCGCCAGCGGACAGTACGAGTCGGGGAAGCAGGCACTGCTCGAGGATGGCGTCGGAGACGAGGCGAGGCTTGGCCTGGTCAGCGGCGGGGAACCAAGTCTTGAACCTGCGCGTAATGTAAAACTTGTTGCGCGCAAAGGCCTTGCGGTGGCTCGCCTTTTCCTTGCCCAGCTTCATGACGACATCGAGTAGGGCCTTGTGTTTCTCTTCCTTCTTGGTAATGCCGTTCCTCGTCATGTCGGAACGATCGCGCATAATCTCCTTGCCTTGGGTGTAGGCGCGGTCCTCCTCCTTCTGGTACCACTCCTCGGGGACGTAGAGGTCGCCCAGCTGCAGCGCCCAGAACATGGTGTAAAACTCGGGCGTGATAGCTTTCCAAAATGTAGGCTCCTTGATCCGCTCCAGAGTATCCATGACCGGCTGCAAGACTTCGAGGAAAGGGTCGTTGATACGGCCGCTACCGACACCGCCCTGGGTGGTGGGTGGGCTGCCCTGCGAGGCTTCCTCTTGTCCACCTCCATCTTGTCGTCGAGGTCTCCGGAATCAACCGAGGCTTGGGCTTGCGAAGCGGCCGCATCCGCCATGGACACGTCGCCGTCGTCGGTTGCGGCTTGGGATAGTTGCGCCTTTGCCTGCTCCTCCTTGGGCATCATGCGGAATGACAGGCTGGGTCGGCTGACAAGGAACGCGAGGCTGACATCGACGCCGAAATCGCCCAGCAGCCGGTCGATGGCGGGGACGAGAGAATCAAAGACGGAAGGCTCGAGGTTGCTGCGGAGGAGATCGAGATATTGAGTCAGGATCTGGTTGGAGTCGTCAATCATGGAAGAGAGGTACTTGATGTGGGCCTCGTCCTCGGGTGTCTTGTAAATGGCAGCCTGTCGATATTGTACAAGGTTGACGAGCAAGCGTCCGGCGAGTTTGGAGTCAATCAGCGCCTGGATGAGACGCTTCGAGCTCTTTACCGAGTCAAATCGCTTGTCCTGGACGCTGATGAGCGTCTGTCTCCGAAGAGTCTCGCCGCCCGACATGGCTAGGATTTGGGCATCGGTGAAATCAGCCGACGGCACGACGCCGCCCATAGAGGAGATGAGTTCTTTGAGGATGATCAAGTCGGTGGAGTTGCCCTTGAACAGCTGATCATCGACATACTGAATGACGGGGGTGGGGTTCATGACGGAGTAACGCCGGAAGACGCGGCCGGCGAAACGGGACAGGGCCTGCAGCCACTTGCTAGTGAGCAGCACCGAAGTCTCCTGCGTACGGCTGCGGTTCTTGCCTCCAAGGGAGTTCATCAGTGACCAGACGAGCACATCGTAGGACAAGTCGGTAAAATATTTCGCACACTCGACAAAGGCGTCAATCAGGTTGGCGTAAGATTCGATTTGATCCAGGGCCACCTTGAACACGACGCCGGGTGACGAATAGCTCGTCTTGGCGAGGGACTTGGCCATGTCGCTGAGGTTGGTGAGTGAAAGCCTCTTCATGATGTTGAGCGTCTCCAGCCTCGTACGGGAAAAGGCGGCCTTGATGGCGGGGAGGCGAGAGATTTGGCCCTCGTACCACTCGGCGTAGAGGTTGTAGCGGACGTGAGTGGGGTACGTGCTAAGCAGAGACCACACGGCGTTGACGGTGGCGGAGTTGGCCTTGGTCATGCTGAGGGCGGGGAGCAGGAGGCGCTTCAGAAGATCGAGCCATCGGGCGCGATTCTCTTTGGAGGAGTCCTCGGCCAGGCTCTTGGCACCGATGGTGGCAAGCTTCGGGAGGAGGGTCTCGTCCTTGCCAATGTTGACACCGGAAACGTTCAGTAGACTGCCGCAGAGGGTGAAGACATCGTCCACGGTGCGGCAAACGGGAATGTTGTCCGTCCACTCATCCCAATAGAACCGGTAATGCTGGTTGTCGTTGGTATCGGCCTTGTCGGGAAAGGGCCACCGTAGGGTCTTGCGGGGAACGAGTTTTCCAAGCTTGACCGTTCCCTTGGGAGCGCCAATCTGGTCGGCATTCGCCATGTCCTTGGCGGGGCACTCGACGTACGCCGAAGACCTGGTTGGTTGGCTGTCTTTGAAAACTTGGTGGAGGGAGTGGTTGAGTATTCGGTGGATGCGGTCAAGGACCTCGGGCGACGCGTCCGTCATCCACGGGAAGCGACCGAGCATAAAGAGGGCTTCGGGCAGAGCACCGATTGTCAGCAAACAGAGGACGAGAGCAACCTTTTGCTCCATAGGCTCGGGAAGCTTGGACTTTTCCTCGGCGCCGGCATTGGCGGCGGCTTGGGAGTCCGCGTCCTGTTTTGCGGCGGTCTCGCGAGCGCGAGCCAGGGGTGTCGAGGTAGGCACGGTATCGTCGGGGAGAGCGCCAGCCATCAGTAGGGCATTCATACCGCCTCCGGGTCGGCTGGCACGCTCCTTTTCCTCTAGCTCCTTCAACTTTTTATCCCTCACAGCGTCCATGTCCTGGTCAAGGGGCCAAAGGTGGGGGTAAAGGTCGGTGAGGAGATGAAGCCGACCTTGATGAGAAGGGCGGCGAGATATAACAAGTTGGCCGGCAAAACATCCTCTTCGTCGCGGGCCTCGGATGCGTAGAAGCGAAGCTTGAAACCGAGGAGTTGTGCGGCGGTCTTGTTGCCTTGGGGGTAGTGTCTTGGTCTTGGACATCCAGATGAGCTCCATATCGCTACTCACTTCGTCGTCGTCGAGGCCCTCTAGCGTCTCGCGCTCGGCTTCGGTGATTTGGCGGCCGCCCAGTTCGAAGAAGGCACCGAGGTGGAGGTCGCGCGCCCTCTCCCAAAGAGGGAGTCCCGCTGCTGCTTCAACTCCTCGATGGCAACCTCATCTTGCTCGCTGGTCTGCCACTGAGACGAGTCGGGAAGCGCCCAAGCGGGTAGACCCCTTCGAAAACGGCAGGGGAGATGCGCTGGGTCCTGGGCCACCAGGAACTGACTCTGAGAAATTTGATAAAGAAGCGAAACTGCTTGATTAGAACGGCGGCGAAGACGTCGAGGGTGACATCGAGGACACGGCCGACGTCGAGGTCAAAGGTGCCAATCAACGCCTTGACCTTCTCAAAGGTGGCCTGGACGAGGTCGGCGGTGGGGGCCAGAACCACTCGTCGTGAACAGCTCGGTAATGAGTTTAGAGTATCCTTCCGTCTCCTCGCGCAAGAGATTGTAGTTGGCCTGTCGGTATAGAAGGTTGGTGGCGTGGCGGATGCCGAGCTTAGCGAAGCTATCGCGGATCAGGCCCAGCTGGTTGAGAAGGGACACCTCGAGCATTTCCCGCATGGTCTGGTGGGAAATGCCGGTAGCGTCTAAAAAGAATCGAAGTTGGGGATGCTCGTCGGTCAAATCGCCTTCGAGGACCGTGGCCAGGGTATCGAGGAATAAGGCATGCGGTTCCAAGGCAAAGGTGTTCTTGGTTAGTTCGCTCGACTCGGGCCCGATAATTTCCTTGATGCATGTCCCTGCATCGATGGAAGGTAAACGGCCGTCGAGGACAGATCGGATGAATTCCTGAAAGATGCACGACAGCTCCGTTATATCCACATCGTTGCGTGATTGGATGCCGTGGTCGACGACCTCTTGCCGCCCAGTCGCAGCCCAGCGGGCGATTCTTTCATCAGTGACATTCTCGTAGGAGTAGTTGGAGGATGGGCGTGATGGGGGTGGGACGGGCGAAGGCGAAGGGGCCTCTGCTGTCTCGCGATCGGCGCGGGCGGCGGGGAGGTGCTTGGGACGAGGAGCTCGGCGGGCGTGTTTGCGCAGGGAGGCCGTAGCCACATTCACGGCGGCGGAAGGGGTTGGTTCCGTCCTTGGGATCCTTGGTGCGAGTCTCTTCGATCATTACGCCTCGGTGGTCTACCGCCTCGGCCGCCCTGTTTTGAGTATCCATCGTCGCCGCCATTCGTTCGATCGTGCTGGTTAAAGTGAGAGTCTCCAGGTCGATGGGGTGCGGGTCGGCCCCCATCCGTCGAGGCGCGCTCCGGCCTCTTACGCTTGGGAGGCATTTCTCTGGTTCGATCCTAAAACTTGGGTTCGATTCTAAAGCATGAGGGGCGACAGATGAATGAGATGGCGCGTCTTGAATGACGATTTCTGGGCTGTAGGGTGATGGAAAAATCGGCCGCGCGTTTAAGGGAAGGACGGGGTATCGCGAATGATTCGGAGGTCGCTGTTGGCCAAGAGGTAACTCGTCAGTTTCTAGCAATCAGGGAGGCAAAATCGAGTTCCGCATGCAAAAGAGGGATGATGAGACTAGACGGACGAGCGTTCCAAGTATCGAGACGAGGAGGGGGTTCGATGGTGGTGCTCGAACTCGAATGGCAGGGGCGTTGTGCAAGTAAACAGGATGTGAAAAAGAAAGGCTTTACCAAGTAGATTTGAAATTAAAAAAACAGAGGAGGAAAAGAAGAAGAAAAAAAAAAAAAGAAAAAGGAGCGTGAAGGTTAAGGTGCAACGGATTCAAGGACAAAGAGAAACGAATATTGGTGAGGACAGCGCTGGGGGTTCGGGTGTGGGAAAAAAGAACTGGAAAGCGCAAGCGTGCCTCGCGTTCCCAAGTTGGAGACAATTGAAGATGTTGGCCTGGTCCAACCGGAAGGAGCAGTTGGGCACAGGCGAATTTTCCGTCGCCAAAAACGTCCCTCTCAGCCTCGTCCACGGACCAATAAGATGGCTTTAAATCACACAAGTAGAAGTACCTTGTAGTCCCATTTGACGTTAGTATTTCACACCAGTATTCTTCAGTTGAAAAGTAACTGATACTCAAGCTATGATTTTGGCTATCGCTGTTGATGAAACCATCAATCTCGCAGCACTGATTGACAGCGGTATCTTGGTGACGACATCAGATCAATTGATATCGATTTCATTTTTTTAAAAGAAGAAACCCCAGAAACCCCCTTAATATATTCCAGGGCTCAGGGAACTCGGGCACTGAAGTGTTCACCGCGCTTGATTCAAGCTAAGATAACAATCCGAGGATCAAATTGACAGGCTACATACTAGATAGCTGCCTCTACCGAGATATCAATGCACTTGACTGGCCATGACTATACCAAAAAGTGCAACCACGATGGGCCACCGAATGCAATCGTCCGGGAAAGAGATTCCCCACACATAGTCTTAAACAAGGCGTAGTAATAGAGTAGAGTATGGAGAGGATGATCAACAAGGGTCGGATTGAAACAAACCTGCTTCCGCCAGGAACGGCCCCGGGCTCAAAGCTCCATGAGTCACCAAATCGTCTTGACAAGAGTTGAAGTCTGACTCAAACTCCATGATCGACTTTGTACCCTTGAAGCATGGATCCATCTACAGTCTCAAAGGGGTGCCCTTCCGTCCATAAAAAGGACGTTTGTCCGCCTGAGATGCTATCCTCCCCTTTCTCTTTTCTTTTTCTCTTCGCCATCCGAGCAACCGAGGCAAGTTTACTACCCCGTCGCCCGGAATCAATCTCCTTAAGAATACCCCTCTATAGCCTTCCCACCTCCCACCTCCCACTACCCACCTCCTTCTCCTCCCCCACAGCTGCGCACCCGCGTACAACATCTACACAAACACCCACCTGCACACACACACACACACACACACACACACACATGCTAGATTATTATTCTTGCTGGGATCATTAGACTACTTAACTTGTGCCACGCTGTCCGCGTTTTCGTGGAGTAATAGTGAACAGACAGAGTGTGTGAGATTCGACCTGGATATCTGCAACTCCGTACTAGCTGCAGACCACTGTGAAGCCAGCGCGGCTCCAGGCCATTCATAGCAGATTACGCCATTTCAGGGTCTTCTGTCGACTTGCAAGGCGATTGGAGTTCACGCGTCCGCCCTTGGAGTGCCTCCACGCGACCAACAGGTGTTCATCGGGTGTTGGTGGGCTCGTGGCGTTCAAATCCCCATGCCAGTGATCGACGGCGCCTTTCGACGCTGTCATCATTCCCGCCTGCTAGGCCTCGCGGCACAGGCCATAATATCAATTGATCCAGAATCCTTGAAGAGGACAGGACGACTAATCAAGCCGTTGGATCAATTCCATCAAGGCTTGAGACCCCTGCGCGAAAGCGGTACACGGACATTGAAGAGAAAAAGACCCGGGACCCCCACAATCCACCACACCACTTCCGAAAGCATCCATCCCATCATTCTTGCTTGACAGCAGTTGATGGGGGTTCAAGAAGGAGAGCAAACTAAACCAAACCCTTGTATGGTCGGTACTTGACCTCGGACCCCATTCTAATCATCAAGAGAAAGTAAAAGAAAAAGAGAAGGAAAAAAGCCCCCATCTTATTACAAACCTATTCCACATCAGAACAAGCCAGCGTCGGAGTAATTTGGTCTTTGCCACAGACTCGACTCCACATCCCCAACTTGATCAACACGGTCTTACAGTACTTGAGTACACACACCGATCTATTCTACTGATGCCGGGTCGATTCCACTTCAATTTGATTACCGATCATTCAGCACCACTGCACCACTGAACTGGGCAACTAGGCAAGCAGCCTCAAGCTGTCACTGGTCACTTGCGTGCACTCGTCGGTCTCCCATTTGAAGCCCAGCACCAGCTTGTTCTACTAGCACCTGTTCCTATTCCAGCACTTGTACTTGTAGTAATCAAGCCCGAAACTCGAACCCCACAATCGTCTCGGAAGCCTCGAGCCGCTTTTTTGATTTCTCAACTTTCTGTTCCCGTCAAACCTCGTCAGGATCCATCTTCATCGATCCCCCTTCCGCTGCGCCGTACATGCTGCGACCGTTCGATCGAACCAATTGACGCGTCCGCCATTGTACCCCAATTGGCCCTGTCCAAACCATCATCGGATCAATCTTGCTCGATCCTGAGCCACCGCGGAGAGGCACCAACACCCCGAGCATTGTTCCTCAACTTCTATATAAACCCCGACGCATCGTCCGCGCATTATATAGCCTACACCTGCCTTCCTCTCGTCCGCTCCCTTGACCACATTGTGCCTCTTGCACTTGACATTCTACTTCCAAACCCCATATTAGCCATCTCCTCCTCATTAGCGGCCCTCAACGTTGCTGCGACCTTTCTTCTTCCCACTTTTTCCAGATTGCTCATTTCTCTCCGGGCTAGACCTTGCTTGAAACCTTCCAACCATCATTTCCTCCTCTCCCCACGCTTCCACTCATCGAGTCCATCCTATCATCGCGCTCCAAACCAGGGCCCTGGTCAAGGAACGCCTTTTTGACTCGACTTCCATTGGCAGACAGTCTACGCATCCGAAGCGTCGTCGCCAACACAAACAACACAAGACTCAATCACCATGCCTGAAGGAACGACTCCTCCGGAATCTAGCCATGTTGGCAAATATGGTCAGTACCCTCCTTTCTTGTTCTCCAACTCCCTGGCATTTGATTTTGCTTTTCCTGATCCCTTCGTTTGCCTGCATTGGTGTGTTGTTTTCACATGTGGCTGTCCCCAATACACCGCATCTTTTCATCCCTGCATTCTTTTTTTTTTTTTGCCCCTCCCCTCTTTCCGATTCCGGCGCTATCCTTTGCAATGACGCAAGTGGAGCGCAAGGATAAGGGAGACACCCAAAAAAATCCCAGGTCAGCAGAAATAAATCCAAAGGCCGAAATGCAAACAGAGGATATTCGAGAGAAAAAAGATGATTTCGACCCGAGAATGGCGAATCATGGGAGTCGAGTTCGAGTGGCTCAGTTCCCAATCTCGCAAGACAAAAAACTTAACCTCCCCAAGTTTTGGAAGAAAAGCGGCCCCCTTTTCCACATCATTGTTTAGTCCTCCTTGATCCGTGCAGGTTATTCTTTATTTTTTGTTTTCCGCTCTGCTTTTCCCTCGTTTTTCCTAAACGGAATGGTGGCTGAATACTTCCAAGAAAGAATTGCGTCCGAACCCGAGAATCCATTCGCGTCGCTCATCCCTGAGCAAGAGATCGCCGTGATCCCCTCCTTCACCCTCGAATCCGGTGTTACTCTCCACAATGTGCCGGTCGCATATACGACGAGGGGCCAGCTATCGCCCAACCGTGATAACGCCATGGTCATCTGCCACGCCCTAACCGGCAGCTCCGATGTCGCCGACTGGTGGGGTCCCTTGCTGGGAGGTCCAGGTAGGGCGTTTGATGTGTCGCGGTTCTTCATCGTGTGCCTTAACGCTCTGGGAAGCCCCTATGGCACTGCCAGTCCCGTTACCAGCAAGGATAACGACCCCAAGAAGGGACACTACGGTCCCGAATTCCCTTAACCACCATTAGGGATGATGTCAAGTGAGTTCGAGCCATGGAAGCAAACACCCCTCTTTGTGCAACTACGGCTGCTGCGAGGAGCAAGCACTAGCCTTGCGAAATGGTTGTTATTGGAAGCTAATCTTGCCGTCTCTCTCTCTCTCCTTTTCCCGTCTTAGCCTACACAAGCTCATTCTCGACGATTTGGGCGTTCGTCAAGTTGCCGCGGTTATCGGTGGGTCGCTTGGCGGCATGTTTGTCCTTGAATGGGCCTACCTTGGCAAGGAGTATATCCGGTCTGTCGTGCCCATAGCGACCTCGAGCCGCCACAGCGCATGGTGTATAAGCTGGGGTGAGGCGCAGCGGCAGAGCATCTACGCGGACCCCAAGTACGATGACGGCTACTACCCCTTTGACGACCCGCCCTCGACCGGCCTGGGCGCAGCCCGCATGGCCGCCCTCCTCACCTACCGTAGCCGAAACTCGTTCGAATCTCGCTTCGGGCGCAATATTCCCGATCCCTCCAAGAGGCAGACGATCCGCGAGCTCCCTCAACCCTCGACCCCGTCCGAGACACATTTCCATATCCATAATGACGGTCACAAGATACGGCGTAACCCTCTCTCGCGCCAAGGCAGCAACGGCGACAACAAATCCGGCTCAAGCAGCCCTGTCAATGGTGCCAATGGTGCTAATGGCGCGAATGGTGCCAGCGCCCCCAGCGCCCCCAGCGGCCAGGGTGGCAGTGGCAGCAACGGTGCCGGGCAAGCAGGAGCAGCAGCAAGAACAACAACAACAGCAGCTGCCACTTCAGAATTCGCAGTTGCAGAGGACCCGCAGTTCCACGGGCCCAAGAAGGAATCGCTTACCGGGGGAGAGCATGCCTTCGTCGACATACTTTTCGGCACAGTCGTACCTGCGGTATCAGGGACAAAAGTTTGTGAAGCGTTTCGATTCCAACTGCTACATCGCCATGACCCGGAAGCTCGATACCCACGACGTGTCTCGCGGCCGCGCCGACACCGTGGCGGAGGCACTCGCCATGATTGAACAGCCGACGCTAGTTCTGGGAATCGAGAGCGACGGTCTCTTCACGTTTGCGGAGCAGGAGGAGCTCGCCGAGCACATCAAAAACGCCCGGCTCGAGAGGATTGTGAGCCCAGAGGGCCACGACGCCTTCCTTTGCAGTTTGAGCAGGTGAACAACTACATTCTCGAATTCCTCAAGGAGGCCCTACCGGATATCATGGAAAGGGAAGGCGAGGCTGTGGTGGATGCTAGTGTGGGCGAGTTGACCAAGTCCAGCACGTTTGGTGAGGCTGAAGTCGGAGACTTGACGGCTTGGTGATGGTGTTAGGCGTCTCGCCAAGTTGTTAAATCCTACTCTTTGTTTCCCGTCTTATGTCGACTTGGTTCTTTTTGATTTCGATATCCGCGGTTAGTTCGTGTCTTGTCATGCCCGGTCCGGTAGGATATATATCTAGACATATGCATATATCTTCTTATCAAAGGGATTATGTCTCATCTCGAGAGAAATGAACTCGGGGCATTTTTTTCTCGTTTTCTTTGTCACTGTCCGATTTTCACAACATCTTTCTTTTTCTAGTTTTCAACCTCGACTCGATACAATAGGTTCTAAATAGATTCTTACATGACAGAGAAAAAGGGAAGCGGACAAGAAGAAAACACTAAACACTGCACACTTGCCTGTTTTTTTCTCTCTCCCTGTTCTTCGTGATGTAGTGTCAAGCGTGACACCGTCGCCCCTCGGCAGCCCAATGATGTGATCGGAAGCAAATACATATACGCAGCCTGACACTCCCCTTTTTCCGGCGTGCATGATAGGTGACGTCTCCTCTGCCCTCCTGGTCCCCCTCTTTGGACTGCACGCCTCGTTTCTTGCAGCTACACCCGCCCGATCCCCAGACTCCCGAGCCTAGTAATGCCCGCGGTTCCTTGTGATGGAGCGTCGGAGATGGGGGGGCAAATACGTGGAAAAAGGAGAAAAGAAAAGAAAACCCAAAGGCGAGAAAAGGGTTGTCTTTCAACCCCATCTTCTCTAAAATAGGTCTTCCACCCACACCGGAAGAAAGGCCGCTTCCTCCTTCTCCAACGAGACCACCCTGCATTCCCCAGCTTTTCTCCTTCCCCCGCGGCGGGCGTGGGTAGGACATCCCCACGTGGGGTCGCAAAAGGGGGAAGAGTGCCGTGCGTGGGGGAGGGAGAGCAAAAGAGAGCAAAAGAGCCGCATTATACCCCTTTCCCTCGGCTCCTTGCCGCACACATTTTCCCAGGTCATTCCACCTAGCTTATATCGGTGGGCACACCACAGACTCGTGTAATTCCCAATGTGCCTCGGAAGCGTGCTTCTTTCTTTCCTTGAGATTTGGTCAGCGCTCCCTCTGTTTGGCTCGTACCCGGGTTCCCGGTGTCCCCTACTTCCCACGTCCCCGGGGCGCGGCGGGACGAGGTCACAGGTCCCCCGACGCACCTTTGCCCTTCTCGCGTCCGTCAACGTGGAAACACGTCCTTTTCCGATTTACTCACACCACACACGCATGGAACGTGTCGTACGAACCCCGGCTTTCCGGCGCAAGTGGAATACACCCAACCAGCCGGCCGGGCACAACCGGGAGCTCGGCGTCGAAAAGGCTCTTTGGGGCATTCCTACCTTGATATTTTTCTAATAGAGGGGGCATGTGTGTCTCATGGGCATATTAATCCCCTCTTCTCAGCCACCACGCGCAAGTATCACCGTCGGGTCGGCAACGAAAAAGAAGAAGAATTACTCGAAACCCTCACTAGTGTATTTGGATAGCGTATATACTCTTACAAGTCTCACCCTCCAATCCCTTTCTCTGAAAAAGGGTCAAGAGGAAAGACAAAACAACAAGGTTCCCGCAGCCCGAGCAGTAAGACCAAGAGTGAGAAAAAAGAAGGGCTCGAAAAGGGTGTTGAAACAATCAAAAAGGAAAAAAAAATTGAGAGAGCGAAGCTATGCTTTGTGGACCCCGTAGCAATCATGCGTACATGCAACCCGTGAGTATCGGGGTAGGATGAGGATGGAAATGAAATGTAGAAAAAAAAAAAAAGAAAAGAGTGGATAGTGGATGTAAGTGAGAGTGAGATAGATGTAGGGAAAAGAAAAGAAAAAGGGGGGCCAAGGCATGGTTCGGCGCCGTGGCTTGGTTTCTCTCTTCTCTTCCTTGATGCTGAGGTTGCCCTCGTCGACGTTGCCTCGACTTTTTGGCTTTTGTTTCTGCAAGACGTTCTTGTTCTCTCGACGTCTTTAATCTTCCGCCACCATCTTCTTGCTCACCATATCCTTCAGCACCTTGAGCTTCTCCTCCGTCACCCGAATCGCCTCCTCCACCTCCCGCGCATCCATCTTCTCCTCCCTCATCTTCTCCTGCACCGTCCGCGGCTCCACCACCCTCTTGCGCGGCACCGGTACTCCTTCGGCCCCCGCTCTTCCGAGTCGGTCAAGCCCCACCCTCTCCTCGAGCCACTCCCACAGCTCGCTCTCCTCGCGCCTCCACATCTCCTCGTACGCCGCGAGCCGGTCTGGATACCCGTACGGCCCCAGGTGCCTGTCATCGTAGCCGCCCCGGCCGCGGGACGGGTACCCGTTGAAGCCGAAGCCAAACCACGCCGCCACGAGGAGGCCGACGAGCAGGCCGTACACCACGTTGCCCGTGAGGATGGGCCGGAGAATGTCTAGAATCGGCTCCAACACGCTTCGGAGGGGCTCTAGGGCGCCCCAGCTGCGCTTGGTCGATGGCTTCGGTGCCTGCGTGTCCACGGCGCTTGTCGCCTGCTGCGCCTTGGTTTTGCGGCCCTTCTTGGTCTTCTTGCCCCCGACTCCCGCGGCGCCAGATCGAGCCTCGAGTGAAGCCCTGAGGGCGGCAAAGAGATCTCGACAGTAGTTTGTCTGCCCGTCCTTTGCACCGTTCTCGATTGGGCCTACATTGGAAAGGTGGTGTTAGTTTGTCACGGAAAAGAGAAGAATCCAGACAAAAAAAAAAAAAAGTTCCCTCTTACCTTTAATCCAACTCTTGCCGCTCCACTCAATGGTGCAATTCACCTGCACTCGGGTCTGGTTCTTCTCCGCCCACGTGAGGCAGTACTTGGTCTTGACCGTAAATACGTTGCCGCTAGGCACGTCCGGGTTCTTGGTCGACACGCTGAGGCTCGCCGCCTTGTCCCAGTCGAGCGCGTCAATGCTCTCCGAGATGATGCAGCGCGTCTGCCTGGGCCCGATGCTGCCCGAAAGCGGCCGCACGTACGAGTACGACCGCTCCGTATGGTCGATGCTGAGCCCTCGCTTGTCCTCCATGTCCAGCTCCGTGCATTTTTGGTTGTCCGTCAGGAACCGCGAGACCCAGCCCGCCGACTGGCTGCCGAACAGCATGCTAAACACTTGGCCCAGGGGCGCGGGCACCACCTCATCGCCCACTACCTTGTCGTAGTGGCTTGCCGCATCGCCACATTCCGTGGGTGCGTGCGTGAGCGGGCCCGGAAACTCGGCCGACGCTGCGCCGTTGCTGGTCACCATCTCCTTGCTGCTGGGCGCTTCCGTGGGGGCCCCGTTCACGGCTACGGCCCCCGACGTTTTCCTAGCGACCGCCTTCTCGGCGTCGCCCGCGTCGCCCGCACTGACGTCGGTGGCCTGCGTGGCGTCGGGCGCGTGGGCGCTCTCGTCGTCTTCGTCGTAGATATCATCGTCGCTCTCGTCCTCGGAGCCGGAGATGCTGTGTTCGTCGTCATCGGCGAGCGCCGTCACCGCTGACTCGTTGTCGATTCGCTCCGTCTTGTCGCCGCCGGGTCCTTCTAGGCGGATGCCGTTGAGCGTGCTCTGGAGCTTGGGGTGGCCGAGCTGCCAAATCTTGATGATGAGGTCGTACGTGGCGTCGCGGTTGGTGAAGCTCGCAAAAACGTGCTTGTTGTGCAGGGTGGACACCATCAGGCCATTCTTGAACAGGAGCGCGGTGCTCCTCTTCTCCACCGACACGATTTCGTCGAAGCTGAGCACGAGCGTCGTCACCCAGCCCAAAATGTTGCTGCTGAAGCAAAGGTGGCCCTCGGATACGTAGAGGCGCCCGTGGGCGAGAATCTCCCTCTGAAGGGCGCAGCTATAGTCCTCAATGAGGTAGTCGTCGTCGGGGACGCTCTTGAAGAAGCTGTGGAAGTCGCGATTGCGCTTCTTGCTGGCGATGGCGAAGCCCGTGAGCTTGGGCACGCTCTGGTTGCCCCGGGGTGCGCAAAGGAAGCGTTGGCGGCGACAATCGCCGCCCCTATCGTCGTGCCCGTGCGTTCCGTGTTGGTTGTGTAGCCCGTCGCCGCGGAGCTCCCGCGTTTCCGCCGGCGGCCGATGGCGCTCCTGACGCTGCCGCTTCGGTTTACGCCAGACGTGACCGACTTGTCGTCGGCCAAGCTCGCGGCGGGCGGCGTCGACTTTCGCCATCTCCCAGCGGCGCCGGCTGATCGTACAACGATTGGGATCTGGTAGGTGGCAGGTGGTGAGGGTCCTCGATGGACGAGGTTTCATGGTGGAACTGGGTAACGACGCGCTCGGCTCCACGGGCGTGGATTCCGAGCGGGCTCTGTGGCTGTCGACGGCCATGACTCCTTGCGTTCCGGGGTAACCGCGGTCGGGGTAGGGGCGTCGAGGGCGGGGTCAGATAAGCCAAGCTGGCTGAGGCTCAAATCACCTGTGCCCAGTGTCTTGATGGCGGGTTCCTTTTTCTCCTGCGTCTGGTCCTCTGGCATCTCCCGCGCCAAAGCCTTGACCTCGACGCCGCTGTCTGCCTGGGCAGAGTTCAGCTGCTGCTGATCCTTGGTCTGACCAGGTGTAGTAGCGCCCTTGGCACCTTTGCCGCTGCCGCTGGTGCCGCTGCCGCTACCGCTGCCACCGCCGGGACCGAGAGTGGTATTCTGTATGCTGCTGCTCAGCGTGGTTGCGGCGGATTGAGCAGCCGAGATGACGGAGGAGAAGAAACCCGAGGAAGGGGTGCTCGGGCCAGGCCCCACGGCAGCGTGCTCAGGGGTGGGACTGAGGGGTGCAACGGTTGCGTTGGAAAGCTTGCTGGGACCAGCGCTTCCGGATCGAAGTCGACGATGCGTATTCATGCCATTCGGAGACGAAGTATTACTGCCTGTCGAGCGGGGTGGTGGGCTGCCAGTGTCAGAGTGGCCGTGTTTACCACCGAGGAATCGGTTCGAGAAATGGGAGGGTTCTGTCGGGGTCGGAGGGGTATTTACAATGCTGGGGGCGAAGGAGCCGGCGCTGGGGGCGTCTCGGGGCGGGTGTTGAGGTCTAGCTTGGGCTGCACGCGCTGTGGCCTGCTAAGCGGTTGGGTAGTGCCGGTCAGGAGGACGCCAGGTCGTCGGAGGGGGTGGAAGGTCGTGCTCTGTCCGCGAGTCTTCCTCTGGGGTAGCGGTAGCTAGGTTCCGCTCTGGACTCAGGCCTCTGGCTAGGTTGGAAGAGCTTTTCTTGGGACGAAAGATGTTCTTTATCCTACCGCCGGGGGACGTGGATCTTCGAGTGACGGATTCGGGGGAGGAGGGAGGCTTGAGTGCGAGACTTGCGAGGTTCGGAGTCCACCGAGCCTGAGCGCTCGCTAGATGGAACGGAGGGTTTCGAGGTAAGCTCGACGGAGGAAGCATCCGACAGCTGTTGGTCGGCTCGCGCGATCGAGGTCCGTCGAGAGGAGCGAGAGAAATTGGAAGATTCGGCGTTGGAGGTGGATCTACGCCGCCTGTACTCGGAGCTACGAGGTTAACGCCTTTGCATGTGGGAAAAAAGGGAGGCGAGGAAATGAGCAAGGGAGAACAAGAGGAAGATGCAAGAGGCGGGAACAAGGACAAGAAGGGTCCAAACAAAAACAATTAATTTTGAACAGGACTTGAGGATCGGAGAATGAATGGAAAAGCGTCAAGCTCAAGAGCGTCGACGGCAAGGTCGGGAAGGGTAGGGTTGGGGTACTTTGTTTGGAGTGTAGTAGGATGAGGCGGAGGTGAAAGCCCCTTGTCGCATTGGCAACCTTGCAATGACACTGACCAGGTGCAGTGTATGCTGACGGGGGATTTTTCTTACAATCAAAGTCTAGTGCGATGTTTATGGAGACGAGAGGGCCCACTAGCCAATGCCAGCATGACGACGTTGATGATGATGATGATTTTATGCTCGGGGAATAATGCCGAAGACACTGGTGGCATGTGGGTAGACACAATGGGGCGGGGAGGGAGAGGGATAGCTAGACCCAGAGGAGGCAAGAAGCAAGTGGGATAGCTTTGCTTGGCGCAGCGTTGGCGACAGCTTAGCTCGTTCGTAACGCGATACAAGCCGACCACGAATAGTACCCGCTAGGGTGGACGATCCGGTTTGTAATGAGAGGAGGAGGGGGTTAAAGCGGGAAAAGAAAAAGAAAAAGAAAAGAAAAAAGAAAGAAAAGAGATACACGAACAAAAAAGGATATCCAAAAATGGACAAGTCAAGTGGAACAAGCTTGAGCTTGAAAGAGAGACAAGTGCGTGGGGCAGAAAGCGTGGCCAACGTGACGGACTCGAGACAAAAACTCCCCCAAGATAGCCTCGTCCCCAAGGGCCAAGAAAATACACGGCTTCCGGGAGGACACAGGGTACGGGGCGCGGGACACGGGATGGGAGTGCAATTAAGAAATAGAGGAGAATGGGGATGGAGAAGAGCAGGAAAGAGCACCGAGTAGGTAGGGAGTAGAGAGTAGGGAGTAGGGAGTAGGGGGATAAAAAGGCAAAAGGCAAAAGGAAATGCTATTAATCACTCACGAGCTACTTTGGTCAGTTGTCGCGCCTGAATTAGATGGCACAGCGATGGAGCCGTCCTGTTCGGCCATCGTGGGTTTGCGGAGAGCCTCAGCAGGAAGCGATTTACTGTCGAGGATTAATATCGGAGTGTCGTCACATTTAATTGGGAACGGGAATTGGTGCTTTGGGGGTAGAAATCTGGAAATCTAGGCGTTGGAGCGGGTGGCGGGAAGGGAGGGGGAAGAGGAAGAAACATTGAACATTTGGAGGGCGTATCAGGAGTTTGAAGCAGGATTCTCGGATCTGACGTCGTCGCCACGGTTTGGACGAGGAGAGTGTCATCCGTGGATCAATGCGCCTCGCAATGTTTTTTTTCCTCCTTCTTTGTTTCCATCAACCTCCTGTAGCGTATTCACTGTCGCAGCTGCAAACGGTGGTTGACGCTCACTGGCAGAGGACTCTGTCCCAAGCTCAGGACCTGACAGCACGCACCAGGGCGTTCAATGTTCCGTCCAATTGTCAGACGAGTGCTGGTACATTACGTTTCAACAACACCCTGAGTGTCTGTGCAGTGTTCAACTATGAATCAATCCCCCGTTCGGGGTTTAGCGCCTCACTCAGTTGATCGCTGTGGGCGGCACTGATGGGAAGCAAATATCCCACTTGGTCCATGGCCGCCATTGACGGAATGGGATCAATCAAATTGAATGGAATCAATCAATCCTAGGGACCCAATCCGGTCACTGAGCCACCAATTCCAGCATTGCGCATTGCCACAGTCAGACAGACAGAGGATGGACCTACCCTGTTCGCCAGAGGTGATACTACTTCATCATCAATGACTACCAATTATCATCAACGGACAGTTGATTCAGCCCCTTGCCTCCCAGCCTATCAGTGCTAGCCAGCATCTGCAAGTCAGCTTCGAGGAAGCGATTGAACCGCACTGGTCAATTGAGCCAGTTCTGCATTATCAAGACTCAGCCCCTCCGAAACCATCAAGCTTAGTGAGATGGCTGGGATGGATGGAACCCTTGACGAGAAGAGGCCTGGGTTGAGGGATTTGAACTCCTGATGCAGGTGAGCTGGGCCATCCTGTGACCCTGCGCAAGGTGGATCAACGTGAAGGGATCGGATCCATCAACACTGTCGGGTTCAGGATGTTCCAAACCCTCCAAAGGTTGCACCGCAGACTTGAAAATCATACTCCTTGGACAGGCTCCGCTCCGGACTGGTTTGTGTGCCTGGTCGTCAGTAGTCGTCAGGCATGAGCGACAATGGGTCCATCGATTTCACCCGTCCGCATCACCAAACCCATCAAAATCCACCACGCCAAACCTTCGTCCACATGGCGTTTCTATTCGCCTAAAAATGACTTTGATCCGCCCTTTACCAAGTGATCAATTCCATTCCACCGTCCAGAACTATCTCCTAGGGTCTCTTCCCAAAGTGCTGCCTAGTCAACATCCCCACTCCAAAGTGCGAGTAAGGCCGACAATGGTAGGGAGGACACAACGCTTGATGACGGGCCTGCAGTAGCTGCTCGGATAACCCTCGCATTCCCACGAATGTCGTCGAGAGTTTTAGCACAATGGATCCAGGCTGCAGAATAACGGTACATACCCAGCCAAGTGTCCACTAGCCTGTTCCTTGTCCCTCTTTGTCTTTTGTGCAGCGTCGTAATAGCTCTTCTCTCTATTTCTCGCATTCTCATATACGCGTACTCGTATTTCTACGCTGGTCCGTCCGTGCTTTCTTTGGTTCCCGCTCACAAAAGGCCGTCGCTATTATCTGAGTACTTTTTTGGGGGTTCTTTTTCTCGTTTCTGCCCCGACTGAGAACGTTCCGTCGGCTCAGTTCAGCCGCGCCTTGCCTCGGCGGGAAGGATTATCCTTGGACCAAATCGCGCACATGCACGAGAGATGCGGGGAAGATTCCATCTGTGTTTTTTCCTTTTGTTTTCTCTCTTTTTTCATTTCTTTTTGCATTCTTTCTAGTTCGAGACGGCGCAGGACCCGTCGCCTTAGACATGTAAACGGAGGAACCATACAATTTGTGCCAGGTCCAGATTAGGAAACTTATCTTTAGAAAACTGGCGACGGCGCGGGAGGTGGTCTTGGGAGTGCATCCCGTCTGTTACACAAGCGCAACGAGCTACGAACTACATTGATGAGGTGAGGAAAGCGGACGAAACCCCCGACCGAGGTGAGACTCGGTGTCTTGGAATTGAGCTCCCAGCCAGAATAAGGGTACCGGGAACAGCGAGGTGGCCCTCGACGACAAGACTGGTACTACGGAGGATACCCAGGTACCTTTGTTTGTTGATGCCCTTTGAACTCTCATCATGACGGTGTAGTGTACATGGCCTCGTCTGTGACATGTCTTGCCAGCTCCCGAGGTATCGAAGCCCTCAGAATGCACTACCCATTCACTCGAGCCTGTTGCCAATAGCGCCAGAAGCATCCATGAATGTTGGTACCCTTGCCCAAGAACCAGAAAAAGAAAAAGAAGAAAAAAGAAAGCACAAAGAGCATCCTGGATCTCGCATTCATTGGTCATCTGTTTCCCCTAGTCGCGGCTGGTCCGGGATTGACTTGTCGAGGAGGAGCGAAGCTGCTTATTTGTTCATGATGGACACAGGCAAGTAAGTAGGTGCCTTTGAGGAAACCCGCACCCAAAATTGCATCCCAAGTACCATTTCAAAGGGCTGCAGATCGTCAACCTAATAATGTCCACATGATAACAACGTTTTGGCGGGTGGCACATTGGAATAGATCAACTTATGTACCGACTTGATCGCTGACGCACTTGTTCACCCTGTGTAAATGCTTCTTCACATCTGACAGTTTCTCAAACCCGCAACACTCGTCGAGTCACTAATTTTCCGATTGCTTCAGTCGAATCATCAACGACCCCTCGACCTGCCCTCGCCCCACATCTCATACCGCCAGAACCAAAAACTGGAAAGGCTAGCTAAGGAGAGGACGAGAAGGCCACCAAAGGAGGAGGATGCCATGGAGTCGGTCCATCTCATCTCTCACTCATAAAAAGCAAAGAGCAACGGACAGAGCAAGCTAGAATAGACAACTGATAACAGCTGTGTAACCAGCTCCCTCAGCCGGCAACAGGGTTACATCAAAAAGCGGGCGTGGGCGTACATCGCTTGTCGATGACCTTGGCTAGCGTCGATCCCACCCCCACTCTCAACTTCAACCTCTCCTTGTACCATTGCGACTTGGCACCGAATCTCTCCCTCTCTTTTGGAAGCGATCCTTTTACGTGCTCTGTTCTTGCCCACCGTAAAGAACATATCACGATACTAATTCAAAGCCATGGAGTCCTCTCCATTAACCAAGGTAAGTTTGTATTTGCCATCTTCCCGCCGCTTGCCGACCTCCCGAGACACATTCGCCTTGACTCACATCGCCCCCTCTTCCCTCCCACAGGCCCACGACTACGCCCTCGCAGCCTCCAAGGCGACAAAAGCCGCCGACACCACCGTTGCCGTAGCCCAACATACCCTCGCCGCGGGCGAGTTCTCCAACGCCGCTCAAAACACCAACTGCGTCGAAGCCCTGCGCACCCTCAAGCTCCTCGAGGAGCACCATCGCCGCCTATCCGAGCTCCTCCGCTTCCCCGCCGACGAGAATTCCTCCCAGCCCTCCGACGCGGGCGCCGATGCCGATGCCGATACCAGCGCTGACGCGGCTTCCGACGAGAAGCAGGCCGAAAATGCTTCACAAGACCCGGCAGCGACCGAGCCCTTACGGACCGGACGCTCCGCGACAAAGGCCCCGCCCCAGGTGCCTTCGCTGCTAGGCCAGCGCCGCCAGTCCTCGCGGGACCTGACGTCGTCCATCGCGAGCAATCTCGCTTCCGCTCGCGGCATACGCTTCAAATACGGCGGACAGCCCTTGAGCCCCAGCGTATCCAACGATCCCGCTTCCGGCAACCTCGAGACGCCGCCGCGCCGCCGCGATGGCTCAAGGTCCAAGATGCAAAATATGCTAGAGCAGCCCCCGAAGCCCGTGTGGTCGCCGCACGAGACACTACAGAAGAAATCGGAGTCGCTATCACGGGAGTCGAGCGAATCTGGCAAGGGCCAGTCCGAACAACAACAGCAGCCCGACGACGGATACTCGCGCTTCTATAACTCTTTTGGCTCGCTATTCAACAAACTATCTGCCCCGCTAGCCTTCGCCGGGCTGCCACTCATCGCCGAAGAGCCCTCCGCGAGCCAACCAGCACCTCCACCATCCGAAGCTGCGCCCCCAAACGGGTACGGCAGCATCACTCCACCTCTGCTTACCCACCCTCCACCGAACCCGATCTAAGCAAGATCTACTCAAGGCTGCGCTGCGCTTCGTGTCGCGCGACGGCTACGGCGCCAACGACTCGTTCTACGTGGTGCCCACGACCGGCCACACCATGTCGTACGCCAACATCCTCACCTTTGCCGAGAAGGAGAAGCGCCGAATGGAGGCGTCGCTGCACGGCAGCTCCGCCGACACCGTGGGCGACGAGGATGACGACTTTGTCGACGCGCGCGAGACGCCCATGCCCCTCTCGCCCGTGGCCAAGCGACGCATCGGCAAGGGCCGCACCGAGCGGGACCTCAACAACGCCATCGAGGAGCTCTGCACCGAAAACAAGGGCCTCAAGGACATGCTCGACAAGCTGAGCAAGCGCCTGCACGCCTTCGAGGCCAGCGCCCAAAACTCGAGCCTCGCCCTGGCCGAGAGCATGCGCCTCATGCGACCCGGATCCCCGCTGGCCTCCGCCGCCACCGCCCGTAGGTCCTCCACCGAGGAGGCGCTCAAGAGGCAAAACGCCGAGCTCGAGGAGAAGCTCGCGGCGGCCGTCAAGCACGTCGAGATGCTCGAGAAGGATAACCAAAAGATGCAAAAGACGCTAGCAAAGTACCGCGAAAAGTGGGAGCAGCTCAAGGAGAGCGCCAAGGCGAGGAGGGGCGGCCAGGGTCCCGGTGCGGCGGGAGGGTCAGGCACAGCTTCTCCTGCGGCAATGTGAGCGTTTTTTTGGAGGGTAAAAGACAAGGAGGCAAGGGAGGACTAGTAGAATAAGGACCTATACTTCTCGTCAAATATAAATTATACGATTTTTCCATCCTCTTCTACTTCTTCTTTCCCTGGGCAAACTAAAACCCTTCACTCACACAACCGAGTAAGGAGACGAAGCATAGGCTGAATCAAACCAGGCATTATGGATACGTAGACCCCTGTAGAAAAAAAAAAGATGACGGGGAAGATAAGAGACAAAGTTTCGTTTTAAATCTTGTTCAATTCCACCAGAAGCTCACGCTAAAACTCACAGTCAAGCTCCGAACGTAGTGCCACCATCCAATGGGGATATAAAGCGTATCCCCGGCTCGAGCACGCAGTCCCAATACTCTTGAGCCCGTAACCTAGCGACCTCTTCAGCGCGCAACCCCCAACCCCTCCTCCTCCTTCTTCTTCTTCTTCTTCTACACCTTCCTCTCGTTCATCACCGCGATCGCTCTCCTCCTCGCTATCCCAGCCCTCCACAACACCGAGATCCACCCCACTCGTATTCCCCATATCCACCCCACCCTCCACCCCGCGGGGCATCATGGCCTCCGCCGCCGCGGGCGGATACAAGCGGACGTACTTGCGCCCCACGACCTGGCAGAGCAAGTTATGCACGCTATCCGTGTGCAGCGGGGTGATTGTCCCGCCGGGGCCGAACCACGCGTGCAGCTGCGGCGCCGCCACCTTGGGCTTGTTCTGCGCCGGGTCCGGTGCGGCGGCGGCTCCGTCCACAGGTAATCGGGGAGGAGCACGTCGTTGCGCAGCGCGGGGATCTGCGCAAAGAGGTCGTGCTGCGCTAGGTACCCCTTGGTTCCTTCTGCTGCTGCTGCTTCTCCCGCCACCAGGCTCGGGCTGTTGTTTTGTGTCGCGCCGGCGGCGGCTCTTCGACCGTCCTCCTCCCCGCGTCCGGATGCGGAGCGAGGCTCGGATCAATATACGTCGCCAGGAACTCGGCAAAGGGGATCAGCTTCTGCGTCCACCCTTCGTCCACGTAGCTCCGCCCAATCTCCACGGGCACGTAGCGCCGGCCGCCAAACGTCTGGGAGAGCAGGTACCCCGGCCGCGACCACGGTCGGTCCGCCAGCGCGGGCCACGCCCCCATCAGGTCCGTGAACACGACGGGCACGACGGGCTCCGGGTTCGTCGCTGGGTCAATGTACTTTTGGAACGCGTCCATCGACACCCCGTCGATGCGCTCCGCCGGCCGCGTCACGGGGGTGCGAAGCCACCCACCACTTTGTCGGAAAAGGCGGGTTCGTCCCGCCAGCGAGCCGCTCCTCCCCTCACCGGGATACTCGTCATCCTCGTCGTCGTCGTCGTTGCCGTTGTCGCTTGGTAAGCAGATTGTACCACGCCTCTGCCTCTTCGCCCTCCTCCCATCCAAGCCATCACACCTGTGACCACCACCACCGGCCCCTCCATCGCCGTTCCACGTCTTCTCCAGCAAGCCCAGAAGCCTATTCACCAACTCCCTACCCCCGCCCGGCCCGCCCCCAGCCACGATAATCGCCAAATCCAGCACCTTCACCAGGTCCGCCACCTCCCTATCCGCCTCCTGGTCCGCCCGGAAGCCGTCGTCGGCCGCTGCCCCGCGCTTCCGCAACGTCCGCATCGCCGGCCCCCGTAGCACCCCGAGATGGAAGGAGAGCACCCTGACGTCCACGTAGAGCTGTCGCCAGCAGTCGGGGAGCACCTCGAAGCGAAACGCCAGGAACCTCGCTTCCGCGAGGGCCAAAAGGTCGTCTAGCCGCTTCCGCACCAGCCGCAGCTTCTCCTTGCAAAAGGCCGTAGACATAACATCCGCATCCCTTCCCCTTCCTTCGCACCCCACAGGGTTGTCCAGACCATGTAGATCAAGGATGATGGCCGCCTGTCGACCAAGCAAGTTCGTCACCGCCTCACCGCAGCCAGCTACGGTGCTCGCATCACCTTGTCCCCGACATCGCCGCTCTGCTCTAGGCTACTCTCCGAAAGAGGCACCGCGCTGCAGGACGTATGGATGCGGCCGGTGGCGTGTCGGAGCACCGTCAAGAGCTCCTCTATAGGTGTATCCATCCCTTGTCCTCTTGAAAAGAAAGGTTCTTCAAATGCACAGGGCTGGTCGATGGGGAGTAATAAAAATGAAGGTTAGGCGCTTGGAAATTCAAGTAAAAAGAGCATCACGGCAGGTTTCGAGCGCAGCGGGGCGGTGAGAGGGAAAAGGCCAACTTGAAGTACTATATCGATACTGGAGAATATCCCAGACGAGTCGAGGCACTATTGCGCATTGGTGGGGTTTGATCTGTTCAATATTTTTAGAGAGCTAGCTTCTGCTGGGGGATTATGAAATGTTGAGTGCCGATGATTTTACAACAATGGATCGAGCCTCAGATCCCCCACTTCCACGCCAACACATCCATGGATAACCTCGTTCGCAGCCTGGCATCGTTACCACGCCTGTCTTATTCCCCGACGTGATTCCAACCCCTGATCCCAGGGGAAGATCAATTGCGACGGGGTATGTGTAAGCGAAGAGAAGAATGACAAGAGGCAAGATGGACAAGAATGTTCAATTAGAGAAAATCCCGAGGTATTCATTCAATATATTAACCAAATCCATCCAGATATATATAAAAATCCATATCCGGTCCAAAGCCACTTCGCCATGATAAACCCGATCCCGAAAGGAAAGAAAAAAGAAACGCAAGGCGCAAATCTAAATGTTTGCAACCGACACCCAATTTCTGGCAGCATGAGCCAGAGCAGCGCCTTTCCATCAACACCTGCCCAATAACCACGGTACTGATATATCCAATATAGTTCCACGTGTATGTTTAGTGTTTTTGAAGGTTTCCGTCCGATTGTAGCCTAGCCTATATCCCATTATATTCCGTAAAATTCCCATAAGATCATCAAAAGTCGTAAAGAGGCAAAGGGTCGTTAAAAGGTAAAGGGGAGAGAGGAACCCAGTATGGGGGCTAAAAAAAAAGGAAAGAGGAGAGAAACGGTAAAAGAGCAAGGAAAAAGGAGAAAAGAGAATATACGACAAGAAAAGTCGTTCAGGTGCGCAAGTGTAAAGGAGAAAACTGAAAAGGAGAAAAACGTGACAGAGACTCTGAGAAAAGGCGTGTTGGGTGATTGTCAAAACTCGTTCCGTTGGAACGGGCCGTTTGAGAGTCCAGAGAAATATAGCAACGGCGCGGAAGTGGTAGTGGAGGCGATGCATCAGGGCGTTGGCCGTCCTCTCTTCCTCGGTGCCCTCTCTTCCTCCTCGTCGCATTCGTCGTCCATGTCCTCCGTAATCGTGAGACCGCTCAGTCGTTCCCTCAGTTTCGGAATCGCAATGGCCTGGCTCAGGCTCCTGGGCAAGGGCCCTTCCCGCCCGAGCACGACGTTCGTTTGGGGACCGGCGGCCCTCAAAAGCCTCACAATCTCGGGCCCGTCCCAAAAGTTCTCCTTCTGGGGCCAGTCCTCCAGCACGGCCAGCGCCCGCTGCCGCGTCGTCTCTTTGCGGCACTTGTACACGACAAAGTGCAAGGGGCACACGATGCCAATGTCTGCCATGAACCTCTTGCCCCCGCGAGGCCTCGCGGGATCCGCCCAGATGATTTCTCTGATAGACTCGGCGATTTGCACGACTTCGAGGTAGTTGACCTCCGAGGAGGGATCGACGTAGTCCACAGGCGAGGATATAGGAGTCAAGGGCGAGTCTCGTCCGAGGGAGGAGCAGAGTTCCTTGCAGCACGTAAAGTGCAGCATATCCAGGAGCATCGACGTGTACCCAGCCTCTCCCAGACGCGGGGACGAGGGCCCATCGCGAAACTGGCGGAGCCGGTCCTGGAGCCTTGATGCACGAAGTCGGAGCACATCCCGCTGTCCGACGACATACTCCTGGAGGCCCCGTTGCGTGTCGAACTGGATGTCGGGCGTTGGCGACGTACCGCCGCCGCCACCAGCGTTAGACCTTCCATTCTGCCATATCCAGCTGAGAGCAAAAATATCGCGGCAAAATTGCGCGACGGCGCGGTGAACCTCTTGCATATCCGTAAACTCGGGGATTGAATCGATTCCGACAGGTTCCGAGACTTGTATAGCTCGAGGGCAATGACGGGCTTGAAATTATCCGTGTAGAGGCACGCGGAGCTCTCGAGAGTCGCAAAGCAGCGCAGGATGCACGCCAGCTCCTCTCCCGTTTCGGCAAATAGTCCGCCGGCGGCGGCAGCCCCTGGGGGTCGGCGAGGGACCTGAGGACGTCGAGCGGTATCGTGCTGATAATCGTGAGGCCAGACTGGAGGTGGGTTTTGGCTTCGGGCCAATTACCACGCAGGTTCGCAATGTAGACGAAGGCGAGGCAGCAGACTAGGGCGAGCGTCAGTCCCCCGGCATGTCCAGCGCACCCCGTAATTCGGCCATGGCCCGTCCGTAGTGCTCCATCAAGACCACCTCAGACTGCGGAGAGGCCGGCCCTATGGGAGCAGCCCCACCGGATTCGCCGCCACCAATTTGCGCTGTGTCGGTTTGCCGGTAAGTGCGCAACGCGGCGCCAAGCGCGACAATTGCATGACGCACCGCTTGGCTGCGAGTCCACATTTTCGGCACAGCCCACCTCCAAAATTCATCTTGGTTGGCAATGTGGTACGAGAGGCCCTCCTCCGCCGCTCGGATGAATTCGTCGAGATATTCTCTCTCCACGCTCTCGAGCTCGATTTCGGGTACCAGCGTCAGCGGCCGGAGGGGAGTTGAACTTGTATACCCGGCATACCCGACATACCCGACACAGCGATCGGACCGTTGCCAGGACTCGGCTGGAAGACGGAAATAGGTGCGGCGGCGACGCGACGGACGGCGACGAAACCGACGCAGCTGAGGTATTCGAGGCAACAGCGGCGGCCACGACGACCCCGCTCGATGATGCGCTGCTATTCGCAATGGGCGTCGTCGCAGACGAAGACGGCGACAGGCCCACGACGGATGAATTCGCCACCGCAGGCGCGAGTTGTAGACCTCGTGACCTCGCTTGGGCGATGGAGGGATTCAAGTTTGGCGACGACTGCTGTTGAGGCTGCATCTTCCGCGCACCCGTCGTGTCGTTGTCATAGCCGTCGCATGTGCGCCCGGTCGACGTGCAGCGGACGCAGGCAGGCTTTTCTTCGTCGCATTTGACCCGTCTTATTCTGTGTAGATTGGGAGGCCTGTTAGCTGACAATTCCACCGGTTCGCGTCCGAAACGACGGGTTAATCCCATGATCTCCTACGCCTCCCCCATGCTCCCCTGCTTCCCAGCCAGCATCTCTGTAACTAGGCAACCAAAGTCGGTAGGCTGCGGAGAAATGAGGCTGAGGCAAGGAAAGCAGAAGAGCGACATAGAAACGGTGCGAGAAACGCGAGGCAACGTTCCATGGCGGAAATCAAATTATGAGGTGAGAGGCAGGGAAAAAAATGAGAAGGAGAGAAGGAAATCGAAGCCGAATACGTACTTACTATGCACAAGGCGATCGAGCCGACATTAGCATTGTGTACACTTTCCAAGCAGGGCTTTCTAAAAGCAAAGAAAGAAGGAAAAAAAAATCAAGAAAAATCAAGAGGAAAAAGAAAGAAAAGAAAACCCCCAGGAGGAGAAGCCATGATGTGAGGCATTGCCGCTCCGGGATAGGTACAGTGGGCCGGTTTGACGACACAGCAGAGCCAAATGGTTAAGGACGTGGTTCGAAACTCGCTTCTTGTAGAAGTCGAGAGGCGCGCCATGCCATGACCAAGAGAAACACGCACGCTGTCGAGGGCAACAGATACAAGGGGACGCGTTGAAAAGATGGAAAGCGCGGAAAAGCCACTCACCATGTGATACAGCCTGTCCTCACCTTGGGCTTGCTCGCCCTCGTCCTCTTCTTGGGCTGCTGGGCTTGGAGGCCAGAGCTGCCTGCGGAGGCGGTTGCGGTGGCATTTCTCTGCGAGGTGGCCTCCGCGGTGCCGCTTCCCGGTATGTCCGGGAAGAGTGCTTGATGAGAAGGCGGTATCATACCTTGATCAAAGGGCACCTGGTGCTGGAGAACGAGGAGGAGCTGCTCAGGGGTCGTCTGGTGGTGAGGATAGTTGGGAGAAGGTCGTTGGGAAAGTGGGTTTCGAAGCTCCTGCTGCTGCCAGGCCTGGATGTCCTTGGCAAGCCAGTCCCAGGTGTAGGCCGACTCGTCGTGCCCGAGTCTCACGTAAGAAGGATCCTGGAGAGATCGAGCCAGGTTGCCTCTGGCCTTTAAGCGGCCCCGCTGTCCTCTTGTGGATGTTAAGACGACGGACTCGAGCATATCACCCGGTTCTCATGGGGGTTCGAGCAAACGACGACTCCAAGCACGGGAGTGGGCGAGGTAGCGAACGGTGACGGTGGAGAGCAGGCCGAAGGAAAATAAAAGGAGGATTAAAAAAGAGAGGCGGGGAGGAGGGGAGAGGAAGAAAAAAATAATAGTAGAAAAAGGTTGCTTCCTAGGTGTCAGGATGGGACCAGGGGAAGTGTGTGGAATGGGGCCGGAAATAAAAACCAGAAGATTTCGCCTCGCGTCCACGAGGATTGGGGGAGGCGGGCCTGGAGAATGGGACGTGTCTGGAGCGGTATACGTGACCGTGAAGGAGGCGACCACAGGCGAAGACAACGGGTTGCCGAACAGCTGATGTTGAGATGGGGGCTTGGGCGTGAGTGAGTGCTTGCGGTGCTTGGAAGGGAAATGGAACTCGAAGGAACCTTGGCCTCAAGGATTCGGGATTGTTGGCCTTGTTGTACTGTGGCCTGGATCCAGGTGCCAGGTTTGGGTCTCTTCTGGGGCTTTCGGACGAGGGGGTGTGCGTGCGTGTTGTTGCAAGACGGGCCTTGGACGACAGGGACAGGGGCGCGGGTTTCGTTGTATTAAGTTGTATCCAAACAGATGGCGAGAGAGGGAGAGAAAGAGAGCGAGAGAGCGAGATGGGGCAAAGCACGAGGGTTCGACAAGTAAGCAGACACGAGGCCGGTTGCCTATTTTTATCTTGGATCAACTTTTTTCGTGTCTGGGAAAGCGAAGAACGGCGAGAAGGATTTGAAAATGACGACCAGTTGAGCGTCCATTAAACTGCGGGAAGGAACATTGAAGCCGTCGCTCTAAAAGCTAACTAATAATGACTAGGGAATAGGGGAGGGGGAGGGGGTTAGGATAGAGAACCGACTGTCTGGGACGGCCTGCTTTATATCAAAGTGACTAGCCATCTACATGTCGTGTATAGTGTAGGGGAGAAAAAGAAAAGGTACTAGATACTTGGACTTGGACGTTGATAATCTGACTCCATAGCTCCATCCCATACCACGCCCCCTTTTCCCCAACCCCGACGACCACCGGCCGTCATTTGTGGGTGGGCGCCGACGGGTCCATCCTAGGAGGCGAGAGAGCGTGTGTCTAGAACGCCGAGCTCCTAGAAAAGGGAGGTGAACAGTGCAAATCGAGCAGGAAGTGCAACAATAGGGCGTTGGCGGCCGAGGACTGGCAGGTGTTTGCAAACACATCCACAATGGTGGATGTTAACGGGCGAAAGAGAGAGAGAGGGTCTACGCCAAGGGGAGCTGCGCCGGACTTGAACTCTGCAGAGGCGCATGTGAGAAAAGAGGTAACGTTCTCCCGGAGTCCAACAGCGCCCCGAACGTCTCTTTGTCCCATACCTGTCTCGATTTTGACCCCTGTATCCTTCCTGTCCCCTTGTCCCCATGTCCCCATGTCACCTCGCACCCCGTCTTTGAACCCTTGAGCGTTGATCAGGGCACGATGGCGGGCGGCGGTGGGCGTGTATTGAGAGGTACAAGCCCGTCTCTCCTCGATGGCAATAGGAATAAGTTATCTTGCTCGCTCTTAAGCCAAGCAAACCGGCCATATGGAGTTGGATGACCGCACGGCTATGTACTATGCATGGCCGACCAATAAAGGAATAGCCGGGTGCGCGGGACTAATTTTCGGCTTGGGGTTGGCGTCAACTGCAAAACTCTACGTATTACCTTTGTCCGCCAGCGCAGTCGTCAACTGTCAAAACTCAGTGAATGAGGCCCTAAAAGCCTAGCGGCAAAGCCCTGGATAGGGCACAAAACCTTAATGTTCACCGCATCAAATTGATTGAACTCTACCGAGCTACTCGACGGAGCAAATGCCAACATGAAGGTTCTTCACGTCAACTGGTCCGTCCTTGAAGCAAAACAAAAACAACAATGATAACAAAGCATCAAAGAAATGGCAAGGTGTGTTGAAAGAAAAGGTTGCAAAACTGCATCGAAAGTCTCAATATCCCAACCAGCTCCTTGCCTCGGCCTTGAAAGCGCCAATGGGCGTGTACATTTTTGAACTCGAGGTACACACTCTTGAAGAATCAAATCCGCCGGGATAGAAACCAATAGCAACGAGCTGAGAGATCGACTGGCTGCACTTCTCAGCTTGACAGCTCACCAACGAGGCTCAGTCGGCTCAGTCCACCCAGTCCATGTATGTCCCGGCCCAGTCGAACATCACGCCAACATCGCTTTGGTCCGGAGACTTCACTTTCCCCTTCTACCCTTTACTTTTCAGTTCTGTTCCATCCGGCTTCGTTCCCATGATTCGTTTGCCAGTTATTCGCCTCCCGTCTAGGCATCCCACCTTGCGTGCTAGTTCGCCTCTACCCTGCCCTAGCGAACTGTGCGAGTGTGCTGAGCTCTACTTTTGAGGTGTCGTCGAGGACTTGTAAACTTGATTTGATACGAAAGAATCCAGCCGTCGTGTATGCATTGCCTCTTCAAACCCGGTGGTTCGATGTCGACTCGGCCAATGACAGCGTCCACGCGCCGGCCATAAACAGCCAAACTGGACAGCCAAACAAGGGTGCGGAGGAGACTGGAGAGTTGGCAAAGAACGTGCGCTGACGTCTTCCCTCTTTTGGTCCCTTCTTTCTGCTACAGTTGATATCCTAGTTGTGTATCTTGTCTATTCCAAGGACGTATTATATCTCTCAGCCCTCTCTGTCAGCCAATGGCTTTATAAATTCGGGGAATGGCATGGTGACAGTATTGATCCAGGCCAATGGTCGTGGTGGTGAGGCCCCCAAGCCACGCAGTTCCAATGTCATGTTCAGCTGTCGAGCTCTTTTCAAACGCCCCCTCCCCTTTCCACCCTCAATTAGTACCGGGAGTCTGGAACCACAGACCAAACGTAGCAGTCGTTCTGGGCGCCTGGCCTTGGGACCAATTGGTGCAGGTGGCGCAGCTACCTTACCCTCGCTCGCTCGCGCCTCCACCACTCCGAATGTTTCATTCCACGCCCATCGATCCATCCACTATAATCCAACTATTCCCATAACGCCGAATGATGAGTAACGGTTGACCACTCCATTAGACATCCATCAATGATCGATCCACACAACAAAAGAATAATATAGTGTACAAGACCACAAGGACGGTTCGCACATTGATCCAGTCCAGTGTCGGTGTCGACAAACAACACAAAAAAAATAGCCGTGTCATGTTACCTTTTTCTCACCCACGCTGACTCGGGCATGACATGACTTTGACAAATCCTTCTCATCTTCTTTCGCGATTAGTATTCCTTCCGAGAAAGGCCCAGCAATATCCATGTTGAGAGCCAACGGGAGATTAAACCAAATTCCGGGAGCGCGGCCAACTCAACTTGCTTCACCGGATGTCCAAATCCCCTCCTCCAAGTCAGACCGACCGGGTACCAAGTAGAATATTGGCAGCGTTATTTTTGCTTCCCTTCCCTTTCCCTCTCCATGGATGCCATGGATGTCAGTTCTAGATACCCGGCCGGCTGCCAAGAATTTAGGACCAAGTAGACCCGAAGACCAAAAAATTTGCAGGCTCTCACCCAGGTCGCGCGCTATTCGCCCGTCGCCCGTCTCCCCGCGCTTCCGACAAGGCTAGTGCCTTTCCTGGAAGGTATTTCCGCTTAGCTCGATCTGGAACAGTCTAGTTTTGACGTCGAGGCGATGGAGCTAGGAAAACTGGATCCATTCAGGAGTTAATAGACTATTAGTGTAGTAAATCTTCTCTTGACAAAGAAGCGAGAGGGAGGGGAGGAAGAAAAAGAAGAAAAAAAAAAAAAAAAAAAAACTCTAAAATGGCCAATGCAACCCTGCTCCAATTGATGTCTCAGGCTAGGGATGAATTCGGAGAGGAAGAACATCGATGGTGCAGAAAAGAAGCCAAATCGAAGGAAAGAAGTAATAGGCGTTGCCGTTTGGTCCGGTGATACGTAATACAAGGACATCCATCCTGTCGGTAGTCCAAAGAAGAAGGTGCGAAGCTGACACCACCACCACTCTCCTCATCGTCATCGTCATCCTAGTCGTTCCCGACCGGTCCTGGTGAGACATGGTCGGGATTATGGACTCTCTCGGTCATGATTGCTCCCCATCCAAGACGTCGCGCCCACGCTCGCGCGCGGCCGATACGCCACCCCGAGGTGCACCGAGGCAGCGTAGAACAAATAGCCTAGGTCATTCAGTGCATAAAAGGGGTACGCTAGATGCTGTGTGGGGGAAAAAGCAAAGAAAAAAGAAAAACGACCGGGAAAGACGCTACGATAAGTACTAGGAGGAGGGCCCGAGTCGATGAAAAGAGGCGCTCTAGGCCAAGGTCCCCCGTGGCCGTGGCCGTGGCCGTGATCGGCGTACATGCATGCGTGCCAGCATGTGCAGGATGGCTCTAGAGTTCGAAAAAACCTACGTCTGCGATGGATTAGATGCGAGCGAGAGCGAGGCTCCATTGAACTGACAGCCCCATCTTGTTATCCCGACCAGGTTGTATTTGACGCCTATTGCTCCTCGCAATGGGTCAATCTTGTGTCACTAGGCCTCAAAAGCCCGAATGCTGGCTAGGCCGAGCCTTAGCCTTGCACTAGCACCCGCCACTGGGCCTTGACCCGTCCAACCGAGGCCAAGCTAGAGGGCTTCTTCGCTTCAGAACAGAACACCCCGTGGCTTCCATGAGACCAAAAGACCAGGTCTCGCGATATCTTCCCCGCCCCAGACGCCCGTCAAATCTCCTCGAGGCGCCCGTTTTTTTCCCCTCCTCCCCTTCTCTCTCAACGCCCTTGTGGGTCGTCCTTGTTTCTCGCACAACGGTATTACCCCGTCTTATCTGCACATGGCGACGCCTCGCTTGGAAACGTAAGTTGCATGTGCCCATTCCTCATCCTTCCACGACTCATCCGCCTGATCCCTCGATTGCTCGGTTGCGCGGTTTGGGCCCTTGCTTGGCCAGTCCAGGACTAGCGTTTGCCGCGATGCACTACGGGCAGCCGGGAAG